AGCCCGGCCCAGGTCTCCATGGCCCTCCACCGCATATGCAGCCTGCAAGCCTCCAGGAGTAAGTTTGACGTATTGTCGAGGAGACCCTCAGCTGATCTGTTGCAGCCTCTTCTCCCTCATTCTACAGTCAATGCAGCCAGGTATGATGCCTGGTCAAGATCCCGACGATCGCCGAAGACTTGGACAACCTCCGTTGCCATTCGACCTCCTCCATCATATGTTGAATCCTGGAAATGCTCGAACTGGCGATGCGGTCTATAGCCAGGAAGCCTTCGACCGCATCATGACGCAGCTGATGGAACAGAACAACGCCGGCAGCGCCCCTCCGCCAGCATCGGAAGACGCGATCCGATCACTCAAGAAGAAGCGGGTAGATAGGGAAATGCTGGGCGACGACGGCAAAGCCGAGTGTTCAATATGCATGGACAACGTCGACCTAGGGCAAGAAGTGACGGTTCTTCCTTGCAACCATTGGTTTCACGGAGAATGCGTGACTTCATGGCTTAAGGAGCATGATACTTGCCCGCACTGCCGAAAACCAATCACCAATTCTGAGGAAGGACAACGTCCCGAAACGTCGAGACGAAGAAGCCGGCGGGCATCTTCAGTATCTAGTCCTCGCGCATACCAACCAGAAGGCAGCCGATACAACCCTGTTACAATTCCAGAAAGCCCCAGCGCGCTCAGGGACGCAAGACAACAATACTACGGAAGACGACGAGACTACGAAACCCATCGTCCTGAGCATCACAGGCATTCGAGCAGCCAGAGTGAGCTTAGGAGGCACGGCTCGAGAAATCATCATGGGGGAAATGGAGGCAGTCGGGGTGGTGGTGGAAACGGTGGTGGCGGAGTGACGGGCTGGATCAGAGACCATTTGCCTTTCTCTTGACGACAGCGGTGTTCAAGAAGGAACTCGAACGGAAGTCTGCTCTGAAATGAGCAGTACAATTCCTTCTATCACGCATGCGTGTGGCGTCACCTCGTAGGCGCAAGACACGAGACATTGCCGGCACCTATCGCCGCCATTGGACCTCTGCTTCATGAAGGCCACTCTCTCCAGCAGGGAAATTGTCCGGGTGGTGGACCGAAAACATGCAACGGAAATCGTGCATAGGCAAGCTGCAGGCGCGAATGCAAGAAGCAAAGTTGGTGCAAGGCCCCGGGCGCCCAGTACTGGGGGTCCGTGTAACAAAGAATGGCTCCTCCGTAGGAGAGGGGCCAGCGCTGAATGTTACGGTTACGGTTCTGGAGGACTGTGTAATGCTGGATAGGTAGAAGAATGCAGTGCAGGCCTCTCACTCCTGATAGTGGCGAGCACTCGACCGCTCAGCTGGCCAATAATTAGATGCACCGCCTCGTTGCTTTCACATGCGCGTGCGTCACATGGCCGTATGGAACTTTCACATGCGAATTTCGGCCGCCAATGCCGTCAGTCTCGTTCTCCGACTCAGGCTCAGCTTCAGGTACCGGACGGAGCAAGACAGCGTCAGAGATCCTCATCTTCTCCTGCGTATGGTCACAGGTCACACGCCTTGTCAGCTGGCGAGCTCAATGTCTCTGTTGCCGCTTCTTCGGTTCTCAGATTCTCACTGCATACACAAGCACCAGCAGTCCGTGCTTTGGTATGGCGTTGCCTTGTTCCGACGTTCCTTAACACTTCCGCCCCAGACACCCCTCTCAATCCCACTTGGATTCTCGGTATCCGGTCGCTTCCAGCCATGATAGGTGGGCTTAGAACAGGACATCCTATGAGAGCTCCCAAATGACTGACTGACACGAACAGACCATGTGCTCGGGAGGCCGTCTTCGCAGTTTCGCAAATACCAAGTCGTTGCAGTCGTGTCATTCTGGTCACTATACTTGCTGAGGTCTGGTTTCTCTCCCTCGCTACGTCGGGTGACATACTCACTTCTAGCAGAGGCGACAAGCATGGCCCGCCTGTTCTTCGGACCCTCTCGCAGCGCCTCGCGAAACGTCTCACCCCCTGGCGGTCCGTCGTCCTGACCTTTCTATGGCTGTACATGTGCCGGAACTTCGCGAAGATTGTCGGCCTCGAGTCGCCGGAACCTCTGGCGAACCTGTACAGTAGGGCATTCTTTCGAGCGACATGGGTCACCACGGCGCTGGATGCCGGCTTCTGGAGTGCCATGAAGATACGGAACAAGCCGCTCAGAGATCTGTGCTCGATGATCTTCACGATATACTACCTCTTCGCGGCAGAGCAGGCAGAGGAGAAGGTTCGCAAGGTCCGGGCAGTGCTGACCGTGGACCACTTGCGTGTAGCATGGAACAAACCCACCACTCCTTATCTGAAATTCTTCACAGCACTGATGCGGCCGCGGTTCACCAAGTACAAACCACGCCGGATCCGGATCCCCCGACCGAAGCAGTCGCACTACAAGGAACCTGTCGTCGCGTGGATGTATTTTGACGGCACGCTCGCGGAGCTGGAAAAGCAGGAGAACGTGGTGCTCGATATTCCCGGCGGAGGCTTCGTCGCCATGGACCCGCGGACGAGCGACGACAAACTGCTCGCCTGGGCGGGGAGGACGGGCCAGCCCATACTGAGCTTGGACTACCGCAAGGCGCCCGAGTATCCTTACCCGTATGCACTGAACGAGTGTTTCGACGTCTACACGCAGATTGTCGCCACCCGAGGCCGATGTATCGGCATGAAACCGGATTCGTGCCCGCGGATCGTCATCACAGGCGACAGTGCCGGAGGAAACCTGGCATGCGGGACGACTCTGATGGTCATTCAATCGAACCAGACGGGCACTTCTCGCGGGATCCTGCCTTCCCCAGCGGGCCTGGTCCTGCTGTACCCGGCTCTGGACTTCAACATCGGCAGCTGGATGACCGACGATCAAATGGCCTTGATCCGCAACCCACGCACCGCCAAGAAGTACGAGCGGTTCATCAAGCGGAAGAGCGAAGACATCGACCGCCGATACACGCCCACGACCCCCAAACCCACCAGCGACGACGATGACGACGAGGGCGATCCGAACCACGACTTCTTCGCCCCTCGAGGGGGCAAGTCGGAGATCCAGCCCGGCGGGCGCCACCAGACCACGGACATCGAAGCGCAGAAGCAGGCCGTGCAGACGTCGAAGCCGCAGACGCTGAGGACCCGGTTGGCGGTGTCCAGCATCATCTCGTACTTCGGCGACCGCATCCTCACGCCGGAGATGATGCGCGCGATGATCATCCTGTACGTCGGCCCGTACAACCGGCCGGACTTCACGACGGACCACCTCCTCTGCCCGGCCGTGGCGCCCGAAGGCCTCCTGGCCAAGTTCCCCAAGACGTACTTTTTGACCGGCGAGCGCGACCCGCTCGTCGACGACACGGTCATCTTCGCGGGCCGGCTCCGGCAGGCCAAGCTGCACCTCTTCCGCGACCGGCAGGAGGTCGGGCTGGAGAAGTCGACGACCGAGTTCAACGAGAAGGACCACGTCGAGGTCACGCTCATCCCGGGCATCAGCCACGGCTTCGTCTCCTTTGTGAGCATCTTCCCCGAGGGCTGGACGCACATTTTCCGCTGCGGCAGGTGGATCACCGACATCTTCGCCAGGCCGCCGCACATGTTTGAAGGCCCGAGCATCGAGGCGCGCCTGCGCAACGGCGGCACCCTCCACCACCTCGACTCGGGCTCGTCGCTCGAACTCGCCACCACCGAGGCGCGCCATCACAGCCGGAGGCCCACAGGGGAGAGTATGGACGACGACGCTCCGCTCGTCATGTCGAGTCTCACGCCGAGTAAGGACCCGTCGGCGGCGGCGGCGGCGGCGCCAACGGCAGCAGCAGGCCACACGAACGGCGTGGTCAAGGGCGAGCATTCCAGGCAGAAGCACGAAGAAAGGGACAGCAAGAGCAGTGAACAGGAGAGGCTGGCTCGGAACAAGAGCCTCATCAGTCTAGGCAGTGAGGAAGACTTGCTCAAGCGGCGGATGAAGGGCCTCACGGTGGGATTGTTGGGATCGCAAGATTCATGACGTGAGATGTGATTTGACGATAGCATGTCGTGACAAGTGAGTGGTATGGCATGTATGATCTCGCATTGTACGATATGGATAGATCTACATGATAGTTCTGCATTGCATGGCAAGTGTGGCATGGCACGGCATGACACCTCGAACCAGGAACCACAATCCAGTATCTGGAGACTAGAAACTAGACCAGAAACTAGAACCTACAACCAGAACCTACAACCAGAACCTACAACCAGAACCTACAACCAGAACCTACAACCAGAACCTACAACCAGAACCTTCAACAGTAACGTAGGTACAGTACGTACATACGCAGTACGTAGCTAAGGGCGGTTCAAAGAGCAGTGGAAGCCAACAGAGTGCCATGAGAAATGTCCGCTCATAGCATAGCATAGCATAGTATAGCATAGGAGAGGTTGAGAGGTCGAGAGGTTGTGAGGTCGAGAAGATGATCTTCGTACACATAAGGATGTACCTCGTACCCTTCGTGACTTTGTACTTTGTCGAGCGACATCTTGTATTATTAGTTTAATACAGTACTTTTACGGACTTTTACGTTGGGAGGCAGGCAGCTAACCTATCTAGGCCCCTAGGTAGACGAGCCTGCAATGCCATGCCATATACTGTACGTAATCGTCGCTCTGGGTATGTACATGCTCCAACTCGACGCGTGTCCACGCCAGGCCTCAGATCGACGCCGTCGTGGCCGTGCTGAGATACAGTCCAGTCCAGTACAGTATACAGACTTGAGACTTATCAACCAAGATATTTCCTCCGTACGAGGCACCAATACCCATCCACAAACGCCGCACATGCACGCACATATACACATATACACTCACTCACTCACTCACGCGCGCATCTGTCAGGCTTTACTCGTCACAATGCTAAGCTACCAGCCACCCCTGAATGTCTTCGTCGTTCACGCGGATTTCATCCCGTGACTATCACTATCATATCGGACGAGGAAGAGGAGAAACTACAGTAGCTTGCTTCCTCCGCTCAGCCATATCTCTCCACACCGCCGGCTTTGCTGACGCTGGACCGTCGGATAAAGCCCATGATGCCAGCGCCCTGAGGTGTATGTGATTGCGGCTGGCCGGGAAGTGGCACTGAAGCGGCCATCTCGTGAACGTGAGGAGGTGGCACTGCGGTGTACATGACTGATTGATGTGGTGTGGAGTGCCTGTTCCACGGTGATCAGTCGCTTTGCGGGACTGAGTGGGAGGAGGTCAAGACTTACATGCTCTGTGGCATACCGCCGGGATAGGCTGGCACGGAATACATCTGGCTCGGACTCGGACTGTGTGGTGATGCGATATCACTTCCTGGTCCTGTATGTGCCGGGCCAAGTGAATCGCTGACGGGCATGTATGCAGGATGGAATCCCGGCGACATGGCCGGATCGTGTGGTGGGACATATCCTGGTAGTGCTGGAGATGGTCCCAAACCAACGACACTGCTATGCACCGACATGTGCTTCGCAGGATCGGTCATGTACGACATGTGAGATGCTGCAGGATTGAAGGACACTTGAGTAGCGTGGCCTGTGCTTGGACGATCGTCGACATGCTTTGCGCCGCGACCTCGGGACTGCCTTCCACAGAGATAGAGGGCAACGGCGGCGGCAAGGGCCACGGCAGCAGCCCCAATCGCAATGCCCGCGATAGCCCCGCTCGATAGGCTCGAATGGCCGTGGTCGCCAGAGCTGGCTACACTGTCCGAGGCTGCACTCTCCGAATCAGACCCAGTGGCTGTCGGACTGGGAGTCGAGGCGGTCGTGGTGAATGGATCTTCGCTTTCCTCGGGCCATGGCTCACCCGGCAGGAGCATGAACTGCGCTTGTGAGGCGAGATCTTTTTGATGCTGAAGCGATGTGGTGGCATTGGGATTGATCACGCCGACCATTTGATAGTTGATACATGAGCCCGGAGCGCCACAGTAGAAGAAGATGGGATTCGTGTCGTTGACCACGAGGGACCACTCTGGCGGCTCACTCAATATTACATCTACTGGATAAAAGCCGGAAAAGAATCCAAGTTTATCGACGCCCGTGTCTTCGTAGGGAATGCAGGGAAAGCCATATTCTGCTCGGATGACGGAATGGTTTGTAGGGTAAAATTGAAAGAGGATTGTGTCGCCGACTTTTGCGAGCGTAACGTCAGGCACAAACGTGTGGCCTCCCTATCGATCGAATTAGCACCGTCGCTGCCAAATGCGCTCTCAGTCGTCCTACCAAAGCGACCCCAACCGTATGCGTTATCGGTTCCTGCGACGTGCTCGTAGTACTCGTTGAATTGCCAAGGTCGGCGCCGTCTGCACCCGATGATGCATCCGTCGGGGAGGGAGCTGGAGTGATGGAGTCAGTGGAAGTAGGGGTCGACGAGTCGGTCGCAGGAGCAGTCGGGTCTTGAGCAAATCCCACTGCGGCGAGACCGAGGAAAAGAACGAGTGTCCGACGCATTTTGAGCCGAAAAGAGCGAAATCGACGGGGACAATGTCGAGGTCGGGCTGTCAAGATGCGTCCGGTGGTGCTGGCACGAACAAAAGCGACGAGAAAGAAAGCAGCAACGACAACAAGAGAAAAGAGGGGATGAGGTCAGGAACGTATTTCCGCATTCAGAGTCCAGACGAGGACGACCTTCTCGCGTGTACCCAGGACTCGTTCACAGAGCCTGCCGAGCAGCTGACTGACTGCTGGGATCATTTGTTTTGCGGCGTGCAGGCAGGGCGACAGGGTACAGTGCCGAGCAGCGTCGATAGCCCGGCCAGCTGCATACGCGATGGAATTGCAGCTGCAGCCTCATGCAGGTACCGATGGGTTAGCCCGGTTAGCTTGAGATAGCGCCACGGCATTTCTGCAAGGCCAGACTCGACAAAGCTCGTGGGTTGCCTTTCAACGGCGCAGGCTGGAGTCCTGGTCCTCGATCAGCCCTAGCTCGCTTCAGCATCGGATGTCGGAGTCGTACCCAGTATGCCAGTTCACGGAAGCGCGCCGAAAGGGGAATGGTGCGGTCAGCGCCATGGGCTTCAGCCCGGAGACGTGAATTGCATCTGATCCTTCATGGAGAGGGCGGAAAGAGACTCAAGGGGCGACATCGGTGCGCGCCGGCGACGATGCGTCTTCTCTGCGGACACAGACACGGCCCGCATCATGAGATTTTGATGTCATGCTCGGCTGTCAAGACGCAGGTCGTGACTTGATCAACGATTCCTGTTACGCAGACTTGACGAGGGAAAAGGACAGAAACAGGCGGGGAGGCGGCAGACAGCAGAAGCCAGTGGAAGCCGAAGGAGTCGCCTGCACGCGCTAACGCGCCCGCGCTAACCGGCCAAGCCTGCCCGGGGAGTTCGCCAGCAGCACCCAGCAGCACCCAGCAGCACCCAGCAGCACCCGTCCGGTTGGGCCTTAGAAGCCCTCGTGTCTGAGCGGGCCCCCAGAATCGACCCGAAATTGGCTGATGCACGCCTAACAAGGGACAGCTGCTAATTAACTTGGGTTGGTGGCTGGCGTCAAATGTTCGGGGCCCGAGGTTTAATTGTGAGAAGCGACGAGGCAGAGTCCAAATCACAGGTACGGAGTACTGTAGATGTCAAAGCTCGCCTTTAGCATTATGTACTGGGTGACTGGGTACACCCTCGTACTGACCCAAATTGCCAGCACGGTCAAGAAACCTTCCTCCGTCCTGAGCATCTGGCTTTTTTCTATCCTCGGCGCTGATACGCACCATCAGACGCAGCGCCTCTCCCCCGTCCAGAACCGGGAATTCGTAGACCACTGTCATGCAACCTCTCCCAGAATACTCCCACCCAGCAGGGGCGCACCTCTCGACGCCCTCAGCTCGTTGCTCCTCATGATGATATCCTTGTCGAATACCCACCACCACGACTTGAACACCTTCTCCCCGACTTCCCAATTGTTGGCCGAGTAGGGATCGTCACCGGATACTCTAACGCCTTCCGCGCTGTCTTCAACGTCGTACACAAAATCCAGCAACGCCATAGGCGACGCCGCGCTCGGAGGTCGAAACTCGGGCGGCTGCATCAGGACCTTGATCATCCGGTCGCGTGTTGACGGCCAGGGTAGCAAGTCGATGATGGGATGATGTGGCACGGTCAGTTGCAGCAGGCTCGGTCGTAAGTTCGCCGGTAGATGATTGAACTCTGCCATGGCGGCCGCCGAATTGGCAAACGGCGACTGTGCAGTGAGTGACCAGACCTCGTCGTGAACGTTCAACCGCCTGGCAATCGCCATGAATCCCCGGAGCAAGGTGAGTTCGGTCATTTCCAGATATGCCTCGTCGGGGAAGGAATATGTCATGTCACCGGCTGCAAAATCCGGCGGCTGCGATATAGCCTGCCACTCTGGGGGGCTCTTCGCCACTGCAGGAGGTGTCAACGACCATGTCTCGCTTTCGCCCGAAGACGAATGCTTGGAGGTGGACAGCGGTGTGCTTGGTAGCGAGGGCAACAGGATCGACGTGTCCCACAGCCCTTGGTCCTCGGGAAGCAGGTTACTGAATGGGTCCCCAGGAGAGACAAGCGTTGGTGCTGCCAGGTTGAGATCATTCGGCAAGACCGGACCGTCGTCAAATGGGTAAAGGTGCGCTGCTGCGAACGGACACTGCGGCTGCTGGATATCGCTGGCTGCTTGGTCATCCAACTCTGGTGGTGCAGGTGGGTCGTTGAAGCTGTCGAGCTGCGGCGCCTCGTGCGGCTGGTCAGCAACGGAAGCTTTCGCTTCCAGTTTGCGGATGTGCTCCTTTCGCTTTTGTCGATACCGCCTTTGCGCGAGCACATTGAGGACTCGCTTTCTCTCTGCAGCGTCCGCGCCGGGCTCCGGTATCGCCAGCGGCACAGCCCTGACTTGACCCTTCTTGACTGGCATGGCGGAGAGTGGAAAGTCAACGTGCACGGGGAGTGGTCACAATTTGGAGAAGATGTAAACGTGATAGCCGCGTAGATTGGCACGATGGGCTGAGAGGATAACGGCTAGACCGGGCTTCAGTGGCAGAAGTCGAGAAGTTTGGAGAGCGGGAAGGAGAAGATGGGACGAGTGGCCGGATGAGCTGGTGGTCTTATCTCTGTCTTGTCTGCTGCCTGGAAGCTGGCGTTCGTACCGTGTGTCTTTGCTGCTTCAAAACGACCACTGCGATACGACCGCAAAGCGCGCAACACTCTGAGTAAACCGCCTCGAAGTTGAGATGAGCATCACCCAGCATAACGTTATGGTTGCATGGTGGAGAATCGAGCCGAGGACAGATGATGGACCATGGACCATCCGATAGGCGGTGCGACTCTCGCCGAGACCCCCCTCCGCGCCCTTCACTTTCCGAATACGAAGTCGAGAATGTCCTCCAAGACCTTTCCCGCGTGTGTGAGGTACATTCCATGCGCTGCCTTTTCATAGATCCTGACTTCGGCTTGCGTTGCCAGTTTCGGGATGAGATGAGCGGTGGCTTCAGCGGGATTGCCTACGCGGCATTTCGTCAGATCTAAGAACCGTCATCTGGACGAAGGGGTGACTTACTCTGGTCGTTGTCACCGTGAATGACAAGTAGCTTCACATCTGCTCCGTTAAGCTTTGTCAGGTCTTCGGTAAAGTCTCTGTTCGTGATGATCTGGACGCATCTCTCGAGGGCGAGAGCATCCGCCTGTGCAACGATGCCTTCAAACTTCTGCAGCGCCGTCTCCGGCACTTCGATGCCGATGTTGAATGGAATCCCAAAGACGCCCGGAAGTGCACTTCTGGTAAAGCCCGTTCGATCTTCTCGGATCCCGGTCAAGATCATATCCCACAGCGATCGGGATGGTGCCTTGGGGTTCGCGTCGGTCGCCAGCGGAAACGGCAGGGATGGACCCAGCCATATGAACCCACGACATTGCTTCTGAAGCTCTCCTGGCATCTTGAGGTAGGCCAGGAGCGTTTCGCCGCATCCCATGCTGCTGGCAACGAAGAAGAACCTCTCCAGCTTGGCAGACTTGATGACATCAATGCTGTCCTGGGAAAAGGTGTCGTATGTGATATCGCCGCTGTCGCTGGTGTTCCACTCGCTCTTCCCAAAGCCGCGTCGGTCAGGGGCAACGCAGCGGATGCCGTAGGTTTCGCACAGAGGTAGCATCAAATGCTCGTACATCTGATGAGACATGGGCCATCCGTGGATGAACACCAATGCAACGTCGTCCTTGCTGTGGTCTTTGGCCGGATCATCGGTTGGCTGGAAACGTGGGGGACTTGCTGCTGGTTTATAATCGACGTAGTGCAGCAGAGTGCGGTCGAGGCTGGAGTGGATGAAGGGCATTCTGGCTCTTTCCTCTGAAGGTCAAACAGTAATTGCGAAAGTGTTGGATCAGACAGCTTGAGAGTGGATGAGGATTGACTGATGGGCAGCTTTTCCACGCGTATTTGTAGCCCTGCGTGCAAAACGGCATGTCAGGATATGTGGAGGCATAACGAAATTCTTGCAGACTGAGTGGGACATTTTCAGATTCGGGTCGTTAGGCACAATTCATCATTATGCATTCGAAGAATATCGTAAGGCTATGCCGGAAACGAACCCGCTAGCCAGCATCGTCACTTTGCCTGCTCACAGTCCCTTGTCTGGTCGGCGTCGGCGTCGGACTCCCATCACGGTCGAGCCCACGTATCGTAGAGCCCACGCTACCCATCGGCCTGACCCTGCTCCCGACGAATCCTTTGCGATTTCTGCCAGTCCGGCCACGGCCCAGCCAGTTCAGCTTCAGCTGCTTGTTGAGTTCCTCCATCTTGGCTTGAGCATCGTCTCCCGACTGGATTGAGCATAACACTGACAGGCACTGCAGCATTCGCCCCACCGTCTCGGTGACTTGGGAGGACGAGCTATCGGTAGGTCTCGCTGCTGGCGGCGAACTGAACGACTGGAAGGCCACATCCTGCGCAGGATTGCTGACCACCGAAAGATTTGATGTGGCCCGAGACCTTCCGCCCGAAGTCATGCTACCAAGTAACGTGCTGCTCTGTGAATTATAGCTTCCGTATTCCATACCTTGTGCAGTGCCCGGTCGGTCGCTCCCTCCGCTGTTGCCGCGATTCCGGTTCCCGCCGTCATGTTGCGTGAGTGAGGCATTGATACTATCGAGGCTGAGCCGGGAGAACGTCGATTTCAAAACTTCGTACCTTGGTAAGATGATGTTGTCTCGATAGCTGATAAGGAGAATACGTCTGACCTCCAGCTCTTCTCCCGCGGCGACCACAAAGTCAATGCCTTCACCGGTTGAAGGAGACGAAGATAGCTTGCTGCCACTGTCGTGGCTGGGAAGAGCGCCCCAGAACTCAGCAGCCATCAGCGGACCGGTCAGGATAGTACCTCTTCCTTTGAACTCTTGGTCGAGCGGAAGGAATACGGCTTGCATAAATGGGAGTATCTTGCCGAAGACATCCATCCACGTCGCCACGAGACGCGGCACCAGGCCGTTGTCGCTGACGCCTCGCAATGTGTGGTTGAGGCTGAGAAAACCAGTCTTCAGCAAATCTTCCAGGTCCCCGATGATAATGCTCGGGTCCTTCTTCTGCACGCATCTCTGCACATGAATTGTAACAAGCTTGTTCAAGTCTTCCACGGCAATCCGAACATCCTCGCCTTCAAAAGCCACCAGGATTTTCGCCCTGAGCAGATCCCAGGCGTCATCGGCGGACATATTTGAGAGGCCAAAATTTGCACCGGCTTCTTTGACTTCGCTATAGGTGTTGAAATTGCTGACGGATTGATTGGTGAAGCTCGTCCCCAATGACGGCCATTCGGAAGTATCGCTTTCTCCACGGCTATAGACAGGCTCGAGATTAGCAAAGGCTGCTTGCTGAGCCTTCTCTTCCTTCTTCTTCTCCCTAAGCGCACGACCTCCATGACGAAGGTCCAGACCAGACACAGATTTCGCAAAGTTCGAAGTCGGGTTGGGTGACGGAGGGGCAAAAGAATACAGCGACTGGGGGTTGTTGATGTCCACGGGCCTCGAATTTGAATTCGCCGACGATAAAGGGAGAGCATATGTGTCGTCCTTGTCCTTCAGCTTCAGCTTCTGACGAAACCCGTGGTGTTTGTGCTTGTCCTTCTGTTCTCTCTGGTCAAGCATAGGTACAACGGTAGCTGACGAGGGGTTGGCAAGTTGATACAAGGAGGAGTTGTTGGACGACAACGACTCCGCCAGACTCGCAGTTGATGCGTTCATGACCTTGGACAAGCCACTAGGTGCGAGTCTGTTTGGCGAGGGAAGAGGCTTGTCCTTCGGCTCCTTGTCCTTGTCCCTCGAAAGCACCATGTGCTTTGGCCTGAATCGCTTCAAACCCTTCTTTGACTTTTCCTCTTCCACTAAGGACGTCGTACTAGCTGATGCGAAGTTCTTGGGAAAGACGACGCTCGCTGCTGTCGCGGCCGCATTGGTGCCTATCAACCCATTGCGATACTGCTGCTCCGGTGCGGGCGCAGGAGGTTGACTTTCGTGGGACCCAGCCGACCCTCTACTATTGCGTCGGCCTTCCTGCTGATTCTGCTCCTGCGGAAAAGGCACTGTCTGCGATCTCTTGCGTGAATGGTTCGTCACATTGAGGTGTTGCATCGCGGCCTGTGCAGCAATCTGAGAGGGGTTGAGGGCCGGCATGCCGGGTTGGTCGTGGAGCTGGGACTGGCTTGCGAGTGAGGCGGAGGGCATAGAGGGTTCGAAATAGCCTTGCGAATGTTGTCGAGGACGGTGCTTCTGTAGGTGCTCTGGAGGGGGTCCGAGGTTGTGCTTTGCAGCGCCATCTCGGGGCATGTACTGTGCCGATGGCCGAGTATGAGACGCCAGTGAGGCATTACTGGCGTTGGCATGCGACACGAACGTGGGGAGTTGTTGATTGTACGGAGAGCGCTTGACGACGGAGAGACTGGACGAACCGGAAGTGTCACTACCACTCGAGCCTGGTCGATGGCTCTGCTTCGAGCCTGAGCGTGATGCGTTCGGCGACGTGGAAGAAGTAGGAGGTACTGGCGATCGTGCAATTCGCCGTTGCGGAGGAGGCTCCATGATTGAAGAAAAGGTGGGCGAGCGATGTTGCTGCTGGGATGTCGTGGGAGGGAGGTCACTGGACACTGCGAAGAACAGACGTTTGCGAGAATTTGTGCGTAAACAGCATGTTTCCGTCGATTAATGTGCTCAAGGGCGTGTGAAGGTGTCGCGTGAAGACGTGCGTAGACTTGGATCGCAGCTCGAAGTGAGCGGACGAGTCGTGACAAGTGCGACAATGTATGTACATTGTGCCTCGAGGTTGGAGATGCGTTGCATTTCCTGCGTGGATCCCCACTGTCGACCCTCGATTCCGTCTCACCAACAGACTCAATTTCGCCCTCCCCGGCTCGGCCTTGCAAAGCGAGTTAAACATGTCTCCCACGACGACGAGCCCGTCCGCCAGTCTCAGCGCTACCTACGACTCGCCGTCCGGGCACAGAGACTTCGCATACACCGTCTCTACCCCGCCGGTCCAGAGCGATGGCTCTATTGATACCAAAGCAAAGACCACGTATCTATCCGAGCTGCGAGCCTCTACCAGGAGACTACAAGAAGACATCAACAAGTTTCTGACTGAGAAGATGGAGGAAGATAAGAAAGCCGCCGGGCAGGACGGCCCAAGTGGCGCCTCCAGGCAAAAATCAAAAGATGAGTTAGAGGAAGAGAATTACGGCGAAGAAACTGCGGAGGACGATACATGACAAGTTTATGCTAGGTTACGGGTATCTCAAATGTCAGTGGTTGCATGGCCATCAGGCAACCTTTGCGGCGACTTCGCTCTGCTTGCGTACAGCGCAACCAAGATGTACGGCAGAATTGCTGGCAAACATGTTAGTAACAGCTGCGCGACAGGATGGGACAAGGCGGACTTACTCTGGAAATACGCTGATGACGCTGCTACCAAGTCGCTTGTAGCAAACACCGCACACACGGTCTTCGTCGATACGTACTTTTCTCCCTCGGCCACCCGACTGCACCCCTTCCCCAAGCAGGAGAGCCGCTTGTACTCGCACGGCATCGACCTTCCTCAACCCAGAGACGATCATGGACTCGTTCATGATGCTGTTGGCATTGCGGATTCGTCCACGGAAGTAGGCCTCGAACTCCTTCACCAGCAGGTCTTCTGGTATCAGCTCCAAAGTTGAGTTCGCTGGAAGTCTCGGTCCGTGGCGGGCCATCAGCTCAATGGCTGGCCCGAATAATGCCTTCTCGCCTTTCGGAGGATTGAGATAGAGGTTGAGAAGAATATGGTAGATTGATGGCTCCTCATCCGTCGGATCAGTAGTGGATGACCTCCGCCGAGCAGAAGCTCTTGCCGCTCCTTTGCCGGTCTCCTCCAAATGGGTCTGGTTACAGTATTCCTCCGCCTTCGCTGGGTCGCGAAGCTTGAACACGTATATTTCCAGGGCTTGTTTGTGATTGCCCATCTGGCTGAAAACGATTGCCCTGGCTTCATAGAAGGTGGGATCATCCCGAGGCAACAGTCCCAAGGTCTTTGCCGGAGAATACTGGTCCGATGTTCTCAGCAATGTCAAGAACTTGTCCAAATGCTGGTCCCGATTTGGAAGCGATGGATCTGTCAAGTCCTCGAGGTACAGGGTGACAAGCCGCTGATGCAGTTCCGGAGTCTGATCATCCAATTCGTCCACCACATGTTCGAGATATCGTAACGCCAGTTCTTTGCTAATCGTCTCGAGAAATGCAAGAACCTTCTCTCGTGGAAGTGATTCGGCGTTCTCTGTGTCCGCCAGGAACAGCTCCATAGCCACCTCTGGGTCCGTCTCCAGCGGCCACTTAGCGAACTCCAGAATCATGTCGATCAGCTCTGGCCCGAGATTCTGGAGGTAAGCGATTGTCCTAGCTGGACCACGCAGCTGAGGATCAACTTCCTCTGTCTTTTCAGCTTGTCCGAACTTCTGAAGTCTCTCCAACGCTTGCCGGTGAAGTCGCTTTCCGTACAGGAATTCGATCAAGTCGTTGTATCGACCTGTCTCTTCGAGCTTGGCCATCACCACCTCCGGGTCACAGAAGTTGGAGATGCGGAAGAGCGAACCAGCAAGCGAGGGTGTCGCGTACATGTGTGCTCGGAACAGCGTCGTATCAACAAATCTTGCTACCTCCAGCAGCTTGTCTGCCAGGTCCACATCGTCCAAGGAGGACAGACCAAGCAGGTACTCGGTGATCTGTCGGATGTCCTCGGACTGCGCTGCACTCTGCACCTCGGACAGACTGCGGACTGTTTGATCAGGGTTGAAAAACCGTTGTAGGCGGCGCCGGACATCGGCAAGGAATGATTGAAGCTCTCGAACCGCAGTCTTGAGTTCCTTCTCGGAGAGTCCTTCATTGCCCGTATTTTCTGCAGTCTTCGTGCTACGAACACTTGCCGTGTCAGCATCAGAAACAGCTGTCTTTGTCTTCTTGACAGGGCTGGGCACACTGTCAGACTTTTTCGCTGTCTTTCGGGGACTCTCCTCGTTCTTTGGTGTCTCTTCCCTTTCAGGAGTGGCTCCACCCTCGTCGTTTGCCAGATCGCCCGCAATGACGGGAGGATAGAGCTTGATGACGCGCTCAGGAGGCGCAGAAACTTCCCCAAACAGGTCCAGGGCGTCTCGGAACTTTTTCTCGTCGAAGAGGTGCTGAGCCTTTTGCATCTTGATCTCCCGTAGTCTGCCGCCCTTGTTGTTGATCAAAGTTTCCTCGATCATATCCAAGAGACTGATGGCCTCGTCGAGCTGGTCGCCGTCAACCAGTGCATCAATCTGAGCATCGTAATTCAGACCCTGCATCCGCCAGATAATCCGCTCACTGGCAACCAGGAACCCCTTGCCTTGATGGGCAAGGCTGATGTTTGGATTAGGGACTTGTAACAGCACGGCGCCAGGGAGATCAATCGACTGAAGGAGAGTGAGTGTCTGGGGATTGCGCACTTCCAGCACACCTTTGCTAGCTTCCTGCAACGCCAATAGGAAAGGATACGAGTATCCGATCGCTGAAGGAGGTACACGCCATGGTATCTGTCGTCGTCCGATCGGGTTTCCATTTCGATCAATGAAATGGGTGTTAATGTCCTTGGCGAGTAGCATTTCATTTTCTCCCAGCCCAGTCGCCAGGGGTGTTGGCACCATCGAGCCCATACCAATATAGCTCATTGTCCCTCCTAACCTACTACTCTCCTGACCCGGTGTCCCTCCAATGCTTCCAGGCCCTATAATGTCCTTCACCTCGTGCGAATCGATGTCGACAATGACATAGTTTGCAGTCAATCCAACAACGATCTTTGTACCCGTCGCCCAAGTCAGCGATTTGATGCTGTTTGACAGCGCGATCTCCACGGCATCGCCTTCCAACTCTCCCTCATGCCATGTCCATAGTAGCAACCTCCTCTTGACGGCTACAGCTAGCCGACTGACAAGGGTAGGGACACCAGTCGAGCTGTCCTTCACGATATTGCTTGTTGCGGCGAAGGCGCTTGCCCCCTTAGATCTCGTGAGTTGCTCATTGAGCTCATATGTTCCCAGATCGTGTATGGATACTAGACCGTTGCTCAGTGATATGAGGATATTCGCTTCGCGGAAGACAGCCAACTGCTCGATCTTGTACTTTGCGAACTTTTCATATTCTCTCAGCAATTCGGTCGGTTTCGAGGGGGGAGCAGGAGTGCGTGCGACAGAGGCGCTCCCTCCATCTTGGTCGGAGGTTTCATCAGGACGAGAGGGCGGGCCTTTGATGCGGTAGATGCGGAGGGCCCCGGTGTTGAGGCCGACAAGTAGCTGATCGCTGTGAAAGAGGACGGACTCGATCTTTGACTTGTCCCGCTGCTTCAGCTCTACGATGGGCTGAGCGGTGAATGCCGAGAGCATCGGGATGTGACTCTCACGCCCACTGCGAGACTAGTGCCCACAGCGAGCGCATGGGGAATTGAGATGTATTCCGTACAGGACGCGGGCTACATATTTCGAAGGGCGTCGCGGAGAACGCAGCTTCTGATTTGCGGAATCACATCTACGTCATGGCTGGTCTCCCAGCCTTGCGAACGGGGCTTGTTCTAGTCCAGTTGACTTGCCGCATCAGAACAATTTAACGCGTGTCCTTATCACTAACGCGAGGCTACGTGACTGGTGGTAACTGGCAGTCCAAACAGCCTTGCTGTAGGCAGAGGCTGCACAGCCGCATCTGTCAATGAAGCGTAGAGATGGGCAATTCAAGACGTCGGAGCCTTCAGATCGAAACAGATAGGGTAGCACTGCATTGTCAGTGCCAATCAGCACAAACCCTTCGTTACTTTGTCCAACAGAACCAGCCTAGCAAAAACCGAATGAATAGAGAACGGCAGTCATATCCAAATCACCTCACAACTGCCATGCATCGTCGAGTCGGGTTTCCGTCGTCATCATCAGTTATCGTCCAGAAGGCGGATGCTCTCCCGCTTTCCGTTCTGCAACCTGCCCCTCCTCCTCTTCCTCCTCCTCTGCAAGCCTCAAAGTCTCCTCGATCATTGCCATATCCGCATCGAGGTTTGCCATGATGTCGTCTAGATCATCAAGCCCCTTGAATTCCTTCTTCGTCTTCTCTAGCAGTTTTTGGAGAGAATCGTTTTCTTTCGCAAGACTTTTGGTCTCCTTTCTCAAGTCGTCTTCCTGCTTGGTCAGAGCCTTCGCGTTGGCGTGGATGTTCTTGGCTCGGGCCTGCAGCTCCGCGTCGATGCTGGCGCCGACAGAATTGAGCGAAGCCGTGAATGCGTCTTTAGCTTCCTTGGTGCGTTGTGTTGATGATGCTGCCGGCCTCTGCGGGTCCGAAGTCATCGAGGCAGCTGTGGACATATCTTTGAGCAAGGGCGACCTGCTAGTCACCAGTGAACCGGGATCCCGTCAATACATTGGCCATGCAGATGAGGAAATGATATGATCCTGGATGACGTTTGGGTGAGGACAGTGGAAACGAGGACAAGCAGTTGGAGAAACAACCACGCAGAAATGCATGGAGATAATCTTGGCACATTGGAACAGAGAGCTGGGGCCGTCACCACCAAGTCTATCAGCCTAGATATTTCTTGCTCAGCGCAGAGTCTACATAAACGACCGCGCGCTTCATCAGACATCAGACTCCAGAATACAATACTCTATCTCCGTGGCAGTTACTGTGCATGTTGAGAAAGGTTGGTAACGGCCGAGGCTTGTTGAATGCCTCTGGCGGAAGTGGGAACGAAGGAGGATCGGAAAGTCCTCGTACTGACGGTTCACCAGGCACTCAGGTCCATGGCAAACCCAGTTTGTGCATCTCCACAGCCAACTGGAACAGGTAGTCCAAGCTCTCGCACTGCGTTTTGGCTTTGGCGACATTATCACCCCAGACGTAGCTGCAGCGAGTGTGAGCAATGCCTTCGGGCAACAAGTCAATGTACTTACATTCCATGCCGCCGCACCAGCACCGCATACGTGTCCGGATACTGCTCCATGGCCTTCTCCAAGAACTCCGTCAAGTCCTCCTCGAAAGGGGTGTTCTCGATGATGGGGATTCGCATGGTGTCATGAAATCCCAGCATGCCTTTTCCCGGTCCTTTCGGAATGCCTTTGATCTGCTCTATGTTGCTAATTTCGAAACATGCCTCCCTGCCAAACAACTTCTCGACAAGCAAAGTGACAAGAACCGCCCATTGAGAATGTGTATGGATACAGCAGCCAGCTCCGCGCTCAAACGCAGCAAGGAACAGTGGCGTGCATGCGGATGGCTTCAGATCCGAAGGCTTGCGAACATACTCTCGTGCAGATGGAGGGTATTTGGGTGTCGGGTATTTGAGCACAAACATGTTCTCGGATTTCATGAGCTCTTTTTGGACCCCGGATGGAGCGATGTAGACATATTCATCTTTGCGAATGCTGGTGCCGCCGCCAGTGCCAGTGACCCATCCTTGAAGGGAGTCAGTTTCGACGGCCCGCGTAGACCACTTACCACCTTCACCTACCAAGGGTGTAGAACTGTTTGCATAACCTGGGAATCAGGTTTGCAGGATGCTCAGGGTCATCCGACTGTACCAGGTGGTCGTTTCCCAGATCCGCCATGTTTGTGGCGGCTGAAGAAAAGTGACTGTGCACTGTCGCACAGGGTGAACGATGGGGGGCCGCAGAAGAGGAAAGAAGCTCAGTGAAAATGGACGAAACGGCGCAAATGAATTCACGTGATCCCCCGCCTTTGTGTTACTGCGCAGATGGCAGGAGCTTCACCGATCTCTGGGTCATGAAGTGACATTTGAAATTCCCCCTGGTGGAGTTAAGTTCGTTAAAGACACCTTTCTTTAAGCCTCCGCCGCAACTCGAAATATATCTGTCGCAGAGGTCAACCTCCCCCCAATCTTTTGCTTTGACCATCCTCCTCTCCCTCGCTTCCCTTCTCAGGTTCGGGTCAATCGATTGTCATTTCGTTCACCACGCTCGTTGCCCACCATGAGGTTCAACGCAGCAATTGCTCCGGCCCTGTACGCATCCGCTCTCCTCGCCGGCACCACATTGGCACAAGAGGAGGCGGAGACCTCAACGAGTGCCGTTGAGCGCCCTACCTTCACGGTAAGTGACCTGTCCGTCACGCGTCGTCCGCCCTTATGCTGACCTCACGATAGCCGACAAGCCTCAAGGCTCCCTTCCTCGAACAATTCACCGACGATTGGGACTCGAGATGGACCCCTTCACATGCTAAGAAGCAGGATTCCAAGAGTGATGAAGACTGGGCATATGTCGGCGAGTGGTCTGTCGAAGAGCCCACTGTCTTGCCCGGCATTATCGGCGACAAAGGTCTCGTCGTGAAAAATGCTGCTGCTCACCATGCCATCTCAGCCAAATTCCCTGCAGTCATCAACAATAAGGACAAGACTCTTGTGGTCCAGTACGAGGTCAAGCTTCAGAATGGCTTGGAGTGTGGTGGCGCATACATGAAGCTGCTGCGCGAGAACAAGGAACTACACGCTGAAGAGTTCTCCAATGCTTCACCCTACGTGATCATGTTTGGTCCTGACAAGTGTGGCGCGACTAACAAGGTGAGTCTGCCTACAATACCCGACTAGCCTATCTAACGACTTCCAGGTGCACTTCATCTTCCAACACAAGAACCCCAAGACTGGCGAGTACGAGGAGAAGCACCTCAAGAGTCCTCCCCAGGCCAAGACTGGCAAGCTCACCACTTTGTACACTCTCATTGTGAAGCCCGACAATACCTTCGAGATGTTGATTGACAACAAATCTGCAAAGAATGGCTCTCTCCTCGAAGACTTTTCTCCCGCCGTCAACCCTCCAAAGGAAATTGATGATCCGAAGGACAAGAAGCCTGATGACTGGGTCGAACAAGCCCGCATCCCTGATCCTGAGGCCACCAAACCAGAAGACTGGGATGAGGACCAGCCATACGAGATTGTCGACGAAGACGCCGAAAAGCCTGATGACTGGCTTGAGGACGAACCGTTGACGATTCCCGATCCGGAAGCCGAGAAGCCGGAAGATTGGGACGATGAGGAAGATGGCGACTGGATTCCACCCCAAGTTCCCAACCCCAAGTGTGAAGAAGCTGCCGGCTGTGGCCCATGGTCTCCGCCAATGATAAAGAATCCCTTGTACAAGGGCAAGTGGACTGCGCCTTACATTGAGAATCCTGACTACAAGGGCCCTTGGGCGCCTCGCACGATCCCCAACCCAGACTACTTCGAGGACAAGACCCCCGCCAACTTCGAGCCAATTGGCGCTATTGGCTTCGAAATCTGGACCATGCAATCTGATATCACCTTCGACAACATCTACATTGGTCACTCTGTTGAGGATGCTGCCAAGTTCCGTGAAGAGACCTACGACGTCAAGCGACCGATTGAGGAAGCTGAAGATGAACAGAGCAGACCAAAGCCGGCCGACATTCCCAAGTCTCCTTCCGACCTCAAGTTCACCGATGATCCCGTCACGTTCATCAAAGAGAAGCTCGACCTCTTCATCACCTTGGCTAAGAAGGATCCCGTTGAGGCCATCAAGTTCATGCCCGAGGTTGCTGGTGGTATTGGTGGGGCCCTTGCCCTTCTCATTGCCATCGTTGTTGGCCTTGCGAGTGCTGGTGGTTCCGCCGCCGCCCCCAGTAAGGAAGACATCAAGAAAACAGCGCAAAAGGCCAAGGAGACGGCCGCAGATTCCGCGGCCAAGGTCAAGGATGCAGCTGCCTCTGGCGCGGAGACAGCTAAGGCGGAAGTCAACAAGAGGGTCACTCGATCGACTGGCAGCTCCGACTAGGCTGACACTGATCGGAGGATGTGTCTGTTGGCACGGCCGACATGTGATTGGAGAAGAGACACTGGAGTGAAACGTTTAACCTCGTGGTCGAGGTAACCAGGATCTACCGGGAGGATGGGCCACAGCTACCTAGAGAATCGGCGCCAGCACGAATTGTGCCGAAGCTTGCGACTGGGATATGTTTCACTGTACATCAGAATAAAAGCCGAGCCAAGTGGAGCAAGTCTGTCTGTTGATTTACAGACAGGTAGGACTGCGGAGGGTTTATGAGGTTATGCAGCATCAAAATGCCATTCAAGTTCGTGTTATCAAATGCGCTTTTTGGCCCGTTGTATGTTTGCAATTGATCATGTGCCTGGACAGCCAGTGCCATTTCGCAGCCACGACGAGGACCACTCCTTTCCATAGTCCACGTCGGCGCCGGGCGCAGAGGCGTACACAAGCCTGTTGTTTGTACTTTGGTCAATTTTCGCTCCCGAGAAATCCGCAGCTAGAACAAGCCGGCTTCGACCAAACGCCCTTTGTCCTAAAAAGGGGGTTCTCAATCTTCCCAGATATACACGACGATTTGATATGATATGATAGACCAACCTAGGAGACTCAAGAAGTTCCCATCCCTCCTTGTCTCATACTCGACCTAAGAGTGCGTCGGCATCGCGACCTGCTTGTCGGTGGCCAAGGCGTCTTCGGCCCGCCACAGGCTCGTCACGGTCTTCCACTGGGTGTAGAACCGCAGGCCGTCCTTGCCGTAGAAGTTGGCCAGGCCCGTGCCGGCGACGGACTTTTTGTTGCCCGTGAAGGAGAACATGGGCAAGGGCACGGGGATGGGGACGTTGATGCCGATCTGGCCGGCCTCGAGCTCCTTCTGGAACAAGCTGGCCGTGGGGCCGGAGCGGGTGAAGACGGCGGCGCCGTTGCCGTAGGGGTTGGCGTTGATCAGGTCGATGGCCTCCTGCGTGGTCTCGACGTTCAGGCACACGAGCACGGGGCCGAAGATCTCCTCCGTGTAGCATTTCATGTGTGGCTTGACGTCCGTGATGACGGTGGGGCCGACCTGCGGGGACGTCAGTCAGTTATGGCGTGTCGACAGCGACAAAAGAAAGAAAGACAGAGTCAGGCAAGTCTCTGGCAAAGAACTTACCCAGTTGCCGTTGGGATACTTGGGTGGGTATTGCCCTCTTCCGTCCAGGAGGATGGTGGCGCCCTCGTCCTCGGCGCTCTTGATCAGGTCCTCGACGCGCTTCTTGCTCTCCGGGCTGATCAAGGGGCCGAGATCGGCGTCTGGCTCAAAGCCGCCGTTGATGGTCAGTTGCTTGGCGCGCTCGGCCAGCTCCGGGAGCCATTCCTTGGTTTCGCCGACCATGACGAGCGTGCTGAGAGCCATGCATCTTTGGCCGGCGGCGCCAAAGGCCGCTCCAGCGAGGGCGTTCAGGGCGTGATTTTTGTTCGCATCTGGCAGGACGGCGGCGTGGTTCTTTGCGCCCAGGTTGGCTTGGACGCGCTTGCCCTGCGCGCTGCCCCGGGTGTAGATGTATTCGCCTGCGCGGTTGGAGCCGACGAAGGAAATGGCCTTGATGACCGGGTCGTCGATGATGAAATCCACCGTCTTGGCGCCGCCGTGGACGATGTTGACGACACCGTCGGGGAAGCCGGCTTCCTTGCACAGCTCGGCGATGATCATGGCGGCACCGGGATCCCGTTCGCTGGGCTTCAGGATCAACGTGTTGCCGGTGACCGTCGCCAGCGGGATGCTCCAGAGGGGGATCATGGCCGGGAAGTTGAACGGGCAGATCGCCGCCGTCACGCCCAGGGGCTCACGGTAGGATCTTGTCTCCATGTCCTTTGCGACCTCGATGACCTCGCCCGTCAACTGGGTTGTGATGCCGCAGGCCGTTTCGCACACCTGCAGTCCGCGGAGGACATCACCCTTGGCGTCTGCAAATGTCTTGCCTTGTTCGAGCGTGATGGCCGCGGCCAGGCGGTCCATGTTCTGACGGATCAGGTGGGTCAACTTGAAGATAATCTGCTGCTTGGACATGATGGATGTGGCCCGCCACTTGGGGAATGCCTTTTCCGCCGATGCAACAGCCGCTTTCAATTCTTCCTCGGTGGACTGAGGCACGCGGGTGACCAGGTTGTTGGTGGCGGGATCGTTGAGGTCGATCCATTGTGACGTCTTGGAGGGCACGAACTCGTTGTCGATGAAGTTGTGCGTGTCGACCACGTTCTGGATCTGCTCGTGCGAGGTGGGATAGTCGGCGACCGCGGTGCTCGTGGCCGCCAGGTGCCGGGTCGTGGCATGCAGCCGCCGCTTCGCAATCTGCTCGTTCGGCGCCATTCTGAGGCTTCTGGAGATCTGGGGGGCTGCGGCTCGTCTGGCTGTCAAGGCGGGGACAGCTCTCAACAGCGACCGGCGGGCGGCCATCGTAGGATGTAATGATAAGATACAACGAGAAGCGGGAGACCGGTTCAGACACTGAGTACGCCCTCCAGACAGCAATATCTCTCCGTCAAAGAATATTGGGCAAGCACCAGCAGCACCAGCACCAGCACCAGCAGCTTATTGAAGAGGGAGCGTGATGAAATGCAGCATGCCGGTTGCGGAGAAACCCCCAAGAAGGTCAAGAGGCGAGAAAATCCCGTCCGAGGTTTTAATTTCGCCGCCGTCCGGCTGTTTTTCTATTGGCGGCCAAGGCGGCGGCAGGGACTGAGGGGAGAAGACCGACTCACTGACTTGGTCTGGCATAGTCATGAAAGAGCCGGAGATCGGTTGTCCACGGCCCACCGGCTACGAGGTACGAGGACAAGCATTCGATTTGATTATTGGGAAGACCTTCATTCTAATGTGATGGTGTTATTCCGTGGCGTATATGTACACCAGTGCTACCGCACCTTAGCCCCGTCTTGATACAGTCCATCCCTTTCACAATCCAACTCCAGAGGTGGTACAGTTCATGATCTCATGACAATTCCCAAGCGTGCTGCCTCTTCTTGCCACGAATGTCGTCGGGCTCTTTCAGCCTCGAAGTTGCTGGGGCTGCTGTGTTTTCTGGCGATGCCCTGTGATACCCACTTGGCGTATGCTTTCGCCTGCAGGTCGCGGACAGAGCTGTGGCGACGCGGTGATTCCTCTTCGCCTTGGTTGTTGCGATGGAAGAAAGACATTGTGCTGATGTACTAGTGTTATTATTTGTATGGAAGATTAGATGTCGGGTTGGCTGTGATGATTGTGCTGATTCAGTCCGGTGTATCCACTACTGGCGACCTTTTCGTGTTGATTTGTCTGGAGATGGAGATGAAAGCCAAGATGCGGCGCAACCTACCTTTATATAGACATCTTGAATGAGTCCTTTGGCTTCAGAGCCTCGCCGCAGGCAAATACTTTTTCCCTGAGGCATTTGCACACGGCTAATCCCCATGATCTCTGTCAAAAGGAACGTGCGACATTTCTGCTGCGAGGCCAGGGGCGATGCGATTGGCCGCCCGGGGCTGTGCGAACGTCGAGGCCTCAGTCAGATTCGCATTGGACGCCAAAAACGGACTAGAGCTCGGAAGACTTTCCTCGATCAAAGCCTCGACAGGTACTCGTAAAATGGCGCAACGTGGAATGAGTGACGTCAGATACTCCTCGCCGACGGTGCTGTGTGCAGTGGGCCGAAGAGCATGCCTCGCATCGCATATGAAAGATAGACATGCTGGGTACAAGAACATCCAAGGCACAGCTGCCCTCTATTGGGAAGTACCTCAACATCTTGTGAGCGTTCGCGCCTGTGGAATGCAGTTGCGCCAACTCCATCCTCAAAAAAGAGCACGCGCGCAAGAAACTTCGAGCCCGCCGGCAGAATGTGTCTCATTAATGAGCATGTGCTCGTCTTTATGGGTATCGTCGTTCTTTCGTTCGTGTCGAGCTGTTCATTCATCCCCGTATGCAAGATCCGCTTCGTCATTGTCCTTCTTCTCAGCCGGGCCCTTGTAGTCATACACCAGGCGGACTCTTTGGAACTCGGCATTCTTCCAGACCACAATGCGGCGAGTATATCGCCTCTCGCCGTTGATCTCTTCGAAGCCCCAGACCATCTCAGCCTGCCACCCTCCAGCATCGTCCACGTTCTTCACCAAGCTCTGGACATGTTCGTCGTCCAGGAACTTCGAATCTGTCTGCCCATCCTTGAGCTTGTGAGCCTGCAAGAACGCCGCATCCTCTTCTGAACCAGGACCCTCCATCTTGAATTCGCCTGTCTTCCACAGCCGTGACTTTCCTCGACAGTTGCCGAATATGCGGTCAGCGTGCTCTCGCTCTTTCCAATCGAGGGTGCGGTTCTCCTGCGTCGTGGACAGGCCGGAGGCGACCGAGGTGATGTCGACGTGATAGATGTCGTCTTGCTTGTACTCTTTGATTGTGAGCTGTGGAAAGTCAGTCCCGACACCAGCAGAGTCAGGGTGCCCGACGTACCACGACCGTTGCCAGACGGATGGCGGTTCTCGTGAGCCAGCTCAGTCCTTGGAGGGCGAACATAGGGTCGGTGTCGTCCGAGAGCGATTTGTTCTCATCGATGTCAACGAAGGCCCATCTGCTCAGAGCGGTGAGTTCTTACCATGACGAACTTGCCAGAGAGGTTGGTGCAGGTGATCTCAGGTGGCGCAGCCATGGTCGCGAAGTTGGCAGGGCGGATGGATGTACTCTTGCTGCTCAAGACGATGCGCGGTATAGATTCTCGTTTTGAATGCACTCGAGGAATGAAAAGAATGCAACGTTGATGGAGCAGTTCAAGAGGGATTGGCGGCAGCGGTGTGCCTTCTCCTGGACGTTTGACGTTTGACGTTTGACGTGTCAACAATGTGTAGGCGTTCACAATTACCCCGCCATGGTCGCGAAACAGATTCAGTGCACGAGACACTCAGCATCTATCTTCACCGCCGACTGCACTCCGCCCACTGAGAACCGATTTATCCCGTTGAGAAGTCGCGTTCGAATCCTGAGACATCATCCGTCCAAAGGCAGCAATGGCGATCTTGTTCTGGGTCGTCAAATCAACATCGTAGGTAAAGGAGGCAATTTTGGTCCACTCCGCCTCCAGAGCTTCGATACCGTCCGCCTATTTCCAAAACCCATCACACACATACGAGTAGATCAATCCTGCCGTCCTCGACAGATTAAGAACCCGCAATGCTCTCGGTCTCCTGAGTTTGTCAAAGGCCGCAAAGGCCGCCGAGGGCTGGGACTCTGCGCCTTGACATCCTCACATCCTCACATCCTCACATCCTCACATCCTCACATCCTCACATCCTCACATCCTCACATCCTCACATCCTCACATCCTCACATCCTCAGTTCTGTGTCATGTCAGCCTCGTGGCCCCCCTGTCCGCAAAAGTGTCCGGTGGCAATGGACGCCTTGTGAAGACCCCAGCGCAGCGCACCTACTGGCCTGCCGTGCCTGACAAAGATACGCATCACTACTACACCTGTACCTTGTCTTGACACTAGAACTAGATTTTATGTCCCTACATGCCTACCGAGGGCCAAAGGGGGAATTGGAGTGAACACCTTCCCCTCCTGGTTCTATTTCTCTTTGTCTCTTTCCCTCCCCCGTTCCGAGTCAGCCGCTCCCAGAGGATGTATAGAGAATGTGTAGCATTATCGGTTTATTTTGCCCCGGGAAAAGTATACTGTATACAGTATACAGTGTACAATTTACAGTATACAGTGTACAATGTACAGGACAGGGTATAAATAACACCCTCCAGCGTAAAGTTTACCTCGTCCGAGTACGAGTACAGTAGCCAGCGTTCTATGTGGATCCCAGAGCGGACGTATAATTATATCCTCATGGCCGACGCTCTTCACCCCAAGATAACAAGGTCATTATACATACACACACATATGTGGTACTGGTGCTGTTGGCAGCTCCGTGGCCCAGCAGCGTCACAGTACATACTTATTCTCCTTCCCGTTCTACCCACCCGACATGCACGTTTTCTATCAAACAATCGAACACAGACGTACTTTCCAGGCATGGGCCCCGGCACTGCCTGCACACATACCTCCCTACCTAGGTGCCTACTGTAGTACACCTTGCACCTCATGCTGGATTGGGAAAGCGAAAGTCGGATCTCAATTCATTTCTCCCTTGGCACATACATACATCCGTACGTACGCCAATCGCCAGCAGTCGGAAGCCAGTCGCCATGATTATTCTACAGTAACCCCCCGGTCCATCCATCCTGCCCTGTGGGTCCTGTGGTTCGGTATTCAGGACATCAAACAGTGCTGTTGATGGTAAATCCTAGCGCGCAATGATGTACGCCCTTGCCTGTCTGTCGATGTCAACGTCAACGTCAATGCGCCACAGCCATGACACCACGATAGTATTCCACACCCAGTGCTCGCGCGTGGACCAATCTTGCGTCCGCGGTGAGTGGTAGCTCGAGGATGGATTTCTAAAATGGATAAAACTGTGGTTAGCTAGTTCCTTGTAGTCACGGTAGTAAAGTGTAGTAAGTGTGCCCACTGTCCACTTCGGGCGATAACATACCTGGTCAGCAACGCCGCCGCCATGCTCCAGCTCAATCACTCTGGCCACGGCCTTGCCCATCTCGCGCAGCGCCACTCTCTCCTCGAGCTTCTCTCGGTCCTTGGTCAAGTCCAATGTGCGCGAAATGGAATCCGATGCCGATGCCGAAGCCGAACCCGAGCTGCTTGATTCGAACCGCGCGTTCAATCCCCTCAGCACGCCTTGTAGTCGTTCAAGCAGCGCGGCCTTGTTCTTGCGCTTCTCGGTTGCATCTTGGCTGGACGCGCGTCTTGCAGCTGGGGGTGACGGACCCATGAGTGCCATCAGCGCCACAAAGTCCGCATAGACGCCTCCTCCCCGTTTCCACTCGGGGGTCGTGTCCTGCTCAGCTGAAGCAGCAACGGCGGCATCGACCTTCTGTTCGGCATCCTCGCCGAACGTCGCGAGCACGTTGCTCAGACCCGCCCAGTCTTCATCAATGACAAACCGTGGCGCGACGCGGCGGAGCAGACACGCATGAGCTTGGGCATAGTCCGTCGCCAGGACGAGATAATGGAGTTCTGCGAGCGATTCGTTGCATGAACGTGTGTAGAGTGCCTTTGAGCGATACACCCATGTGGTCGGAATGTGGAACGCCCTCGTAAGAGCGGTCCAAAGCGGCTGGGACTGAGATTGAGACAAAGGCGGGGCCGGTAGGCTCGCAGCGTGGCGGTCGAGAAGATCCTGGATCTGACGTGCTCGCTTTGTCGGATCGCTAAGGTGCAGGAGGGCGTACGCGGCTCCGATAATGTTCCCACGGGCCGAATGCTCAAAGGCCAGCGTCAGGGCGAGGGCGTTGGCTTTCTCTTGGTCAATAGAGACATCGGACAGCGCTGCGGCGATGGCGTTGTACAGGCGGAACGTCTTCTGGGAGTCCCATGGTTGAGACAGCGCAGACAAGGCCTGGGGCAGAACCGGCTTCTCGACTTTGACGGCGGCAGCATTTGCTCGGCTTCCCTTGCTTTTGCCGGCGAAAAGCCTCAGCACAACCCACAGAGGATCCTCATATCCGTTGCTGCCCACCGGGGTCGCCGACTCCAGGTTGGAGCTCAATTTGCTCTGAAAGTCCGCCACAATCTCACCGATGTCGCCGTTCTTGTGTTTGCCATACCACAGACACAGCGCAAAAGCCTGGATCCAATCGAGCTCGAACTTCTCCGAAATGGCAAAGGTCGAAGCACGGTCTTCGACGGCAACATTCTGCCGGCCCTGTGCAATGCTGGTGTTTCCGGAGAGGATCTCGTACAAGGCTCTGATCTCTTCGCTCATCTCGGAAATGACAGCCTGTCCGCGCCAGTCGGAGATCTGAGTTGCAATGTCTTCCTGAAAGGCCGCATCAGCCTGCTCAATCTGCGCCACGAGCAACGTGAGATGGAAGTCCTTCTCCTGCATCAGCGCATCACATGCGGCGTGGACGTTCTTCGCGGTCAACTGGAGGATAGCAGCGGTCGCTGCATTGATCTTGAAGGCTGCCTTGATGCGATCCCCGTGTCGGCGCCAGACCAAGTCGGCCAGATACTTCGACAGTCGATCTTTCCGAATCCGCGGCATATACTCTTGCTGCTGCTGGCGGGACAGACCGAGGGTAAATTCGTCTTCGTAGTCATCGAACAGGACGTGCAGCAGCTCGTAGACGTCAAGTTCGTCGGTCCCACCAAGTTGCTGGGCCAAGTGAGCTTTGACTTGCGAGAATGGTAGGACATCGTGTTTGATGGAAGGGACGTTGTCCTTGACAGAGACCTGGGCGTCCGTTAGAAGAGCATTGGCGTCCATGGCGGCCTGGATGATGAGTTAGCCAAAACTCAAGAAAGCGGCGAATACATCCGAGTATCTGCTCTCACGTACATTCTCGAGATTGGCTGCCTGGAGCGAAGTAGCCACAATGTCCTTGCCGGTCGCTTCACTGTGTGCCAATAGCTCCGTGGTCCAGCCGTTATCGCCTGCCAGACCATCTGACTTGTAGATGAGCTGGTTTGTCGCCGTGAAATGGGGCTTGAAACTGGCGTGCCAGCGCCTGTCGTCTTCCCCGAGTTCGATCGCGTCGGCTTGGGCTTGGTCGTCGAAGGTCTTTGCGCGCTTGGCATATGGAAACTAGAGAGACGAAATGTTTCAGCAATGTACTTTCATTTGAACTACCTACATATCTGTGCTATGAGCAAATGACCGTGCCCTGGTCTCTGATCCCTGATACCCCTGTCTGACATTCTGGGCATCAAGTTCGTCCCTTCACTGAGATTTCATTCAATATTCCAATCCGCCGCAGGGATCAGAGCACAAGGGGTCAAGAAAGAGTGATGGGGAAACAAAGGGAGCAAAGGGGGAAATTCAAACCTCGAAATCCGGCTCAGACTGCGCCTTGCCCTTCCTCCCCTTCAAGTCCGCCATTCTCTCCTCGTGTCTGCTAAACAGAGAGTGCATGATGTCGATGCTGGTTCGAAAGTCCTTCTTGTTCGCTATTTTCGTCGAGCTCGGCTTCATCGGTTCATATGCACGATCCAGCAGCACCTTGCTCTGGACCTCTCGAAGTGCGTCGCGATTCTGCTTCCGTGGACTGATGGTACGCTGGAGCTGTTCCGCCCAGTCGCCATCAATATTAATGAGAGCTTTGCCGGGCGTGCCCATGGTGCTGGCCTTGAGGATCGGTTTCGCAGGACTGGCCGCTGGAGGCGGGTACGAACCAGCCATGCTCATTTCATCCTGGTCTTGTTCCTCATAGTCGTCTTCCTCCATTCCGGAATCTGCTGGACCGTCCTCGACTTCCTGAGCAGAGGGAACGTTATCCTCGTATTCGATGGCAGACTGGCGGCCATAACCGCCCGGCAGCGTCTTCTGCTTGAATGCAAAGGTATCGTCGTCATCGTCACCTTCATCCTCGTAATCATCATGTTCTTCGCTGTCAACGTCCATTCCCGAGTCGTCTGCAGACCGAGAGCTTGTGAGTGAGTCGGGTGGAGCGGAAAGTTGGCTCTGGCCCAACTCGTCATCCTCATCGTAATCCAATCCGTAACGGGTGTAATGAGGAACTCGGAATGTCCAAACGCCAGTGGCCACATCATAGCTCACGAATTCAGTACCGTTCATCTTCTTGAGGCGATTGACATGCTTGTCAAAGATAGGTCCGCTGGTGGCCGAGGACGGCCGACCACGAGCCCGTGGCCACGAGTTCTCAATCGAGATGGTCGAAGGGACGTTCAGCCCCTTGCCAACTGGTGGCTTGGAGCTTGCGTCCGGATAGACTGTGACTGAACGGAGACGGATCTCGACAATTTTCTCGTACAGATCGTCGAGAGGAATGCTGGTCAGGTCGACTGGGCCGTTGAACACGACTTTACCGCATCCCTTCCGGCCAACCTCGAAGCCAACAAACCGTGACAACTTGTCGCGCGGAAGCTTACTGAGTTCGGCACGAGTGGGCTTCATCCAGTAGTCACCAGGTTGAGGATCGGGCTTGGCCTGCACAGTTACCTTTCGGGAAGATACATCGTTGGACTCACGATCTTCCGGAACAACAGCAAGCTCATTCCCTCGCACAGGCTCGGCTTCAGGTGTGGCACTTCCATTTGTGATTCTGCTGCGCTCGTGCTCGTCTTCGTCATCATCGACCGCCACCAGGGCCCCAGCTTCACCGTTCGAGGCGCCATTCTGGCCACCCGCGGTATCTTTGTCGAAGCTAACTCGCTTCTTGAGCTTGTTCACCGGCTCCGCACCTGATGAGTCGAGATTTGTCGGAGCGAGTCCGGTATTGCCGTTGGTTGACTTGTCAAGCCCATTCGTCGGGAAAGCGGGCAAGGAAGGCCGGCTGAAGAGATCGTTTCGTATGCTCCGATCAATAGTCAGGCGGCGCATGCTGCCTCCAGACCATCTGGTATTGGTAGCAGCGAAAGCATCCGGACTGAGAACGCCATTGCCCTCTGCGTTGAAATGAGACCGCAGATTGCTGACCGATACACTCTTTCCAAATGAGCGACCGAAACTGCCGCCGTTGAAGCTCCGGCTGCCGTACATGCTGCCACTCAAGCCACTTCCGCCGGGCGTGCTGGCTGCGCTGTTGGGGGTGCCATACGTTGAGTACGAGAATCCGAAGCCCGAGCGACGAGGTGGGGTCATGTAGCGAGACTGGTTCAATCGGAGACTTGGTGGTGGCTTGGATTGACTCTCTTTCATTTTCTGGGTTGCCGACAAAGGAGTGAAGAGTGGCTTGGAGTTGTCGGGGCTCGGGACTGGGAGCCCGGTCCAGATGGACGTCTGACCGTAAGGGTTGGGATCATTCAGGGACGATGTCTTGAACTCGGACTGCTGCTGATTCTGTTGAGTGCTCTGGGCCGGTGCAAAGAGGCTGTTGCCAAAGCCGCCTTGTTGCTGGTTGGTGCTGGTCCCGAAAAGCGAGCCAGTCGCGGGCTTGTTGGCGTTGTTACCGAAAGAGAATCCCGAACCAGTGTTGTTGTTGGTACTTCCGAATAAGCCACCTGACTGCTGGTTATTATTCCCTCCGAAAAGACCTGTGCCTGTACCCGAAGCGTTGGTGTTGCCGAACGTGCTACCTCCGAACAGACCGCCGGGCTTCTGCTGGTTATTGGAAGTGCTCCCAAAGAGACCTCCACCAGCGTTCGTACTGGGTTGGCTTCCGAACAGGCCACCACCAGTGCCAGTGTTCGTATTGGCATTGTTGCCAAAGAGACCGCCGCCAGTGCTGGTATTTGTGTTGCTTCCAAACAAGCCCCCGGAAGATTGGTTCTGGTTTGTCGGTGCCCCGAAACTACCCGTGCTCGTGCCGAAAAGCGAAGGCTTCTGCTGGGTGTTGTTGGTTCCAAAAAGCCCTCCAGACTGCTGCTGATTTCCACCAAATGCACCCGTGGTAGAGTTGTTGGTGTTGGTGCCGAATAAGCCGCCGCCTGTGCCCGTGGTGGACGTGTTGGTATTGCCAAAAGAAAACGTCGAGCCGGTATTGCCAGTGTTGGTGCCAAACAAACTAGGCTTCTGCTGACTCTGGTTGTTGTTATTCCCAAAGAGTCCTCCGCCGGATCCAAAGCCGGTGCTGCTCCCGCCTCCAAAAGCATTGGTTGACGTATTGTTCGAGGTTCCAAAGAGGCCGCCTGAGGGAGCTGCCGAAGACTGCTGGCCGAACAAGCCGCCACCAGCAGGTTTGCTCCCAAACAGGCCACCACTCCCGAAACCCGTCGTTGAGGTATTGGCTCCAAAGCCCGACGAGGTGGTGGCCGCAGCGCCGAATGGATTAGAGTTGGTGTTGCCGCCAAACCCACCGGTGTTGCTTGATCCGAAGCCACCAAAACTGTTCGTCCCAAATCCACCGGCCTGGCCTGTGTTGTTCCCGTAACGACGACCTGCATTGTAGTCTGCCAGTCGCAGCTCTTCAAATGAGTATTTCTGGTATGGTGGCATGAAGTTGATGCTCTGGTAATTGCTCGACACCCCTGCGGCTTCTTTCTCCAAGGTCGGCGCATACGGCGTCGAGGCTGTGCCTTCTGAGGGAGGGACGGACTGATTGCTCAGAGCAGTTCCGCTACCCGCAGCGCCAAAGGGGCTTGAAGATGAACCAAAGCCGCCAGTTGTTCCTGAGCCGCCCTGGCCAAACAACGGGGTAGAATTGGTAGTCGAGCCGAACGCAGGCTTTGCCGCACCAAAGCTAAAGCCCGAACTACCGGTGTTGCCGCCGAATGCATTGTTCGTGGTGCTACCTCCAAAACCACCTCCTGAGCCAAATCCGCCAGTGTTGGTTGTTGAGCTGCCGAAAAGTCCCCCGCCTGTATTGGAGGCTGTCGAGCCGAAGGGATTGGACGCTGGCTTGCTGCCAAAAAGAGAGCCGGTGGTGGAGGTGTTGGACCCGAAGCCTGCAGAGCTGGTCGTTAGTCTATCGCTCTCCAATTTGTGAGATGAATCTCCGTCATTGGAACGACTGAAGTAGATAGGAGCATTGCGCTTGGATATTGGCGAAGGCTTGCCCCATTTCGACATTGTGCTGTGTCCGCACGGACCAGTCGTTCGAGAGGGAGGTTGGAAGAAAGGTGAGCCGGGAGATGAACAAGAAGAAAAATGGTATTGCCAGGTGAGGCAGTTGAACGAGTGAAGCCTGCTGCCTGCGCACATCTCTCACGTACCTCCTGTGTTTGTGTTCGACCCGAATGTGCTGCCCCCAAACGGATTCGAGGTCGCGGTGCTGGAACCAAAGCCGCCAGTATTGCTCGTGTTCGAACCAAAGGCTCCTGATACCATGCCGTCAGCCTTGCAGCTTTATCGAAAGAGGTGTGACATCTGCTTACCTGCGTTGTTGTTCGAACTGGCCCCAAAGCCCCCAAAGCCACCACCCTGATTGCTGGTGTTACTGGCACCAAAGGAGAATCCGCCGCCGCCACCGCCGAAAGACATGCTGGCGGGGATTGATGCGCGTCGCGCTATTTTCGAAAGAGGGCACGAGTCAAAGAGAGTACGAAAGAGCGTACGAAGATATGGTGTGAAGGAAGGGGGAAAGGAAATTCGTGGGTGACGCGCTGAGACGAGCTTTTAGTCCGAGTCGACTCGCAGAAGCGATCCAGGCAGCACGGCTATGGGCGGAGAGATTGTCGTGCAAGACGGCGTCTTCTCAATACCAGCATGCCACCGTTTCTCCCTGCGGACAAGAAGAATGGATCAGACTCGAGCGGCGACGCGCTAGGAGGTCGCAGTTGATGAGTTGAATAGAGCCTGCGCTTACCAGAAAACGGGTCTCCAATTAATTGAGCTGGACAACTCGCCCGGTCCAGGGACGGTCACATGACATCTATGGAGATGACTAATCGACGGCACATTTGGGTTCTTTCACCTCTTTCACCACTCTGGTGCTTTGGCGTTGTGTCCGGCACGCATGGGACGAGGCTATCTACAGGCGGCGCAGTGATCGATCATGGTCCAGAACAATACGTGGGCTAGGCAGCAGGCGCAAGAATTGTGAGATGCTGCAGAGCTATCCAACTACGAAAAGCTATGTGCTTTCCTCACTGCAGGCAGAAATCGACCAGAGGCAATGATTGGGTATATGTATAATGGCTGTGTCCTGGCTGCTCGGGTCCGAACCAGTCTTGTCTCCTTCACTTCTTCTTTGACGCCTTGACAGTCTCGATGATCTTGTCAACCACACCCGGGTCACTCAGAGTCGAAGTGTCGCCAAGGCTGTCCTCCTCGCCGCTTAGGATCTTTCTCAAAATTCTCCTCATGATCTTGCCGGATCGGGTCTTGGGAAGGTCATCGACGACGAAGATGGCTTTTGGTGCAGCGAATGGCCCGATGGACTTGCGGACTTGGAGGATGAGATCCTTGCGTATCTGCTCGCCAGGATCCACGCCGTCCTTGAGCGACACAAAGGCATTGACAGCCTGGCCAGTGAGCTCGTCATTTATGCCAACCACGGCAGCCTCGGCAACACCGTCATGCTCGATTAGAGCAGCTTCGATTTCTGACGTTGAGAGACGATGCCCTGATACGTTGACGACATCATCGACACGTCCACGAATCCAGTAATAGCCCTGGGAGATCATCAGTGTTTTGCTCATATCGACAGGACGACATCACCACGGGGACCTCGAGATCGTTGCGGAAGTGGGAAAAGGGGGGGACTTACTTCGTGATCACGACCAGCGCCGTCACCAGTGAACTGTTCATCGTGTCAGTCAAACGTCTCTTGCAGCGCTCGAACACAGACTCACATAGTAACCCTTGTAGACATTCAGGTATGTGTCCATGTATCTCTGGTGCGCACCCCACACGGTTCGGGCCATACTTGGCCATGCTTGCTTGAAAGCCAAGACGCCTTCAACGTCATTGCCTTCAATTTCCTTGCCCGAGACCGGGTCGATGATGGCGGGCTCAATGCCGAAGAAAGGCAGAGACGCACTACCGGGCTTCGTGGGGGTGATGCCAGCCATGGGTGTGATGACATGGGAGCCAGTCTCTGTCTGCCAATATGTGTCCACGATATGTGCCTCCTCTTTGCCGACGGATTCAAAGTACCACTTCCACACTTCGGCTGCGATGGGTTCACCTACGGAGCCCAACACGCGCAACTTGTGCAATTGGTGGTGGATGTGCTCATCACCGGCTCTCTTCAACAGGCGCAGTGCAGTCGGCGCAACATAAAACTGCGTGACATTGTGCTTGTCAATGACGTCCCAGTAGCGAGAGAAGTTGGGGTAGGCCGGGGTGCCCTCGAAGACGACGGTCGCAACACCGAGGAGGAGAGGCGCGTATACGACGTAGGTATGGCCGGTAATCCAACCAACGTCACCGCCGCAGAAGAAGACGTCGCCGTCATGGATATCGAACACGTACTTGCCGGTCGCAGCCGCGCCTAGCAGGTAACCCGCAGTTGAATGCATGACGCCTTTCGGCTTGCCGGTCGAACCTGACGTATATAGCAGGAACAGAGGGTCTTCGGACGCGACGGGCTCGGGGGGAATGTAGGAAGGGTATTTCGCCGTCTCTTCGTGCCACCAGAAGTCTCGGCCCTTGGTCCAGGGCACGTCCGCACCTGTTCTTTTGTAAACCAGCACTCGGTGGACGTCGGGGCATTTCTTGAGAGCTTCATCCACGATCTTCTTTGTGCCGATCAGCTTGCCACCACGCTTTCCCTCGTCTGTGGTGATGACCACCTTGGAGTTGGCGTCGATGATTCGATCCGCCAACGAGCCGGCGGAGAAACCGGCAAACACAACTGAGTGGACGGCGCCGATCCGGGTCACGGCGAGGAAGGAGATGACGGCTTCGGGAATCATGGGCAGATAGAGCGCAACCGTGTCCCCTTTCTTGACACCCATCTGGGTCAAGGTGTAGGCCACTCGTGAGACCTCGCGCAGGAGCTCGCCGTAGGTGAGGACGCGGCCTTCGCTTGGCTCGTCGGCCTCGTAGATGATGGCCGGCTTGTCGGGGTTTTTGATTGCATGGCGGTCGACGCAGTTGTAGCTGGCGTTCAGCTGGCCCTCCAGAAACCAGGCATTGTCGCCATTGGCAAGCGTACCGGAGTGGACCGTCTTGAAGTCTCGCTGCCAGTCCAGCAGTTCTCGGGCCATTTTACCCCAGAACTTGTCTGGCTGCTCGATCGACTCCTTGTACATGGCCCAGTATTCGTCCAGGTCTTTGATGTGGGCCTTGCCGGGGCCCTTCTTCCAAAACGGTTTGGGAACACTGTGAGCGAGTTAGCACGAGCGAGTCAGCGGAGGAGGCGGGCTCTCCAAGCATACTGGTAGGTATCGACCTGATGGGCTTCGGCCTGCGTGTGCGTGGTCAGTTCACCAGAGAGGCACGAAATCCGGGTGAAAGGAAGCAAATCTGCTTACCACGACGGGGCCGTCCTTCTTGGGATTGGGAGGCGCGACGTCTCCTTCGGACATTGTGATGAGCTGCTCGGTGAGCTGGCACTTAAGAATGGGCAAGGGCTGGGGAAGGGGAGAGTAGAAGTCCGGCTTGGAGCGACTCTGGAGCGGGAAAGAGATTATGTTTATATCGTGCTTCGGGTGCTGGGGGCTCTAGTTGCGCACGAACGGTGCGAGTGGACACCAGGAAAGCAGGACCCGTTCCACGGCGGGGAGATCAGGAGCTCTAATATAGAATGGCGCACCACAGGGCCGTCAACTGCAGGAAATGCTGATGACGCTACTTCGCACAGTCGCCGACCATGGAGCAAAGGGACGCGGCTTGATCGAGTGACCTGCACACCTGGCTGTGTCGAAGATTCGCGCGGATTTGCATTGGCATATCGTCACACCAAGAACCAAACAAGACCGTTTTTACGGAAACAGCTTGGGACAACAGCGTCGGATGGGCGCCCCCGCAAAGCTGGAGCTGCTTCGATTGGATCTTGCCGGCCATCAGCGATGCCCCTCGATACAGGTGGAGTGCCCTGCTTGCACCCCTCCAACCAACGGTACACAGCAGGCCCCGCCATCATCCTTTTCCTTTTATCCGCCATGCAGTGGCTGACGCGCCCGAAAAGCCCATCCGCAGTGTGAGCTCATCCGCCTTTTTTTGGCCATGGTCAGACACAACTGCCCCGATCTGTTTCGACGAGGGTCTGCCTCACACCGAGGCGTTGACGATCAGATGTGGTCGAGATACCTGTGCGGAGGCGACGTCTAGGGACCAAGCACTCTTTAAGTAGGACCCCGCACGGGGGGGCATACCAGTGTCACAACGCGTGGGAGCCTCTCAGCGGTCTGTTACAGTCCTCGGCCTTGCATCATCGGTCGGAACCCTGGTCGCGCCTACGGCAGCTCGTAGGGCTCCGAAACTCTGTACGAGGTACGCGTCCCTAGTACGGAGGCACAAGCGGACACCAAGGGCGATTGACGAGCTGGCTGGACATGGCGCCATGCAAGAGGCGACGAACGCCGTAGCGTGGCTGTCTTGGCTCAGTGCCGTACAGATCGGTACGTGAATTCGTTGACCGATCAGAGTATTTGGCTGTCAAACCCGGAATTTCTCAGAAACCTCATCTGACCACAGGGTCAAATCTTTGCCACTGCGGTGTTGACTGCGGTGTTGTATGCTTCTAGATTCAGACTCTTCCTTTGATCCAGGCCGCTAGTCCCAGGCCGAAGACCATAATCATGCCATCTCCGAATAGTTCCTTGCCCATCTGAATCCATAGCCCTATCCCGCTTTTGCCCGACCCGCCTTTGGTCAAGACCCGTGCGCTCTGCAGCAATAGTTCCCCGGTCAAGAACACAATAAACGGGTTCTGGAATGTTGCGGGAGCCGGCGGGTTCTCACCATACGTCTGCATGGATTTGTGGATGTTGAACACCAAGTACAGCCCTGCCAGTATCGCGAAGACCACATGCACAAGCTTCCAGATGCGCGTCGCTTGTATCTCGGCCGGGCTAGGTGGAGCCTTCTGGTTGCCCATTACCATGTTCGTCAAAAAGGGAGGAAGACCTGTTGCCTTTGAGATGTCGTCGGGAGATAGGCCGGGCATTGCACCCATGCCGTCCGGCGCACTTGGATCGGAGGTACCGTCCATTCCTCCCATCATGGCTTGCAACATCTTCAACATCGGGTCTTCCTGCTGTGTCTGACCTTGTCCTTCTTGTGGCAGGGGCTGTCTCAATATAGATCTCAAATACTCCTCCTGCGCATTCACCTGGTCCGGTGTCAGTGACGAAGTCGCAGCTGCCAGCGGCGGCGCTGTCTGCGGCGGTGGAGTGGACGTGGCAGGCGGTGTTGAGGCCGGCGACTCATTTCGCACTGTAGGATCTGGTGTTAGTTGCTTGATCCAGGAAGTAAATCGGCCACAACTTGAATGTAGGGAGAGTGTGCGCCTATTGTAAGGACAAACGACTCCATTCGAACGTAAGTCGAGGGTGGTAACTCTAGGTATTGTCGAGGGCGAACGACTCGACTCGACTCTTGCATGGAAGAGAAAGAGAAGAAACTCACTACTCTCCGGCGTCCTCCCACTGAGCCTCGTAATCTTATCCAGTCTTTCAGCCGCAGTGCTCGTGATCTTGGCTTCACGCTTCTGTCGCCGAATGCGCGCCTGCCGCTGGGCTGGTGTTTCTTCCGCGCCGTCCGCCATGGCGATGCTGGCTGGCTGGCTGGCTGGCCGGACTCAGGGTCCCTTGCTCAACAGAGCGATGCAAGGAGTTGCCACTTGCGGCAAGAGAAGCGCGAGTAGATGTGCGCTTTTCGCAACTGGTAAGGACAACCTGGCGTACGCAATTGGCAGGTTCCGTGCGAGGGACTAAAGTACAGCAACAGAGAGTACGGAGTAATTTACGAGGCGTTACTCCAGGACCGGCAGGAGCGTGGCAGGCAGCTCTACTGGTCGTGTCTGCGTGGGTTCAAATGTCCCCGTCCACGCTCAGCTGTTCAGTGATAATTAATTACAGAAGAGTTGGAGAAAAGGATGAATTCTGGAGAGATGCAGATGCCTACAGTATGACGTCGCTTTCGCTGGTCCTTCGATTCACCATCAACATGTCTCTAATTGCTACACCTTCTTCTCCGGTCCCTTTCACCATCTGAATGAACCTGCCACCCTGCCTCCCTGCCTCCAGCGCCCTCTCTCAGGGCCTGGTCGGAGCACGTCTCACACATTGCCTCGTCAATCCAAGTTCCCCGTGCCCAAAATACATGCGCGCTCACGCGCTCATCTGACGGTCCTTTTACTGCCTGACTCCACCGGACAGGTTTCGGGATATGCAAAAAGATGGATAGCTCTGGCACGCTCCCTCGTCCGAGCCGAGCTGTGCTGGGGGAGGCCAGATCCCCGAGGTACGAAGTCACAAGTCACCAACATTGAATATCGTGGGACTGCTCGCCGCACAATCCCGTCTTCATGAAGACAAGCGTAGATAGAATGGCCGTGCAGAGGATGCAGTGGTCATCTTCTGGGTGGGACACGCTCCACGACTTTAACCTTCGCCTATCCTCCTAGGCTCGATGTGAGACGTGTGAGAGCCGAGGACGGTATGCTGCGTCGTATGCTGATCCAGGACGGTGCCCGCCCAAGAACAATGACGCCGAAGCCGGTAGTGTCCTCCGTGGGGTCCCGAGAATGCAGGTATCGGGAGAAATCCTCCCACTAAACCTCCACGGCATCCTGCCAGACCACGCCAGGGAAACATTGCCTTGCAGTACGCCTGAAGGTATGAACATCCAAGCTTGAGTAGATTACCCTAGGACAGGACAAGTCGGTGGGCAAGATCTCCAAGAACTCAATGGACTCGAACGCCGCAGCTGGCCAATGCAGTTCCAACCAAAGCGCCAGTGTCATAGGTATCGTCACGTCGTGAAAAAAAGGTGTTTGCACTCTTGCATCTTGGACCCCCACCCTTCATTGTAAACAGATGGCATAAAAGGCCTCCTTCGCGACACTGCCCGTGCCGTCGTAGTCAAACTCCTCGACCATAGCGTGGATTTCGTCGTCGGTAAGGCCCGTCTCGCCGAGCTCGCGGGCCACGCGTCTGATGTCGTCTATCTCGATGTATCCCCGCTGCTCGGGGTCGAAGAGCAGCAGCGCGCGCTCCACTTCCTCGGTCGGGTCGCGCTCGAAGATCTTCTGCGCCGCAATCCGCTGAAACGGCACCTGCGCGAGCAGCAGCTGGCTGACGTGGTATGATTGTTGGCCTCGCCCGGGGGGCCCTCTCTTGAATTTCGGCTTGGGCACACCCTGCGTGTGCATGATTTGGGCGACTTCGGCCTTGGGGACCGTGAAGCCCAGGGACCGCAGCGCGACACGCACCTCGTGGTAGTCGAGATGGCGGTCGCGGTCGAGGTCGAAGAGGGAGAACTGTGATGTGGAATTGGGTCGGTCAGTCATTCAGCCCCCCCACGACTAATGGATTGATCGATCGATCGATCGACATTTTCACATTTGATTGCAAGGGGGAGGACGAGCGTCCACGCGCGTACCGATTCATTGATTTCGTCGCGCTGTTCTTCGCTCAACTCGCTCAGCGCGTTGGGTTCCTTCTCGGTGCTCTGTCGGCCTGCCGGCATCGCATGCGCCTGCTGCTGCTGCTGCTGCTGCTGCTGCAGTACAGGCGGTGCCGTCGATTGTGCGTACTGATATATTTGGTCGGGCCGGCGCCCGAAGGTCGATTGCGTGTATTGCTGGGACGGCGCAGTTGCGCCGGGTCTCTGCGCCGTGCGGTCGGGCAGCTTGCTCGAGGATGCGTAGACATTGCGAGCCGGGAAGGCGGGATTTCCTTGCGACATTGGCGGCGCGGGGGCATTGAAGGGGCGCAAACGCGCCAAAAAGTCAGCTGAATTGCCTTGGTCGCAGCATGAATGTGGACGCGGACAGCAGGGGCTCTGTAGTGTATGGGATAAAACGGGTGGTATGGTGGGATTTGTTGTTGACAGCACAAAGGCCGAGAGTTGGACGCGTGCCGAAAACGGACGCGCCTTGGAAAATGCCAAATTCCTCTCCAACTGGAGCACATTGGCGACCGGCCACCGTGAAACAACAAGTGCTGCTATGTACACAGTGTAGCGAGTAGTATCATCGAGGAGCGGACAATCTTTCCAGCGGCATTTTCGTTTTGGCTGTATCTCGTCCTACATGCTGGGATTCTAGCATCCATCCTGCTCTCTTCACGCCATATACTTCTTCAACCCCCTCAACCGCTTCTTCGCGTCTTCAAGAATATCGTCATTCTTACACACGGCAAACCTCATCCAGTCCTCCGCGAGATGCGCCCGTTTCTCCGTGTAGAACTCTGTGGGTGGGATGGCAGCCACGCCTAGCTCCATGATCAAAAACCACGACATCTTAAAATCCCGCGGCCGGTCCTTCACATGGTCAGGGAACTCGTATCCCTGGGGCAGCTTTACTTTCGACAAGTTCGCAAGGACAAAGTAGCCGCCTTCCGGGATAGAGTAGGGGATGCCCAGCTCGTCAAAGACCTCGCAGAACCGGTCCACCTTGCCCTTCATTTCGGTGATTTGCTGGTCCCAGAACCCGACTTTATCAGCTTGTTCAAAGCCAATTGCCGCGGCCTCCTGTAGAGGCGAGACACTCGAGTAGCAGATGCGCGTATGTGCCGCGGCCACGTACTTGATCAGCTCCGGCGGCCCAATCAGATATCCCACGCGCCAGCCCGTCGCGTAGAAGTTCTTGCCCGCCGAACCCACGGTGAGCGTGATCTTAGCCAGCTCGGGCGATAATGTGGCTATTCGTGTGAAGGGAACGTAGTATAAGCGGTCATAGACCTCATCGGAGAGGATGAGGACTTTATGCTTCAAGCAGAGGTCGCCAATCCGGGTTAATTCCTCCTTGTTCAGCACCTTGCCTACCGGGTTATGAGGCGAGTTTAACACGATCATCTTGGTCTTCTCGTTGAATGCCTTGGCGAGCTCGTCGAAGTCGATCGTCCAGTCCGCCGCGGAGGATGTCCGTTCGGCACCATCCTTCGGTGGATGCATAGGTACGTAGCGGATTGTGCCCCCGGGCATCTCGATATTGCTGAGGTATTGATCGAAGAAAGGCTCAAAGATGATAACCTCGTCCCCTGGCTCGATGAAGCCCATGAACGCGCTGAGCATGCCTGCACCCTGGTCAGAGACATGTATCGTGTCTTTCACGACTTGGTCCTACCCTCATTGGCTCCAGTTGTAATGGTGACCTCGGTCTTCGGATCCAGCGTCCTTCCAAAGAACGGTGAGTATGCATCAGCAATTGCCTTCTTCAGCCTCGGTCGGCCTTTCGTAGGCGAGTATTGGTTGCATTCTACTCGGTCCAGGGCGCTTTTCGCAGCGTCAATGATGAATTGGGGAGGGTTGTAACCACTGCCGAACCCACGGTCAGAAGCATGACCTTTACAAGTCGCGAGCGTGTGCGCATACTCACAAAAACCCTTGGCCCATGTTGACGATTGGCTGTACAGGCGACGCAGCGGCGGCCTCGTTTACTATCGACCAGACATCCTGCTTCTGCCCGGCCACCCGCTTCGCAGGCGCAAACTTGGCGTCCATCTTGCGGTGCGAAGAAAAAGTGCGGGCCTTGGTATGCAAGCCAGGCCACCAGATTGAGGGCTGTTCTGCAGGTAGGAGCTGGCGACTGATTGATCGGACCACGAGTGAGGCACGAGTAGGGGAGAGGTTGACGTTCATGCCGCAACAGCTGAGTCAATGGGCATCGACGAACACTTCAGGGCGCACACGTGCCAGTGGTGAGCATCCGAGATGAGAATTGCGTGAACACAATAAGAACCGGCCTGACCAGTCACTGACCAGTGAGGGGCTGCAAATTGCTGCGAGATCGGACGGTTGCAGAGCCGCTTACTGGGTACATAGACTGACGACATCTGCCAAGAAGACACTCCGGCTGAGGACTGGCACAGACTCGGCTATCCACCGTCGCTGACCGGAGGGATCGGAAGGCGGAGGGATCGGAAGGCAGAGGGAACCACGGCAACCGGAGGGCAGGAGGGTAATCACAGGAAGTCCACCTATGTTCATGATTCACATTTATTCATCAAGGGGGTCGTAGCTACAATTATCCACGGGCATATAACGCCATCCAAATATGCAATGCTGCCAGCCTTCATAGGCACGTCCCAAACTTTACAGATACCTCCTTGGGAGGGCCAGACACTGCTCGTGTCCTCCTCTAATCTCCAAATGCCTTAGGCATACCTAACAGTGTGCCCATTCTGGGGGTAGCCACCATAGCCGCCCGCGCCATAAACAGGCGGCGGCTGGGGAGGATACCAGCCTTGCGGCGACATCGCTTGCCCCTGGGGTGGTTGCCATCCACCTCCATATCCACGGTCTCTCATCTGGTCTGGAACTTGCGGTCCATCCCATCCAGGCGCGGCGTTGCTGTGACCGCCGCTTCTATACCTGTGACTGCCAGGCACGACGGCTTCCATTCGCTTTCCCCTCGGTCGCCTGCACGCTCGAACGACGCAGCCAAGGACAGCAAGGAGTAGAAGACCGCCTAATGCGCTAGCCAAGGCGATCACCAACGTCTTGTGGTCATCAATCCATGACTTCACTTCACCACCGATCGAGCTTCCCCTACACACGCCATTGTCACAGCGTCCACCACCACCACAAGGTGTGCCGTCCAGGAAATTTTGTTGCATACTGTAGCAGACGTTCGATCCAAAGTCCGGACTGGCGCAGCTCAGGCTACAAGTCTGACTGTTGCAGGCATAGGTGTCGTTGTCGCTGGTATAACTTCCCATGAGAGTCTTGCATTGCAAGTCTCGGCTTGTGCATTGTCCACTGGCACACTGAAGTCCGCTGCCGCAGTCCGTTCCATCGGGTGCGGTGGTGTCGGTCGGGCAGGTTCCATTGGTGCCCGAGCATGTTTCTTCAGGATCGCATTGACCTGTGCTGGCACGGCACACTGTTCCAGTCGAAGCAAATTGACACTGCGGCGTACAGCATCCTTCGTTGCTTGGGTCGCAGACTGCACCTGTGTTGAATTTGCAGGTGGTAGGGTTGCAGCATGCATTTCCTGCGCAGGACTCCTCACCACCACAATCGCAATCTTCGCCCTCTTCGACGATGCCATTACCGCACTGATTCCCACTGATCGTCACCACACCCTTGTTGTCAGTGAGACACGACGATTGGACCGAGTTACGTCCCAGAGCTGAGCAGATGTTGCCGACTGAGCAAGGCGAGAATCTGGTGATGCCGGGAGAAGAATATGGGTTCATCATGTATTGCGCGCTGGCGTCACAAGTAGAGGATGACAGGGGGCAACATTGTCCCGAGTTCACGACATTCGAGTCAGTGCAGGTGCTGGAATCGCAATCGTGGACGGCACCGAATGTGTGGCCACTCTCGTGGGCAAAGACTTGCCACAAGGTTGAAGTCTTCGCAATGACATTGGCTCCAGTCACGCTCTGAGTATTGCCGCCCGTATCTGTCTGAGAAGTAGCCCCGTGATTGCACAACTGCCCGAGCCACGCGAGGCCGACTTCGGCCCCTGTGTTACAAGTCGTAAAGAGGGACCAGTACGCATTGTCGTCGCCACGTTGTCCACGCCATGCGGAGAACAAGTTCAGTCTCTGCGTGATATCTGTGCTGCTGGAGCACCCTACATTCCATGGCGTCTGCGTACTTGCCGTTCCGGGACACTCAGCGTCAGAGACAGTCAGGTTGCGGAGGCCAAGGGTGATGTTGAATGTGGACTGGTAAAGCTCGGAAGCGGTGTTGACAACAGCGATGACGTCCTGCCGCAAGCTATCGGTGGAATTAAAACTCGCCGTGTACGTGCAGTCGCTGGCAACGCCAACAAGAGCGACTTTGCGGGTGGTGGGACAGCCGGCCGTGCTGCCGATGGTGGAAGCCAAATTGACACCAGCTGAATTACCCGAACCGATACCGCCACCGTCAATGTTCTGGCGCTTTTCGAACATGTTGTTAATGGCCATAGTGCCCACGTCGCCCCAGAAGCCATCGTCTCGTTTCAACATCAAATCGCGGTAGATGGGATGGTCGGGATGAGTATTGAACTCCAGCTTGTCGGATGCACAAGTCGAGCCGGCGTTGCGTTTAAGCTCGATATGAGTCTGTCGGCCAACGTCGGAATCCCTCCAGACGGCCATGTATTCATCGTCATCTTCTTCCAGCTCGGGATCCAATTCGTGCTTGGTGGCCATATAATTCGACTTTAGCTGGACATGATGGTGATTGCCCATGACGGTAAAGGCACCCTCAAAAAGAGGCTTGACCCCGTCTCTCCTCACTGTAATTCGGGCCCAGCCGACATGTTGATTGACGCCGTGTTCATCGACAAGGAATGCTTGACCCTGGTAGACTTTGTGGTCCTCCCGTTGCATCTTCTCTGCATGTCTGACATTGCCATCTTTGTCCACGAACTCGATGTACGAATCGTGATGGAGGATATCGTGATTTGGCTCAAGACTGAGCCGAATGTGTTCTGTGTTTTTGTGGAGGTCAAATGTAAGATCGAAGCTTGAGGTACAATGTACCCTCTGCGAAGGTGTGTGCAAACGAGGGTTCTCTATTAGCGATAGGTAGTTTAGAGGGTTTCTCGATTTGGAGTGTGCATCGACGGTGGACGTCAGGTACAGGCATGAAGCGACGGCCGCCGCGAGGCCTCGAAGAATGCGCATCGTGCGCTGAGCCGTGAGGCTGAAGGTTGGGTGGGTGATAGGATGCTTATATCCTCGACACGGTTTGCATTGGAGCACAAAACAAGTCGTACAGGCCGTGTTCTGGTGTAGCGAACGTTCGTCTGAGGGTGGATACGTGTACAGGCTCCCGGGAAGTGGTAGAGGCTCAGTTGGGGTCGACGTCCACTCTATCGTCGGCGGCTGGGGAATCAATATCCAATGCACAGCTCAATTAGTGTAACCCTACTTTTCTCGGTGACAAGAAGAAGCACCGAAGAGTGATTGTTGTCCCTAGAAGGATGGGGAGAAGGAAAGATAGAGAGGCAGCGAATGTATAGCGTTCTGTGCAGTCGTGTGCCGAGACGGCAAAAACGGACGAGGTTGCAGTCAGTCACTGTTGGGATTCTTACGATAGAAGTTCAGGGAGAAGCGGGCAACCCGCAGCTGACAACAGGCAATGGGCGATGGGCGCAGCGTTGTGGAGGGCGCAGCCACCTCGAACGGACCACTGACCGAGTCACTGGGCGGCTGGGCCGCGTGTTACGACTACGCCAAGCACTCCGGGGCTATCACTGCCCGGTTAGAGGAAGCTCCGTCCACTAACTAATTCAGTTGTACAAAATGGTACGTACGGAGTACACCCTCAGGCAACCAGCAACGCAGCCCAAGAAACAGCAGAATGATATCTCCAACCGCAATAACACAAGCCAGGAGAGCCGGGCGCTACAGGTCTCCGTATCTGCTGTCTTATTGCCAAACAGCATGATAACGACGTTCAGGTATCCAACGCCTCGTTCTCGAATCCCTGACGGCAACTTGATGAATAGTTGATGAGTGATATATACATCACTGTTCGCTGACGGCCCGCATGACGCGCAAACATAGGTGATCCCAAGACAATCCTGGCTAGCTATGTCAGCTCCCAAGACTCCAAGCCTCCCCTTACGCTTTCCCGGGTTGCTTCGCGATATTCCGGCGGTTGTGCTTCATCCTGCTGAAGCAGTGGCCGGTACACGGCTGTCTCACAAGCTCGGTGCCCGGCATCCCGTCTGTGGCAGTTACAGGGGGCCCGGCGACGAGGCGGCTGTGTCGCAGCCTTTTCCTCGAGCAGCCTCAAACACTTCTGACACAGCGCCCATTCACTACGAGTTGAAAGTACTTTAATTTTCTTTCTTCCTTCAACAAGGTATGCTATCTGAAGATCTCAATTACAGAACACCGCCTTCGGACGCCCTTTTCATCACTAGAACGAGTCATGAAGCTGGGATATTAGTATCGGTCGACGGCGCTTCAAGCCTCAGTCTCAACTCCAGGCTCTCTGCCATTAAGTCCACCCATGCCCAATTTCTGCTTGAGTTTACCCATCCCGATTTTCGCCTCGTCTTTGGCAAACTTGACGTTCCTCGCGGGCTTCCACTGCGACAAACCTCGGTGTTTGCGCTCTTCGGACCGCTTTCCAGCTTTCTTCTCAAAAGTGCTGTCACGCTTCTGCACGGGCTGAACCGAGTTCGTCGATGTTTCTGTCATGGTCGTGTAGTCGGTTCCAGCAGTGCCAGTGGTGTCTGCACTTGGTCGTCCATTTGCGTAACCGTTTGGTTCGTCACTGTTCCCATCCAGTCCACGGACATCCTTGGGATCCTTCCTGAACTGCCCTTCGTGGGCATTAGTGGCATCGGTGATGCCCAGATCTTCCGAAGAGTCATCATCAATTGGCTCGTAGTCATCGTCATCGTCGTCTGACGGATTGAAAGGATCATGAGGTGGCTCATCTGTTCCCGGCTCGGCAATCTTTTCGTGATTCTTGTTCGTGTATGCTCGGGGATCATGGCTGAAGGCTCCGGACCAGTCTTCGCCAGACTTACTCCTCCACTTCCGCTTCTCCCTCTCGGAGAGCTCCTTGTTCAGAATATCACGACCTTGCTGTAGAGAGGCCTCGTGAAGTTCTTGGATCTGCTCGGGCACCTCACTCTCGACAACTCGGTCGCGTACACCCTCGGTCAAGCATGCCTCGAATGTTTCGTACGTCTCGCGAGTGTCGTTGTCTACGACGTATTCTCGGTGGGACTCATCCATCCCAGCTTTGAAGCGGCCTCTGAACTGCAGTCGCCCGACCTCTTGCAAGTCCTCCAGGCCTTTGTCCATGAAAGCCTTGACATTTTCCTCGGTGATGTAGTTTTGCACGAGTCTGTTGCCATTCTTGGTTGTCCAAATAGGGATGTCGATGGTCGTCTCTTCATTGTCGACCAAGTTCTGGAGCCAGAGGGATGCATAGGCGGCCGCCCCACGCTTGCCAGTGACGTGGAATTCGAAGATGACCGGTGAGCGGTATCGATACTTGACGGGCAAGCGAACATGGTTGTTAGCCTCTGTGGAGACATCGAAATAGACCCCGTCCCCTGCTTCGTTGCTGTGGCAGTGCGTGCGGGGGATCTTTCCAGTACTCCCACCGGTTCTAAGCTTGAGCTTGGTGTTCGACTTCCAGCCTGTAGCCACAATTCTGTCGGAGATGAATTCAAAGGTGCCAACATCCCAGCCAAGCATATTGGGAGGCAGGCGAGTCTCCACGCTCCGGAAGAGGAGCGAGATTCTGATGCGACCAAAGCCGATGCCGCCGTCGAGAGGATACCATCTCGTCACCTGAGAACTTGTTGTGAGAATATCAGACAGTCGAAGAGGCACCACGCCCAGGATGGGATCATGTTCGCGGTTGCGTTGGTCACGGACGGTGACGGTGACAATCCCAGATCTCCAGTCTCGCATAAATCGTTCCGTACCAGCGTTGAAGATTGGTTTGCTACTAACGGCCTTGGCTCGGGTGCGGTAGACCAGCGCATCATTGAACAATATGGTGCAATAAGATGTTGGCAGCTCTGTAGAGTGGTCAGCACCAATCCTGCACGAAGATCGCCAAAGGACTTACTGTTAGACTCCTCATCTGTTCCTTCACCATAAGCCTTGGCTGGCTCGAACTCTCTACCCTTCCGATTCCCATTGCTACCCTTGATGTTCTCCAGCTCCAAGTTGACAATTTGGTGGACAACGACACTGCAGATGCCGCTTGGCCATAAAGGATCAGGAGGAGTATGAGCGACAGCATCTGCATCCTCGTTGTCGATAGTACCCTTCTCATCTTGGAACTTTTCATCATTCTTGAGATTCTCCGGCAGACTCTTGTCCTTGCCGTCGGTGCGAAGAGCAGGGCGGAACTTGGGCTTGCCAAAGTAGCCGACTTCCCAATGCAGCTCACCTGGCATCTCCGTTCCCTGTTGAGTACCAGCAAGTTTCGAGATCTGAGGATACATCTTGCCAGGATGTTGTATCATTTTCTGCATCGACAGTTCGACCTTGCCGACCATGTCATCCGCTGAGTTGCGATCCGAATCCCACAACTCGACACTGAGCTGTTCATCGGCTTTGATGAGCTCCGGTGTGACGAGAAGGGCGGCAGTCTCTTCCCAAACCGGATTGAGGTCGTCGGTGATAACACGAGTGCAGTACATCGGCTTGCCATACTTGGAAAAGGACAAGTTGATGTAGGGGTCACTTCCTCCGTGTTTGCTGCCCCGTCGATCCTGTTTGCTGAGCCCAATGGCGCGATGAATCCGAATCCACATCACTCCCATCGCCTGGGTGTCCTTGGTTATGTCGTCACCTTGTAACATCGACTTCAAGTCAAGCTGCATGGACTTAGGGGCGACATACATGCTGGCAGCCGCACCAATTGCATAGTTGACAAAATTCGAGATCAATGGCAGGTTCAGGATGTTCACCCCTTTCTGGATCATTGGAATACAGCCTGCCTGGACATGAGGTACGCCCATCAACGTGAAGGTGAGGCTCTTCGCAAATGGTGGCTCGGGGGTCATCTGCAGTCGCAAGCGGACGGTGCCAACAAGCTCTTGCAGTTCGACGAAGATGGGTAAGGGAACACCGATCAGTCCCTTGATGCCCAGATAGAAGACAAGATTCATGTGCATGTTCCTCGCTCTCGAAGAGGCAGAGGCACCAGCGGGTTTGGCATGATAGGCGAAGGAGATCTCAAGATTATAATAGTCGCCACCTTCCTCGTCCGCGGCGGCTTCTTGCGGATCTTTTGTCTTTTTGTTCTCTTCGTGGATGCTCTGCTTGAGCTCGTGCATTCTCGAGTCAGGAAGTGCTCGTAAGCTGAGGATTCGAATCGGGTTGCTTCCCTGGTCAATCTCTGCGACTCTAACGTTGTTGATGACACCTGGAACGGACGCTTGCATGACGTCCTCGAGCGTGTCTGCGACCGCGGAAAACATTTCAGGGTTGATCAACCCCCACACGATACTCAGGAAGGTGTTCATCCATTCCACCGACTCTGGGAGGAGGTTGGCCACAGCCTGAATAGGTCAGTGCCCGTTCACGGGATGAGCTCAAGTTGGTCGAACTTACTGTCTCCCCTCTGCTCTGCTCACTGCTCCATTCCACCTCCCGACCGCTTCTAATGACCTCCTTCATCCAGAGCCATATGCCCGAAGCGAGACACATGCCAAGAGGGATCAGCCCTTTGAGCGAGCCACCGAACATCTTGCCGAGGATGACGACAGAGAGAAGTATAGCAATACAAAGACCGCCTGCTCGCTTCTCAAGGGCTTCGAACATGGGCTCATAGCTGACTGAGGGAGTAGGATGGAAGAGAACATTAGTCTTCTCGCCATGAATTGGCACATCTGAAGTGCTTCCTTCCGCGATGGGATCTGGAGGGGCGGTGATATCTTGCTTTTCCTTGTATTCGGGATTCTTCTGGGATGGGTCCGTGCCAACCGTGGTGGGCTTGCCGAGATTCTGGTTGGGGACAGACAGCTGGCGTGGTGTTAGTCTAGGGAGAAAGCGCGCTTGGACAACGGGCGTCGCCTTACCTGAGGATTGTCTGCTCGCTCCATGTACTCCTTGCCAACATCGGCGATGACCACTTGGTTGCCAGTGACTGGATCGGTCACCGTCTTCCCTTCTGTCTTTGGCTTCTCGTTCTTGTGTGGCTGGATTTCCGAGGAGTATTTCTGTGTCTGATGGCCCTGATTGTGTGCATCGATGTCTTTGTCTCTGCAGATATCCATTAGCGTGTCCTGTCGTTCACAGAACGAGTACAACCACTCAAACAACCACTCAAACAACCACTCCTTCGGCCGCGGCAGAGTTGTCATGTGCAAGAAGAACTCACCGTGACGCTTTATCCCTGTCGAGGCGGTCAACGAACTCCTTGATGTTGGGTATTCGATTCGTGCCGCTCCATGGCTTGCCAGACTTCTGCTGCTGAGCCGCCATCTCGATCTCCAAGCCGGCACCGAGCCAGAGGAAATCAACGGGGAAGTACGATCACGGGGTATTGGCCGCGAGCAGCCGATTCAGCTCAACGCCAGACACTTGATCACGGAGGAAAGAGAAGAACCAGAGAGTGAAGCACAACGGGTGCAGTGCTGCAGGAGGGGGAACAGGGCCAGCATTGTCGTTTTCAAAGTTGGCTGGCATCCGCACTTTCTCAGTGATGTCTGTCCATATCCGTGTGACGTAATTGTGCTATCCAGGTGAAGCTTGGGTGAAGCTGAAGCCCGCAGTGGAGTGGCTCACTGACCACTCCAGACGCTTGTGGCTTGCCTCAAGCCGGGAATGCCCAAGGAACGCGTCAGGCTGGGCGTGGTGGGCGTGTTTAGGCGAATCGAAACGCCTAAGCGTCCGATCAAGATTCGAAGCCGCCTATGCAATCGGCGAGCCGAAAATCATGGCGGGCTGCATCAAGCTAGCAGAACGTAGCCGAGAGTGGCTGATAAGCTTCCCTAACAGGACACGGAGGACAGCCACAGGCGCAACTGAGGCTCCATACACTGGTGATCGGCCTCATTGGGTTTGGAAATCTCGATCTGCGTTGAGTGGTGTCATTCACCTATATGCTCACATGCTGTACTTGAGTGACTTGTCAGGTTGTCTTCATACTGTGCTTGCTGTATATGGTACGTTTCGTCTGCAACCCCAACATTGGATCTCTTGTCGATGCTCACTCCTGGGACATCATGTCCTTTCCCAGACCTTATGACCGCCGATCCACGTCTCCAAGACATATCCCTCGCCATCCAAGATCGCAAAATCTGCTCTCCTTCCCGGCTCGAGCTTTCCCCTCTTCCTCTCGCCCATAAGGTCAGCAATGTTCTCGGTGACACACTGCACGGCCTCGGCCAGGTTGCAGCCGCTGAATGCGACGGCATTGCGCACACATTCGTCCAACGTACAGCAGCTCCCAATCAATGTATCTGTGCCCTCAATTGTCACTCTGTTGCCTTGCTTGAGTTGCCGGTGTGGGATCTGCCCGTGCCCGGGATGTAGCCCGTCCGGCATTCCGGCGAGTTCGATGCTATCTGTGATGAAGACACATTTTCTTGGGTCGGTACGCATGCACAGCGTCACCACAGAAGGATGTAAATGGATGCCATCTAGGATGATGGAGTAATGACACTTGCCTGTGCTCATGAGTCCTGCAAGCCCGGGAAGGCGGTGGTGCAGAGGATTCATTGCATTGAAGACGTGAGTGAGAGCCCGAGCGCCGAGTTGCAGAGCAGCGATGCCCTCGTCATACGTGGCCGTAGAATGACCGAGCGAGATGACGAGGTGAGGATATTCCTCCTGTAGCTGGCCGATGAGCGCCGTCGCTCCGGGCAATTCGGGCGCCAGAGTGATCAGCTTGACCGCTTCTCGGAGGCTGTGGTCTCCATACAACTCGGTCGGAGATATTTGAGTTGGCTCGACCAGATAGGAAGCGTTATGTGCTCCCCTCTTCGACGCGGTGATGTACGGTCCTTCGACGTGTGCGCCGAGCAAGTCTGCCCCCGAAGCGAACGTCCGTGGTTTCAAAGCTGGTAATATCTAAGATGATCCGTTTAGCGGGAATCTTGTAATCAGAAGGCCTGGAGGATGCTGTCCCCAATAGCCGGGTATTGGGCCACTGTAGAATAAGAGATGAAAGCGTTACGCCGGCCTACCTGTTTCCATTGATGCCGATCGACCGTGGGTACCGTTGCCCACCAGCCTGTAACTCCGTGACTGGCCTCCATCTCACTGACCTCCTGCAACTTCCGCTCGTCGTCTTCGACGCCATCATTTTGTGCTAGATGAGTGAAGTGCACACCTTTCATACCATTGGTCTGCAAATCCAGAAAACCTGGTGAGACTATTTTACCGTTCAGATCGATTCTCTCGACCCCTTCTTGTCTGTAGTAGTAGTTCGGAGTGATGGTGCCTTGCTCCGTGCTGAAGTAAATGTCCTGGGCCACTAGTTCGCCCGAGACGCAGAGCAGGCAGTTGGTAAAGCATTTGAGCGTTCGGTCCATGATGCCAGCGACGTCAACCTGGCAGATTAGAGTTGTGAATGGCCGATGTGCAGACTAGGAAAGGCCAACAAATTTGGAGGATTCGGATCATCGGGACGGGCGCCGAACGTAGATGTCAGTTGAGTCTTCGATTTCTACGTATTTATGCAGTGTTGGGAAATGGACCAGGCGACATACGCTGAAGAACCATCTCCTTATGACCGGATGCATTTCATAAAAGAGCTATTTCTGGTATCGTTTCGCGCAAGTATATCTTCAACCGTCATTAAACAGATTGAGCACTTGCCAGTGCCGGACTCGCAGCCTCATGCAAGGCCCCAGACTTTTCCGTCTCCTTGTGAGCAGGAGATGTCGGTAGTTCAAGGCTTATGGACACTCGGCCTTCTTCGACATCTTCAGGCTCCGTCACTGGCACTGGAGCTTTGGAACTCTCAACCCCTTCGGACTGTATGGTCCATTCCCATCTCCTCCGCTTCCGTTTCGATCTGCGAGTTGATGTACTCCGTGAAATGTCATCTCTACCGCGGCCTACCTCAGTCGCAGGAGATGGAGATAGGGCCACAGACTTCCGTTTCCTCCTCCCCTGTACCGAGAACTCATCTACCAGGATCGTCGGTCGGCCCCCACCAACCTCTTCTTCATCGCTCGAAGTATTGCTTCGATCATCCGTCTCTGATGGGGCTGATTCATCTTCCGAGGAGCTCAAGTCAACGTGACGCTCTACATACCGCTTCGTGACAATTTCGTCCTCCAGCTGTGCTCGAAACGTTACTTTTTTGGGTGCCGGAAAGAACACTTTTCGTCCAGGTACCCGCGGGCTGGCGCTGATCGAGGAACGGTGAGTGTCCCCACAGAGCGGGCTGTTCTTCAAGATAGGACGGATTCCGAATGGTAGACTCAAGTTGTATGGTTGATTGGATAGTCTTGTGCTGGGTGATGACGGGTGTCCGCTCGGTTTCCACTGAGAGTGGGTTCCCGGTGATGACAATGTAGACACTGGTGATGGTCGATATGTGAGATCAAACGTGTTGTTGAACGTGTTCAAGGTGGTGGGGGTTGCAGTGGCGTTCGTGGTGATGCCTGTCTGCCGGCTGACTGTGCCATGAAAGGTTGGCGCGAGATTCGAAGTGTTCAGCGACAACTTCGGTTTCTTTGTCGGCGACAAAGGCTCCAGACGCGTAACATTCTGGGGAGGAAGCATCGATAACGTGGTTATCGGATCATGTTGATAAAGAAGGTGCGGCAAGGACGGCGTGGCGGATATTGCCATCATTTTGGTTTCTGAAGCGCAAGCTGAGGAGACCGAAGGTCCACTCATCAGATCAAGTAATTGATCTTTGGCATCCCCAATCCTGTCGTTTAGGTGTCCTGTGCGTACTTATGCGTGAGCTAGGCGGATCTGAAGCACATAAGCGAGAAGAATTAATCGAGAACAAGGACTTCTGGGGGTGGCACATAAGCACGCCAAAGGGTGAGATGGGCTCCAAATAGCGCTCAACGCTTCAGGATGAGCAGATTGACCACGAAGCGGCCGCAGATAATGGGGAAAGCGTGACGGGGGCATTCATGGCGTCACATAAGCAGTGTATACGCAGCCTCGAGAGAAGTCTCGCCTTGGTCGAAGGACATGAGCAGCTGATGAGCTGGAGTTTAAAAGCGACACGAGAGGCGCGTCCCCACCACGTCATCTGGTCAAGAAGCCACGATGTGAGATATTATATGTGTGTATCCATATTTGCCGCCACTGCCTAGCTGAGAAGAATCCACCATGGCAAAATCTCGAGTGCCCTGGGCTGGCATCAGCGCCGTTGCCATTTTTGCTGTGCGCGGGTCAAGCTGTCGCGACGGGGGAGGGCAGGTGTCGCTGCTGGATTGTTGGGCTCGGGCGCGGATGCTGGGCTGGAGGGATGCTTAGCTTGCAGTGTCGGCGCTTCCCTATGACGAGCAACAGGATCAGGAACGGGATCAGGATGTGATCAGGCATAACGTGGCCGTCCGTTGCATACCCGTAACCGCTGAGCTCTATTTTCAGCACCAATCTGCCCGGAGTACGGAGTAGTGGGAAGGGGGATTCGGATTAGGGATGCCAGGACAAGCGGCTGAGGGATGCTATTGGGGCCAGAACATCAAGTGCGGAAGCTGGTCGGCGGGGAGCTGATGAAAATAGCGCTCCAATCAGTTGCTCGCGTGCTGTGCGCTGTGTACTTTGTACTTGGCAGGCGTGCGTAGGACACAGCAAGGGAATTGGGCAGTATGCTAAGGTACGTGTGAATAATCTGTCTCCCACTCGTGACTACTTACCACAGTAAGCCACTTCGCAGCCTGCTCACTCCGGGTCACCAGGCTCACGTGCTGTAGCAGGGTAGGGTCCTACCACGGTACGAGGTACACTGCCAGCCCCTGTTGATTCGTACTCGTACGCGCGGGATTGCCGGTAGAGCTGCTGTGTGGAGGCTCACTTTGACTCACCACCACAATATGTTGCGAACGAGCTTACAAACGGCCGCTTCCCCCGGTGTTTGCGGCTCGATATAATGACGTCGACGTCCAATCTAGTCTAATTAAAGATTGGGGGTCCCAGAGAGCTTTGCACTCTCTATCCTTGAATGTAAAAATATTAAAAGATTGCCTTTCGTGGGAATACAGCTTCATCAATCACACTGTCCAAAAAGCAGGATCTAATTAGCGATGCCCCTAATTTGGCAAGCTGGCGGCTGATAGCACTCCTCAAGGTTGGGAGTCGCATGGACGGCCAACAGCAAATGATATTCTTCCAGGTGCGTGGACAACAAGCTGTATGCCAGCTAATCCACCATATCCATCACACTGAACTGCCTTGTCAACAGAGTGATGCATCCGCGCCGGACACTGGCAGAGCTGGAGTATGTGCCCACAGTGCATCTAACTACCTAACTCGTGAAATCTCCGATGGGCGGTGAAGGCGTACGCCGGCATGATGCTTTGACAGGACTCGCACCGTTCCCAAGCTTCGCGGTCACTGTCTTCCGTGTCCCACCCATCAGCCGCAAGCGCTTCGTCCCCAGCCTCAGTCGATATCTGTTCCGGTGACTTTTGAGGCACGACCGCTGTGGCGTAGTTCGGCTGATCCGTGATTCTGAAGTCTTTCAATACCTCGTCCTGCCGCCGGAACATCCTCCCAATATCGCGGCCGGCACTGTCTTTGCTCTCGGCCGCGGTCTCTGCCATGTTCGTCGCGGCGATATTGATCAAGCTCAAATTCCAGCCAGTCTTCTCGTGATGAAGCTTCCGAAACATTGGGACCAGTGCCTCATCAACCAGTCTGGTAGCGAGAGCCGTGGCTGGCTCATTGAGATTGAACACATAGTTGGGCATCGGAGCTGATCGCGAAATGCGATTGAACGTCCTGGCTCGCACGCCATCTGGTCCCGGCGGAGGACGGGGTCTGGTTGACAGCCGTAAAGTACGTGGGTGAGCCATCCAACGACGTCGGGGGTCTGGGCCAGTGTCTTCGCCATCGTCTTCATCCTCGAGAAGGTCCATTTGCATGCGCCGGATGAGGCGTTCACCAAGCAACTGCAGCTGTTTCTTGACTTCGTCGAAGGTGTGTAAGTACTTCATATATGAGTCCTCCTGGCTGATCTGGGACGGAACACGCTTGGCCTTGCCGACTTCTGTGTCATCGATGCCGTGAATGAGCTCCCAGACTTTTCCACCAATCCCCCTTGGCGAGCCCGTAGTACCGAGGATCTCCTCCAGCAGCCCAGGTCCCATTCCAGGATACGTGCGAACATCGAGCACTGTAACGGATTCCTTTGTTGCTCCATATACCAGCCCTTCGGAGAAAGCTGCGTCTCTACCAAGGACGTAACCGCGGATTTTGTGGGCCAGCTTGGATCCAATTCCTGGTATCTTACCAATGTCGTGCCCATCAAGGAATTGGGTGACTGTCGCTTCAAGGTCACCCACCGGATGATAAGGCGGCACAATGGTGGTCTGGTTTTTAGGCTTGTTCACATTGCCCACCAACTTCGACAGCAATTTGTTTGTAGCAATCCCAACAGTTGCCGTGTACCCCTTCTGAGACTCCAGCTCGTGGCGAAGGTGCCGAGCAAGGTGGCTTCCAAGCACCAGGCGCGGTCGCAGTCCCTCGTCCTGCTCCGAGACCTGGAGAGTGCCTTTTGAGGGATAGGTAGGTCCGAAAAAACTGGATGCGTCGTACTCGAAGCCAATGGTAGGATCATCCTTGCTCAGGCAAAAAAAGGAGTGGGCGAGGTCGTGGCGATTGAGCAAGCCCATGTTGTAGTCCACCATGTCGCTGCAATCTAGCCTGTGACCCGATCAGCATAATGGGCGGTATTTGGGCGGGTTGGCGTACCAGACTTCGTCGAAGCCCAATCGTTCTGCTCTCCCACTCCATATGGACTCCCGTAGGAAACTGTACAGCTCTTTGGAAGCGTCACGAAATCGCGTCAAATCCTCGCCTAGGACGATGACAGCTTCCGGGCAGACTTTCTTGGCTTCGGTGATGAGCTGCAACTTTCGAAGACCTCGTCGCCGCGCTTCATAGTTGCACGTCACCACGATCTGTTTCTGCTGGATGGCCAACGGCACCGATTTCAGCGCGGGGTTTTCATTCTCGACGACCGACGCGTAGAAGCAGTCGTAGTCGAAGTGGATTATGAGGCGCTCATCATTTCGGTGCAGGCTCCGAGCACTCTGCATATCAACAGGACCATGGTTGTGCGTACCTCGTAGAGCCTGGGTGGGCGTAGGTTAGTGAAGGTATTGCCTGCAAAGGATGGTCCCTAGTAGCAAGGCTGGGTATGTAAAATGCTCAGCCTTGTCGCGGGCGGGGATTCCACTCAACGCGCATGACGCGCTTCGTAACATTGTGACCGTCTCCAACTTTCAGGTGCGTTTGTCGGTCTCCTGCGCTGCTGATGCCACTGCTCGAACAGCCCAGACCGAGCTATGCAGGGTCAATGATGGTCGCGTGCCCCATCTGCGGCAAATCTGTCAAGCAAGCAACCATCAATGACCACATCGACTCAAACTGTACCGAATACATCGAGCAGGAAACCAATGCATCGACTCCGGGTGCTGGGAAGACCTTCAAGACACCAGCCGCCAAACACCGCGACGCACATTCCTTCTTCTCATCCAGTCAACCTCTTCCTTCTCCGAGCGAAGCTAGACCGACGGCAGTGAAGCGATCGTTTGCGTCCTTCTCCTCGACGCAGTCCAAAGATGAGGACACACACGCCAGCCGTCAGGATGAATCTTCGCATCAGAACGGTACGGCCAACAGCCAAGCACCACCAGTGAAGAAACCCAAACCAAATGCCTTCGAAAGGGCAGCTCCCCTTGCTGAGCGCATGCGCCCGAGGACACTCGACGATGTCTGCGGCCAGGATCTAGTAGGTCCGAATGGGGTGCTGAGAGGCCTTATCGAACAGGACCGTGTACCTAGCATGGTACTCTGGGGTGGTGCAGGGACAGGGAAGACAACGATTGCTCGGGTCATCGCCAATATGGTGGGTAGCCGGTTCGTCGAGATTAACTCGACTAGTTCAGGCGTGGCAGAGTGCAAGAAGATCTTCGCAGAAGCGAAAAGCGAACTGGCCCTGACCGGTCGAAAGACCATCATCTTTTGTGACGAGATCCACCGGTTCAGCAAAAGTCAGCAGGACGTCTTCCTGGGTCCCGTCGAGGCAGGACATGTCACGCTCATTGGCGCCACAACGGAGAACCCCAGTTTCAAGGTCCAGAATGCTCTGCTCTCGCGGTGTCGTACCTTCACGCTACAGAAGCTTACAGACGAGAACATCTGCTCGATACTGAACCGAGCGCTCGAATCGCAACGTGACAACTACAATCCTTCCGAGCTGGTGGACGACGAACTGATCAAATACCTCGCCGCCTTCGCTGATGGGGACGCCCGCACAGCCCTCAATCTCCTCGAATTAGCCATGGACCTCTCCACGCGGCCAAACATGACCATTGAAGCCCTGAAACAATCCCTGACGAAGACACTTGTCTACGACCGTGCAGGAGACCAGCACTATGACACCATCTCGGCGTTCCACAAATCAGTACGCGGCTCAGATCCAGATGCGGCGCTGTACTACCTCGCGCGCATGCTCCAGAGCGGTGAAGATCCGCTGTATATAGCGCGGCGGATGATCGTGGTTGCCTCGGAAGACGTTGGACTTGCTGACAACAGCTTGCTCCCGCTCGCCACCGCTGCGTACACGGCCTGTGAAAAGATCGGTATGCCAGAGTGCAGAATCAACCTTGCGCATGTTACTATCGCTCTATGTTTCGCCCCGAAATCGACCAGGGCATACAGGGGACTTGCCAACGTCATGCATGCATTGCAGGAACCAGGCGTGGCGGGGTTACCGGTTCCCATCCACTTGAGGAATGCGCCGACGAGACTGATGAAGGAATTGGGCTACGGCACAGAGTACAAATACAACCCCGATTATGTAGACGGTAGGGTCAAGCAGGAGTATTTGCCTGAGACGTTGAAGGGAAGGAAATTTCTTGAGGAGAGGGATCTGGGCGACAAGCTGGATGAAGACATCGAAGAGGAGATCAAGCGTGAGAATGGAGATGCGGCCGTCAGAAGGGGGAACGGCTGAGAAGAGCAGCGGAATGTTGTAACGGCAACTTGAAGTAGGACATGCGTGTCGCTGGGAGGCTGTACGCAACAGCAATCCAAGGGCGGATCACCAGCTGTTCTGTTCTCATCATGCCATACGAGGAGAGGGAGAGACACAGAGCGAGAGTCGAAGTCGAATCCCCGCACTGCTGATGCTTGTCTCCCGACGTTTTTTCCGACACACATGGGTACCTCGTACGAGTACCCAAGAGAGCAGTGGAGGATCCCCACAGCTGCCATCTAAACCCTAGCTCTCGACCATCCGGGGAAATGACGACCTCGATGATCATTCACCTTCCAGGATATTACCATCTCTCGTCGTTGTAACGTCGCGTTGCACGCCACTGACGAAGGTATCCAAGCGGAGCGGAGCCTCCCGCAACATGGATATATAAAGACATTGGGAAGATCCGAGCCAGTCCCCCAAGATGTACAGGTTTGTCGGAGTGTCGCCATGTTCCATTCCAGCGTCAGTGTTCGGCAGGTTCTTTACCTCGCGTTCGTCTTTCTCGTCCCCCCGTCCCTTGCACAGCAGTCCCCTCCGCGCACTGCATCAGTCCTCCCCTTCAATATCACCACGTCCACCATCCTGAACACGGCCAACTACTCCGCCCCGGTCTTTCCCATAGCACCTTTCAACAAATATGCCAGGAACCCGATCTTGACCCCCAACCCATCTGCCAACTGGGAGTCGGCGTTCCTGTACAACCCGACGGCCATCGTGCTCAACGAGACCATCTTCCTCCTTTACCGTGCCCAGAACTCGACCAAGACATCGTCCATCGGCCTGGCGTGGTCGACCGACGGCGTCACCTTCACCCGTCTGAACCGGCCGATCGTGTATGCGACCGAATCATGGGAACAGATCGGCGGCACCGAGGATCCCCGCCTCGTCCGCGTCAACGGCACATTCTACATGACGTACACGGCATTCGACAACGTGACGGCGCAACTCTGCCTCGCGACCTCGACGGACCTGCTGACCTGGAAGAAGCACCCGCCGTTGTTCCCGGGCTTCCAGGACGTGGCGTACAGCGACATCGACGTGCCCTCGCCGCGACTCAACCACACCAAGTCCGGAGCCATTGTGAGTGAACCCACCCCCGACGGCCTGTACCACATGTACTTTGGGGATTCGTTCTTCTACCACGCCACCTCACCGGACATGGTGAACTGGACGGCCCTGCCGCCGGACAACTACTTCGCCGGACCTGTCAATCCGTGGGAGAACCGACTGATCGAGCCGGGACCGGCGCCGATCAAGACCCGCGACGGGAAATGGCTGCTCGTCTACAACGGCATGACCACGGGCCGCGTCGGGTACCCGCAGAACCAGTACTCGGTGGGCCAGATGCTGATCGATCCGTCCGGCTCGTTTCGGCCAACCCTGAACGTGAGTGATGGCATGTATCAGCCGGCGTTGCGCGACGGGCCTGTCGCGCGGTTGGAGAGGCCGATCCTGGTGCCCGAGGCGGGCAATGAGCAGCAAGGCCAGGTCGACCAGGTTGTCTTCGCGGAGGGACTCGTGCAGTTCAAGGGGAAATGGTATTTGTATTTTGGTGAGTCCGGATTCAAACTCTGGCTGGCTGGACGAGCGGCTAACAAGACGACAGGCCAAGGAGACAGCGAGCTGGGCGTGGCTATTGCCGATGTGCAGCCTTGAGAAACTCCAGGACGAGAGAAATATATACATACCTGCGTGTGCTGTGGATCGTACCTGAGCCGACCCGTACTCATGTTAACATGATTATGATTATGATTGTGATCATGATCATGAATATGCATATGCGTCTCCATGTCCATGTCCGTATCCATGTCCCGTTTCACCACCACTATCCTTCCAGTCTAAACAAAGCTGGCTGGCTTGCACGAATCTCGACACAACGACAGAAGCTTGCTTGCTGTAGAGGACAGTGGGATGGATTCATCCTTGTACCAATGGAGCAACGAGGATGTGTTGGCCCATAAGGAAGTTCAAGGGTAACCGTGCGATGTCGCCCTTCTACCCTTCAAGTTATAAAACCAGTCACCCCCACTTCGCTGTATATACAGTACTGGGTCTTGCAGCGTGATTCTTAACGGCTTTGAAACGAAGGAAAGCAAGTACTCCATTGTGAACGCCAAGTATGTATGCAGCCCAAGAATTTAACACACAGTCCTGCCTACAGTATCGCGCATTCCTGTAAGGCTCACCTCACAGCAGACGAGTACCCAGCAACCCTAAGTACATGGATGGTCGGTCTTGCTACTATAATCAACCAACATTGCCCGACACCAGAATTCAAACCACTTGACCTGTAACATGGGTATGAGCATGGCTTGTGGTCAGATCTACAGCACAACACAGCAAATCCAAGAACATCCTAGTCGTCGTGTCTATTGAGAAGCACGGAGCAAGCCCCGGTCCATGTCCACGTCCACGTCCACGTCCACGTCCACGTATTTGAGTTTGTCAGGCTAGAGCTGGATATTGGCATCTATCTATCCCATCTATCTGACCATCTCTCTATATAATCGATTGCTGGCTATCTTCGTTCGATCCGTGAACGACAACCCTTTCAGACAGACAGGCAGAGAGACAGAATAGATAGATCTTCAGACCCCAGCCCACGGCATTTTTTTGGGGGGTTCATGGGAGACAAGGGGGGTTGGTTGACTCGGGCAAGCCACAAGTCCGTCGCGCTTCAGCACATACTTCTGCATACCGGCGGGCTCAAAATCTGCATGCTGGAAATTGATCCACCAGAAGCATGTGCAGAGGCGGACCTTCTCCGAAGCAGCTTCTCCGGCCTGTTGCATATGTACATCCGCCACGATTCGACCGTGCGCGTGGTTCGCTCGACTTGATATGCGATGCGAGCGGACCATTGGTTTGAGGTGGTTGCACACTGTCGAAGTCGTGGTGAAAAGGGGGGGAAACAAACAAGCCAGATGCCCACTTCGAAGGGGAACTCATCCGCGGGTGGGAGCCCATCCTCTTTCCAGCTTGCCAATCTCACCGAAGTCGACTGCATCCAACCTCTCCGAATATCGGTGAAGAAACAGCGGCCACGCGTGACACGACAGGCTGAATGAAAGGAGAGGACACCAACCGCGAACGAGGGTCTCGACATCCACGCACAAACCGCAACAATCATGAGATATCCCTCGAGTCCATAGCTCGACAACAGGGAATCGTCCGGGTTGGAAGAGCCACTCAACGACATCCCACGATGGAGATGAAGGGGGCTTCTAAGCCAAATGGATCCCAGAACAATTCCCGTACAAAACCTGCTTCGTCCCCGAGATGCCACCTGCAGCAAAGGGCAGACGGCATATAGATCGTAAGGACTTATGATTCCACTCCATCACGCGACTCCAGCTGCGATAATATGGCACAGTGCCTGATCGCGGCACCGAGGCCTTGCTTGACACCTGGCCGCACGAGGGGCAAGGCGCGACATCCACTCTGGGGATCGAGGGCTATCGAAAGGTCGGCGGAGAAACAAACAAGGTATCTTCCCTCCGGGGGAAGAAAGAACCATGCTGTGCCACCGGAGAAGCTGCCTTGCTGTTAGCAATGCTGGACCTGTCCTTTTGGGACGAATGGGAGACGAATCACACGAACACGGCTAGGGGGCTGGACTCACGGGCAGGGAAGGAACTCTAGTCCCTCAGTCGTTGACCTTGAGGCAAAGGTCTTCTTTGTTCTTCGGCTTGGTAAAATGGCCCGGTGCTTTTGTTTCGATCCCGCGCCGGGCGCTTTGGTGGTCCAGAACAGAGAAGAGAGCTTTTCCTCCACAAAGCATTTCATCATTCAACATCACAGCGCACAATACCATTGCCACCCGTATTTGCGCCCATTTATCGCGGTCATGTTTCTGATCGGGATCCCATTGTTTCTCCACAAATGTCTCTCTTGCTCTCCACTGTATGGCAATCTTGGCCGTGTTTGTCCAGCTCATACTAGGTGGAGGTCTGCTGGAGATGGTAGAATATTTTGATTTTTATCTCTCACCTTGATTCTCTCAACGCAATCTCAGTCTCGTATTTCCGTTCTCAATTCCCATCAAATAAATCCGTGCTTGCTGTCGTGTCGTGCGCTGAATCCCAGCTTTGAATCCTGGTAATCGTCCTCATGAGGAACAGACTTTTCTGGTGGACTGTATTCGGGCGCAGGCGACATCGGCCGATTCTTATTCACGTTGCTCAACGGAATATCAACGAATTCCCCATACCGGTCTTGGTGTTCGAAGCGAAAGTCATTGCCTGGTGTAATGGTCGAAGCGGACGCCGGGGCGCCCCCTTCACCTCGGACCTTGTCGCGGCCGTACCAAAGCATCAATGCTCGAGCAATGCCAAGGAATGCGACAAAGATCCAGACAAGCAAGATGAACGTTGAGATGATCGCTTCGGTCCGAATGGCCTCTTCCAGCTCATCGATGAATCTGGCGACAGCCGAGGTAATCTTGTCACTAGCAGCATCCCCAGGACTGGCAAGAAATGAGTCCGAAGGATTGCTAGAGTCTGACAGGCTGGCCACAGCACCTGTGCTGAAAGTGTCGTTCGGAAGCAGGGGAAAGTCAATATGCGCATTGTCATGAACCCAGGTAAGTCCCTTCTCGATCCCTTGAATCTTGAGCAGGACGAGGCAATTGAGGACTTCCATGATCGGGTCGTACAGGATCGTGCCGCCAAAGGTGGTATTGAGGACTTTGGTTGTCTGGTCGACAAATGCGACGAGCGTATCATTGATCGCAGTCGTCGACGTATTGACCCAACCCAGCATGTTTTGGTTAATCTCCTTGTTTGTTGCCTCGATGGCCGCGTTAGTACTAATCGCCCACTGCTCAGATGCATTGTTGAGTGAGGCGACGACCTTGTCGGAGAAGGCTCCCACTTGATTGGCAAGGTCTGGCACTTCCTTCTCCAAAGAATGAAGTAGGATGGCTTGGCAGGCGCAGGAGAACAAGCCGGCGATGGCCAGTGCGAGGACAAACAATGCTGCGTCAGATGTGGCGTATGCGACAACCCACCGTATCAAGTCCCTCTTTCGCTGCGATTGGAAAGTGTTGGAGAGCTTGACGCCAGCGGAGGATGTGTAAGGTCGGCTGACCAGGTACACGACATCCATGGGATCTTGAGCGTTGGAGGTGACGAGTTGGCTGCGTTCCTGCATTTTTCGGTAACGCTTGATTTCGCGCCACGCCATGGGGATCATGACCAGAATGGCGAGAGTGAGGAGTACCCCGATGAAGACTCGGCGTGCGAGAGCAGCAAGATCGACCATGCCGTCGAAGAAGTCATTGATCCCGTCGTTGTCGCTGCAGAAACTGAGTTGTTCTTTCTGTGGAACGGGAAACAAGGACCGATCGAAGGTATAGTTGCCCACATATCCGTTCATGAGCTGCTTGATTTCCTCGAACGGCAAGCGGATGATGCTTTCAGTGAAGTTCTTCACTTGATCGAATGTGGGAATTGAGTTGTTGAGTTTTTTGAGATCGGCGTCAAGATTGCCTGGAAGTTTGAGATTTTTCAGCGCGTTCATCTCCGATGTGAGATTGAGAGCGGATGGCTGATCAACAGTCTGTCCGAAAGCGATGAAGCTCTCGAGTTTGCCGATGAAACTGTTGTAGGCGTCTTCGAAGGTGTCGACGGCGCCCGACAAATCCTTTCCAAGCGTCTGGGTGAGTTTGTTGAGACCATCTTGAGCAGAGTCTAGCACCCCAATGACTGAGTGCAGGCTTCCGCTGACGGCAAATGTGATGAGGCAGAGGTAGGTGTTGGTCATCATCCCGATGACAAACACTACGATTTCCTCAACCGCGGTTACGCCCATCGTCGACATCTGAATCAGGCCGTTGACCGACTTCTCAATGCCAGTGGCAGCCAACTCGTTCACGCCTTGAGACATGTAGTGAGGCATGGAAGCCATGGCAGAACCCATCGATTCAACGTCTGAACATGCCGAGAGAGCTTCGCGCCGGGCGGACGCCAGGTTGTGGTCGATGCCAGCGATTGCGATAAGGATTCGAGCAAGGACAAGTAGGAGAAGAATGGTCCATCGATTGATCCAAATTTGCGATAAGCGAGCCCGGAGGCCAAGGTAGGGTGTGATGGATGGTGCAGTGTGTGGTAACGACCGAGGTGGGTTTTGGTTGGAGTAGTAGTCTCGTATCTCATGACTGCCGGCAGGCATGGATGGAGAAGCGCCAGCCGCGAAGGCCGACGGGGCAGACATGGCGCAGAGATCGACAGGAAATTATCTGATGTTCGAGTCCAAGTAAGTGTCTTGATCTTGCTGTAGGTGCTGCGGAGGGTGCAGGAAGATGATTTGCGGGATTCGAAGGGAAAAAGGCACAGAGCAAACAGGCAGTGATACAGTCGCTGGGCGGATTAGGTGACAAAGGCAGTCCTCAAGACATGCGAAAGAAAAGCGATATCAATGACGGCAACAAAGAAAACTCGTGACGTGAAAGAAGGCAGAAGGAGTCGACAATGAGAGACAAGTGAATGGGGGATCATTGGTAAAGCATTGTGCGGGACAGCGACAATAAGAATAGCAGCAGTGACACAATGAAGGGCAGTTCAGCCAGTACGTACCGCTTTTCCAGGCGATCGCCGCCCCACGCCGCAGACACACCAGCAACATGTCACAAGAGGTCCTCCCGAAATACTGCAGATTGACCTGTTTCGAAAGGGTTGTTGCATGTTGTGGTGCAAGAACATCGGCTGGTGGTCGATGATTCCAAACTGAACGTTGGCGCGCAGCCCAAAAACAGCGCCACCAGGCCGAAGAAGCGCCCACCAACCGTCTCATCCGAGCCGATCCCACGCCAGACACGCGCTCTCACGTGGGGTTCGAAGCTGAAACGAGATCGCATCGGGAAATGAGACGGCATCGCAGGCTCCTCGTCGGCTTGCCTCGTCGTCTTCCCAGCTGCCACTGAATCCCGCCGCAGCGCTGTCAGAACCTGTCCCCGACTGGGGACGCAACACCGACAACATCGCCACCGGGCACGTCTCGGGACATTGTAGGCAGACAAGTGCAGTGCCCGCAGCGGAACAGCCGACAACTGGGAGGGGGAGACACCACGAAGCAATCCGATGATCTCAATTGTGTCTACAGAAAACAAAGCCGACGAAATGACGCGGAGGCAGCCTTTTATGAGATGCTGGGAATCAGCCACGGATCGGCACTTTACTGTGGCGCTCGCCAGCGAGATGAGATCATTCCCTGTTTTAATCCCTGTTCAATGCGCTAATCCCTTTACTAACTAGTGCAGGCCCCAACTTTCACTCGCTTCCCCACTGTGTCCTCTTGAAAACTTGAAATTCAGCCTTGCGTCCACGAGGCTCGAGGCTCGAGGCTCGAGGGCTCATCTAGAGTGTCGACGTGAAAGCGCAAGTTACCACGTGCTGCTTTGTGCGACGAAAGCCAGGCTAGGTCACTCATTGGAGCGGCGAAGATCAGTATCAAGTGTTTCTCCTCGTCCGGAATCGTGTCTCGTTTTTCGATGCATCTCATCACATTGTTTCTTGCTTCTGAATTCAAGCGAGAGGGGTCTTTCTGGTCTGTCGGCGAAGTGCACAGTGACGGATTGGCCACAAGGACGTCTGCGCGTAAAGATGGCAGGTGCGAAGTGTCGAAGCTGGAGGCTTGCCGAGTCGAGCATACGATGATGGTCAAAGCAGAGCGTGCCGTAACGTAATTTCCGCGCTTCAGTTTGCAGAAGTTTCAAGCATGCCATGGTGTGCGAGGTCCAGTCGGTTTCAGATCAGGTCACAGCATGTGCGAAATCGGCCCAGACGAAGACAGCGTGCGAGCGAAAGGTTATCGAGAGGTCCATGACACGAAGCGGACTTGTCGTGTCGATCAAGAGGTCATCCAGCAAAGACGTCGAAATCCACATGCACGAGCTCACGGTCGGTCACCTCAACGCGTCCTCATCGTTGCTCACCTTGGCCCTGGCCACCTTGTTGTTGTGCCATGGCGGCGTACCACATCTGGAGATAATTCTGATAGCCACCATAGGCGGCATAAGGGTCTGCAGCCCCAGCGGCTGGAGGAGGTGCTGCCACTTGCGTGGGGAGGGCAGCGGCAGCGGGATAGCTGGGTTGTTGTCCCGAGTACCTGTCTCCGTAGTCGTCTCGACTTTCACGTTCACGAGCTTGGGTGCGAGCACGCTGTATCATGTTAGCATATGCATCGAAAGCATTCATAGGCCATCATTACCACAACGTCCACCTTCTCCATAATAGCACGCTTGGCTGCATCAATGGCGTGGCGGCTGCCGATAAGTCCAATTTCACGTTCAATGTCTCGTCCACTTGCTGGCGAGACATTGATCTTGCACCCTGTTTGATTCTGCATATCACGGATAGACTCACCCCCTAAGCAGCTGTTAGCGAAACACATGAGAATACTTGGGTGCAACCTGCCTTTGCCAATGATCATGCCCACTGCATCGCCGGGCACGACGATACTATCGTTGATCTTGCCGCCACCAGCGCCGCCGCCGTGCGAGTCTTCTCGTTCGCGGTGGAGGTCTTTCACGCTGATGCCCTTCTGATCACTTTCCACGATCTCCAGGATCAAATCTCGCGCGTACTGCTGCGCTGACGCACTTCCAATCAGATTAACAGGCCGCAATCCATTGATGCTCTTGTTCTCTCCAACAATGTTGACATGACAGCCGCTCCGGTCTTGCAAGTCGCGGATGGTTTCACCTCCACGTCCGATGATCAATCCAACCGTTCGGTCGGGAACCATCATTTGGAGACTATCGCCTTCTTTGGTTGTCGTCACTTTGCTCTGATGGCGAAGTTTTTCTTGAGCTGGGCCGCCTCTCTTCGAAACTTCGTTGTCATCGATGATCCTGAAGATTTCATTTTTGGCAGCGGCACGTGCAGCTCGGGGCCCCGTTATCCTACAATGCCTCTGAGGACCAGGGACTTCGGGACCGTCCATGAACTGGACACGAGCACCTGTGGTGTTCTCGACCCGTCGCAGATTTTCCCCAGACCGGCCGATGATGAGCCCGACCACGCCTTTGTCTAAAGGTAGGATTTCCGATTCCCCTTCACCTCCCTGGTCGCGCCCGGGTGATCTGTCATCTCTGAATCTTCCCGGAGAATATGGTGCAGCCCGTGGGGACAAAGAGCGATCCCTGTTGAATCCGCGGTCATTTGCCCGTCTATCGTCTCTGTAGGGATTATAAGCATCTCGATAGCCGTCTCGCCGCGGAGGGGATCTGGACGGCGATCTCGAGCGTCGGTAGCCTCTGCTTCCGGTTCTAGGGTCGGGATTGATAGGAGCTATTCGTTCGTAATCAGTTCAGTAAGCGTGGGCCAGAGCAGAGAAATGTCTTACGTCGACTGGGGTCGTAGGAGATGCCTTTCTCAGCCGCGATTCCTCGAGCTTTGGCGATCGCATCGGCAATGCTAACAGATCCAGAGCTGATAGGCTTTATGCCTCCGAGATCGACGCTGCCAGAGTTGATTGGTTGCGGAAGACCATAAGGTGCAGCGCTACCAGGAGGAGAGGCATATTGAGGTGGTGGATACGGCATGCCAGGCACAGGTGGAGGAGGAGCTTGTGAGGGTGTTCCTCCTTGCCGCTGCGCTGCGAGAGCAGCGAGGATGTTGCTGAGATCAGCCATGACGAGCTCGAGAACGAATGACGGACACAAGCCTATGAAGCACCCGGGTGGAAAGGTGATAACCTAGTAATTTCACTGAATAGATGCGAATGAGAATTGTGTGAGGGGTTGGTGAGGTTTCAGTTTCGAGTCTCTAGACAGAGCCCAACCTCGAGCAACCTGAAGCTGCGTTCGGCGAAAAGTTAATTCGGGTTCCGCATATCACGTGACCATGAGAATTCTGTCCACGTGACACTCTCTTCAAAAGAGTTTCGTCTCCTGAATCCTTTTCCGACTTCACTCACTAGACTCCTGACTCAACCAAACTCTGGCGAAAATGAGCGAAGACTCTATGTGAACGAGCACATCAAGTGGCTAGTGGCCACGAGGAAAATGCTATTAGCATAAAAGCCTGCAGAACTCCTTTACCGCGGAAGCCTCGGCTCTGAGAGAACTTTGTAACAAGCCAGTACACCGGTGGTATAGTTGTCAGGTACCTTGATGCGCCTCAGGTAACCACTGCTTCCAACCTGTCCAGGGATTGTTGAGGATGACAGAATGGATGCTGCTTGCATTCAGAGCCAGCTGCCTCTATTTTGCCCGGGAGCCTCCCCTTTGCACCACCAATTGAGGTGAAAATGCTGTTGAGGGCCTCTTTCGACTTATCAGGCCATATGCTTGAACGCAAGAGGGAAGACACCAGGCATGACGGTAGGAGTCTTTGTCGGGTCAGGCTGGTCCTGGGTTTGTATCATGGCAAACAAATCCCTAGTATCTTCCCACAGCAATCTCCAGTGAGTTGTGTAGAGCAAGCTCCCTTCCCATGTTGTCACTCTTGACCTGCCTAGCGCTAAACGGACCGCCTATCCATGATTGTGAAGCAGCGTCAGACACCGGGCGCACTTCGGGTAGATCACAGCCATTGCCAGCCTGCGTCTCTGCACAGCTCTCTATCGACCAACATTCATACCATCCATCGACAATGAGTGCCTCAGAGGCACCACCAATGCTCGTCATAATGGCGCCTAGGTAAGCTCTGACCTCCAATCCTCATCACCATGCGCTGATGCAACTGGATTTGCCAGGAGGGTGATGGCCTACATCTCGTATGCCAGGGCGTTGAGTGAGACGATGGTCTTCTTGCCATCCCCAGACCAGGGGATAATTGAGACCATCAGCTTGAGAGAGGGCCGCCTCGACTTCGAGCAGCGTCGTCTGGAACGACTTCCTGCCGCGGCTGCTGGCGCCCTCCTCTTCGCCTTCTGTGAGGAGTTTGTCGCGCCTGGCGGAATGTCGCCAGAGAACTTCCGCCACGTCTGTGGCATCCTACAACAGCTTCTGAGGTCCTCCGGCGAGAAGGGTGCCTTTGCCCGAGACCGTCTGCCCCTGGGCATCCAGGGAGTGAAGGAGCTCGACTGGACGAAACAGAACGACCAGTTCCGTCCCATTCGCGAAGAGCACCGCGGCAAGGGAAAAGAGCCAGAGCGTGAAAACCAGTCCCACACGTGGACCGGTCCGACAGGCGACAAGTACACATTCCACGGCTGCTTTGACGAAGACCTGGTGATCGTGGATGAGTCTCTGAAGGAGGCTGGACTTTTGAAGTTTGTGTGTCACACCTTTGATGTTCCTGGTAGCAGCCAAGTCAGATGGTCGTGGCAAGTCTTTGCAAAGCTCAATCACCCGGAATTCGCGGCTTTCTGTCCTGGGCAGACTGAAACTGAATTCGTACGAACTTTGGTCCTGTCAACGACTTCTTGGTGTACTGACTGTTCTCCAGCAAGCGTATGGAACTCTCATCCTGGCAAGCCTAAAATTCTTCTCTGAGTGTCGATGCTCTCACGAGCAACTCTGTCGACTTGGGGAGGAGCTCATGCTCCGGCAAGAGATCAAGCGCGGAGAGTTTCTGGCACTGACGACGGTCGCTTCAGAATCTGCGGCTGTCGCAGTCGCTGAGTCGTCCCACCGCGGTGATGAGAAGAAGCTTCCGGTAGGCCGTGACAGTGACTCTTCTGCCGACCCAGATTCGCAAAAACAAAAAGAGAACACGCACTCACGATCTTCATCACAAACCTCATCTTCCTCAGCACTTGACGCCATGGACGCAACTCCTATTGGAGAGGTGCTGGTCCACAACCAGGAATCCAAGAAGGCAAAGAAGCCCAAAAAGAAGAAGAAGAAGCCAAAGAAGCAGGCAAACACACAGTCTCCAACCCCGTCTGAACGAAGTGATCCGCCTCCAGCAGAGCCTGAAGCCCTTCAACTGTTCGATGACAAGGCGAAGTCAATCGCCCCAAACCTACCCATCAACCCGTCTACCCCAGACATGGCGACATCTGCACAGCACCAGACACAAGCGAATGGTGGTGTACCGACTTCAGTAGACCAGAATGCGAATCAGCTTGCAGGTAGCATAGCCAAAATGAGACTTCCTCCTCGTCCGACCATACCACTGCCACCCAAACCTCCCCCAAGCGCAGTGGCGCCAAGCGGGCTATATGATGGTTCATGGTACTCCCAAAACAAAGACTTGCGTGAGAATGAAGACAGAACGGCATTCTCAAATGTCCCAAACAAGTCCACAGTCCAGCCGACTTCTTTCACTGGGCCGCCTATGCCTACTCCACCCACCACACATCAACAAGCTCAGGATAAGAAGTCTAGCACAGGTGTAGCTGCGTCAACACCCGAGAAGCTAAGCAAGAAAGAAGCAGCAGATACCAACAAGAAAACAGATATCGTACAAGTCTCAGAGCCAGGCGTCAATAAGGGAGCTTCTGGGAGAGAAATCCACGTTCCCTCGTCTGCAAGCAGTCAAGGTCAAGTGGTACCTCGTTCGTCGAATGATGTTCTGAGTGTCGAATCGGCTACCGGAGATGTGCGAGTGAAGCAAGCTCCCAGAGATCAAGGGCCTATCCAGAGGACCGAAAAAGCGCAAGGTAAAGTATCAGGGGAAGACCGCAAGGTTGAAGGCAGCACCAAGAAGGAAAGTGTCACAAATCCTCACGTGAGTCACTGAAGCCATGATACTTTTCTTTTCTCCTCCCGCTGACACCATTCTGCAGAGACGCAACCTTGTTCAATGTGCAACCTCAAATCCCGCCCCTCCCCTGCCCGAGTTCAAATTCGACAGCTTCCACCCGCTGTTGAAATGTCCGAAGCCCGATTGCCGTGCCATGACAAGTTGCTGGGGTAAGTCTGATCTGCGCGCCGTTGCATCGTCCACACTTCGTTGCTAACACCCGGAACCCGTCCAGATCGTAACGTGGTCATCTGCCCTGCCTGTGGGACGGGGAGCTTCACCCGCTACTGCAAGAAGCAGCACCTCTACGAGGACATCCAACGACACTGGGTACTGGAATGCCGCCAAAATAAGATCACCGGACCCATTGACCAAGACACAATCCGCCCTTACCAGATCCCAAAGCGCGCCTATATCATGGGCCAGATGCCTAACCTCGTCGAACGCCACAGACAGGCAGTTTACCGTGCCATGGACGCCGCAGACTACTTCATCTTCGCGGATTTGGACGAGATCGACCCGAGCATTGCGGAGCCTACGCCAGCACAGTGGAACGCAGTCCGTGGAACAGGAAAGCTGGCGGTGCAGGTCAAGCTCGAACTTACTGAAAGTCTGGGATGCGAAAGCCGGCTGTTCACATACCACATCCAGCGCATCCTGGCGGTCGGGAGACCGGCTGCCCTGGACAGCTGTCACAGAGCGTTGAGCATGATTCGGAACGCGTTGGTCCGGTCTGGGAACTGGACAGAGGAGGTCCTGACCTATCTGTGCATGCAATTGCCAGGAGAATGGGGCGGCTACCGGGTGCCGGACTCCTACTGGAACGTGGCCGAGGTGAATGCTCTGTGGAACATTCACCGCACGCTGCCTGCATAAGGTAGGTATGGTATGAGACGGGTGCCATTTGGATATGAGGGCCAGTTTGTGAGCCAATATCGCCAACGCCAGTCGCAGAGCTGCATTGGAAACGAAGGACGGAGATCAAAGAAAGCGATAGATATCCGTCTCAGTGGCAAGCTGAGTTGAGATGAAAATGAAGATAATTTGACCTCGTACAACGCTGCTGCTGAGCGCGAGACCTGCCCGCTGTCCATGCTTCCTCTGCATTCTCGGTACGAAGGACAGAGTATTTACTCGTACATTCACTCCGCACTCACAAGCTTTTGAGCACGGCCTGCTTCCTGTCAGATGAAAGCGCCGCCCTTACCATCGGAGGTCTCCGCCCGCTGAGAGCCAGCACCGCCGCCGCAGCTGCACACAGGCGGGACCAGCTGTCAACTCCATGCGAGGCGATTGGCCGCGATGGCTACCACTCACCCCTCACTGGCGATCCGTGTCAGCTATCTCTACGAGATCTCAGTTGTGCTGCAATTGCCCCTCTCTGATTCGTGCGTCAAGTCGTCGCGTCCCGTTTCGTTTCCTATCAAAATCAGTTGGAACAGATTGCTTCTGCATTGATGAGAGTAGCTTCAGGCGGTTGCCGATAAGAGGCTGTAGTGAGTGCAGGGAGTTTCGTGTATCACTTTCGCCTCTTGATCGCCCGCCACGCTCGGCTTGTACGACATCTGCCTCTGCAGTATATTTCCCTTGCCCGGTTCCTTTCGCCTCGATTTGTGCGTAGGGCGACGTTTGATGCTGACCTGACAGGACCGCTGACTTTTCGCCCTCCTCACTTCTCGTTGACAGACTCCCAACCGAGATGGCTCCAGGAGTTCTGGAGCCAGCCGGCACCGCAGAGAAAGTCGTCTCGCTTGCCTCTCTGACTGAGAGCTACGACGACACACTGCGCTTCTATCTCAATGGGACGAAGGTCGAGCTGGACGCGGTGGACCCAGAACTCACACTGCTGGAGTATCTGAGAGGCATCGGCTTGACGGGCACAAAGCTGGGATGCGCAGAAGGTGGATGTGGTGCGTGTACGGTGGTGGTATCACAACTGAACCCAACTACCAAGAAAATATACCACGCCTCGGTCAATGCTTGTCTGGCCCCACTCGCCAGCGTCGATGGCAAGCATGTTGTTACCATCGAGGGCATTGGCAATTCCAAGCACCCACATCCCGCACAGCAGCGGATCGCCATGGCAAGTGGAAGCCAGTGCGGTTTCTGCACACCGGGCATAGTCATGAGCTTATATGCTCTGCTAAGAAACAATGGTCCTGGAGCATCAGAGATTGAGGTCGAGGAAAACTTCGATGGCAACCTGTGCCGATGCACGGGCTACCGACCGATTCTCGATGCCGCCCAGAGCTTCAACAAGTCTTGTGGCAAGTCGATTGCAAACGGCGGTTCTGGCTGCTGCATGGACAATGGGGGTTCCTGCAACGGCGCCACAAATAGCGTCAACGACGTGGACGCTCCCGAGAAGAAATACACTCCTCCGTCTTTCATTCACTACGATCCGTCCACGGAGTTGATTTATCCTCCTGCACTGCGGAAGCACGAGTTCCGGCCGCTCGCGTTTGGAAACAAGAGGAAGAAGTGGTACAGGCCCGTTACTCTAAAGCAGCTGCTGGAGATCAAGAATGCTCACCCCGCTGCTAAGTTAATCGGTGGTAGCACCGAGACCCAGATTGAGATCAAATTCAAGGCAGCCCAATACTCAGCCTCGGTATATGTAGGCGACATCGCCGAACTTCGACAGTACTCGTTCCACGACGACTACGTGGAGATTGGTGGGAATGTCGCTTTGACAGATCTCGAAAACATCTGTGATGAAGCTGTTAAACATTACGGCGAGGCCAAGGCCCAATCGTTCAAAGCCATCAAGAAAGCCATCAGGTACTTCGCCGGCCGGCAGATCCGGAACGTTGGCACACCGGCGGGCAATTTGGCAACAGCTTCTCCCATCTCCGATCTGAATCCGGTGTTCGTCGCCACAAAGTCAGTCATGATTGCCAAGTCCCTGAAAAAAACTACAGAGATACCTATGGGCAGCTTCTTTAAGCGTTACAGAGTGACGGCTCTGCCCGAAGATGCTGTGATCGCCGCGATGAGAATCCCCATCACCGCCGAGAAAGGAGAATACGTCAGATCGTACAAGCAATCGAAGCGGAAAGATGACGATATTGCCATTGTCAATGCGTGCTTGCGAGTTGCGCTGGACGACAACTACAAGGTCAAGAACGCCAACTTGGTCTACGGAGGAATGGCTCCTATTACCATTGAAGCCAAACAAGCGTCTGAATACATCGTTGGAAAGACATTCACAGATCCGCAGACCCTGGAGGGAGTAATGAGTGCCTTGGAACACGACTTCAACCTTCCCTTCGGCGTGCCGGGAGGAATGGCTTGGTACAGGAAATCCTTGGCTTTGGGATTCTTCTACCGCTTCTACCAAGAAGTCCTCATTCAGATCGAAGACGCGAGCAAGCAAGCAGATGAAGAAGTAGTCGAGGAGATTGAGCGAGAAATCTCAAAGGGTCACAAAGACCACGATGCTTCTGTTGCTTACTCGCAAAAGGTTCTCGGGAAGGAACACCCGCATTTGGCGGCGTTGAAGCAGTGCACCGGAGAAGCCCAGTATACGGACGATATCCCTACCCAGAAGAACGAGCTCATCGGCTGCCTCGTTCTATCGACAAAAGCACACGCAAAACTGATCAGCGTTGACCCCAGCCCCGCGCTACAACTTCCAGGTGTCGCCGCCTGGGTTGACCGACACGATTTCCCAAATCCTAAGGCGAACTGGTGGGGTGCCCCAGTGTGCGACGAGGTTTTCTTTGCCGAGGACGAAGTCTTCACGGCGGGTCAACCCATTGGCATGATTCTGGCAAACACGCCTCAGCAGGCTTCTGCTGGTGCCCGTGCTGTCCTCGTCCAGTACGAAGAACTACCCGCCATTTACACCATCGAAGAGGCTATCGAGAAGCAAAACTTTTTCGCACACTACCGATATATCCGCAGAGGTGATGTCGACAAAGCCTTCCAAGAATGCGACCATGTCTTCGAGGGTACTGCCAGGATGGGTGGGCAGGAGCACTTCTACCTCGAGACTAACGCTGCTCTCGCAATCCCCAAGCCAGAGGATGGTGAGATGGAAATCTGGAGCAGCACCCAGAATCCGTCGGAAACGCAGGCCTATATTGCGAAAGCTCTGGGTGTGCAGTCCAACAAGATCGTTTCCAAAGTTAAGCGTCTCGGTGGCGGCTTCGGCGGCAAGGAGACCCGATCGATCCAGCTCTCGACAATCTGCGCTGTGGCAGCGAACAAAGTGAAGCGGCCCGTCAGATGCATGCTCAACCGAGACGAAGACATCATGACCTCTGGGCAGCGACACCCGTTCCTGGGCATCTGGAAGGTCGGAGTCAACAAGGACGGCAAGATCCAGGCTCTGAGATGCAACGTCTTCAACAACGCAGGATGGTGTCAAGATCTGTCTGCTGCGGTCGTGGACCGGGCCCTTTCACACATCGACGGCTGCTACAACATCCCGAACATAGACGTCGACGGCCGCCTATGCAAGACCAACACTGTCTCAAACACAGCCTTCCGCGGCTTCGGTGGTCCCCAAGGCATGTTCATTGCCGAATCCTACATGGAGGAAATATCGGACCACCTCAAGATCCCCGTCGACCAGCTCCGCGAAATCAACTTCTACAAGGACGGCGAGCAAACACATTTCAAGCAAGCGCTCGAGGACTGGCACGTCCCGTTGATGTACAAGCAAATCAAAGAGGAGTCCAACTACGACGCGCGCCGCAAAGCCGTCGACGAATTCAACGCCACGCACAAATGGCAGAAGAAAGGCCTTGCCATCATCCCCACCAAGTTCGGCATTTCTTTCACCGCTCTCTTCCTTAATCAAGCCGGCGCTCTCGTGCATATCTACCACGACGGCTCCGTCCTCGTCGCCCACGGCGGCACGGAAATGGGTCAAGGTCTACACACCAAGATCTGCATGATCGTTGCCGAAGCCCTCCAAGTACCTCTCTCGGACGTGCACATTTCCGAGACGGCAACCAACACGGTCGCCAATTCATCCAGCACAGCCGCGTCGGCCTCGTCCGATCTCAATGGCTACGCCGCCTACAACGCCTGTATGCAGATCAACGAGCGGCTGGCGCCGTACCGTGAGAAATTCGGCCCAAAGGCCACGATGCACCAGCTCGCCACGGCTGCGTATTTCGACCGCGTGAACCTCTCGGCCAACGGATTCTACAAGACCCCTGAAATCGGATACATCTGGGGTCCGAACCCGGAAGACCCGACCAAGGAGAACACGGGCAAAATGTTCTTCTACTTCACGCAGGGCGTGACCGCGAGCGAAGTCCTCATCGACACGCTCACTGGCGACTGGACCTGCCTGCGATCGGACATCAAGATGGACGTCGGGCGCAGCATCAACCCGGCCATCGATTACGGGCAGATCGAGGGCGCGTACGTGCAGGGCCAGGGCCTCTTCACCACAGAGGAGTCCCTCTGGCACCGTGCGAGCGGGCAGCTCTTCACCCGCGGGCCGGGCGCCTACAAGATCCCGGGCTTCCGTGACATCCCGCAGATCATGAACGTCTCGCTGCTCAAGGACGTCGAGTGGAAGAATCTGCGCACGATCCAGCGGTCGCGCGGCGTCGGCGAGCCGCCGCTGTTTATGGGCAGTGCGGTCTTCTTCGCCATCCGGGATGCCCTCAAGGCCGCGAGGAAGCAGTATGGCGTGGAGGAGGTGCTGAGTCTCAGGAGTCCCGCCACGCCGGAGAGGATCCGGATCAGTTGTGCGGACCCCATTCTGAAGAGATGCGCCGTGGAGCCGAGGGAGGGCGAAAAGAGTTTCTTTGTCTCGATTTGAGAGAGCGGCACATTGCAGACCGGCTGAGGCAGGGGGTTTTTAACATAAAATCATCATGTGTCGTGGCCGTCTTAAAAGTGTGTGTGTGTGTGTGTCTGGTGTGTGGACATGGGACGTTCATCATGGCACGCATGGTCCTTATACGGCAGATTTATTCTGACCCGTTCATCTGGTATCACGAGCTCTTATTGTAGTGTCTGCTCATTAACGGCTCGTGATGTGGTACATGGTATGTAGTATGTGGTATGTTGACATGTAGCTCTCATCATTCGTTCCAGTTCACTCTAGAGATGTATGGTATAAGTATGCTCAAGCATAATCCGGGTGTAAGTCTTGTTCTCGTTCTAAAATCTTACGTCCGCCATGATTGAAGCCCACGTCTGCGTCGTGAACGGCCTCGGTGTGCCTTTTTTCGAATCTCTCTGTTCAATGCACTGTAAAGTTAATCAAGTTCGATGATCTATTTTGGCTTCTGGCTCTTGTCAGTGTCCGCGTCCTATCTCCCCAGTAAATCGGGCTCGAGGAGCAGGAACTCAGGTAACCATTCCTCCGGAACCGGGGCTGGGACCAGGACCCGGACCGGTACCAGGACCAGAACTCGCGCCATGATTCGCAGCAGAACCGGAACTGGAATCCGATCCAGAAGCAGGGGGGGTGTTTGTCTCAATCATAAATCCCACGGCCTTCTTCGGCCTGGCTGTGGCGACGGGGGAACCAATACCATTACCACCCCCAAAGATCGATGACCTCGGCTGAGCAGCTGGCGTAACTGGCGGCGACAGCGGCAGCGTGTCTGTAGCGCCAAACGCGACGGTCCTTTCCGGTCCCCTGTCATAGTCCTTTCGTGTCCTCTTTGCTGGTGTTTTTCTGCGTTTGTTCCGAGCACGTTCAATCTCGAGGCCTACAATCAGATCACTGTCTTCGGCTCCATCTGTAGAAAATGGTCCGTCGCGTCGTTCAAACAGTGGGACCGGTTCGTCTAGGGTTCCGCCCTTCATCCGTTCTTTCTCGTCGTCCGTAATATTCAGGAACCCCTCGCCGCGGATGACGCCATTCATCGTGTCGTCGTCCAGGAGGCTCTTTTCGGCTTTGACCAGCTCGGCCTTGCTCATCTGGCGGCGCCGTTTGAGGATTTTTTCCTCAAGTGTACCCTTCAGGACTAGCGTTTCCACGTAGACGGGACGTGTCTGTCCGATTCGATGCGCGCGCTTGATCGCCTGGGATTCGACGTCCGGCTGCCAGATGGGGGACACGATAAAGATGCGGGTAGCCGCAGCGACGTGGAGGCCGTGGGATGCTTGTTTCAAGTCCATGAGCAGCACACGGAACACGCCTGATTGGTTGAACGTTGCGAGGTACGCTGCTCGACGGGCCACGGCCAACGTGTTGGCGTAGATGAGGAACTTGACGGAGAGCAGCTCGAGGGCTTCGGCAATCCAGAAGGCAATGTTGTTGGAGTCGTAGAAGATGATGATCTTCTCGGTTCGCTGTAACAACAGCACGCGTGAGCACAGGTAGTTCAACTTTGCGGATGTGAAGCCGATGACTTTGGGTTTGGCCAGAGACGCTGTAACCGCAGCATCCATCGTCGACGAAATGCGCTTGTGACCAGCAGCCAGGAGCGTTTCGGCCTTGGAGGAACGGACAGGAGATGAGAATGTTGCTGCTTGATTTTTGATCTTGGGTTCTTCTGCGGTTCCGGCTGTTGGAGGCTTGCCATTCGGACTGGGCCGTGCTTTCTCTCGAGCCTTCATTTCCTCGGTGGCTCGCTCGCGTGCTGCAAACATCGCTCGAATGCCTGCTCCCACAAGACCGAAGCTAGGATCGCCGCTTTCAAGATGCTTCAAGACATGCTGCTGTGCTTCTCGGGCTTGCTTAGTGCCAAGAAGGAGTGGATTGGATGGTTCGCCGTTCAGCGCCCAAGCTTGCGCCGCAGCGTCGGGGAAATCTTTGACGTAGACTCCTATCTCGTGGTAGAATGAGAACGCTCTCCAGCCCGAATCGTTCAGGGCGCGTTCGCCATTCATGATCGCCTCTGTCAGGAGCGCACCGTCGCCATCGGAGATGGTGTCAAGATGCTCGTCCAGGTATTTTTTGCTCACCCTAAGCGTTTCCGCGACTTCGTGCGTAGTGAAACCCACCCAGTGGAAGCTTGAGCGTCGCTGGTTGTTGATGAGTTCGTCCAGATATTTGCGGTTCTTGGGCTGGAACATGTAGTCGTCGTCTACTCTTTCGGAGGTGACGGCGTTGGAGGTCAAGACCATTCTGAAAAGATTCATGCTGAGTTTGTCATAGTAGCTCGGCTCGAGGCACACGGTGGTATTGTGAAGTGGAGGCAGACACAGATCAACATCGATGTCCTCAATTCGGTGTCGGATGATTAGCGACTGGAGAATGGCCTTGAGAGCAGGCGCAAAACGTCGATTTTGTGACGCGTCGAACGGATGCAGGTATTTTTTCCAGTCGGCATAGTCGGCGCCTTTCTGATTTGCCCAAGGTTGTACCTTTAGAAAGTTGACGACGATGGCACGCAGCCGTTCCATATCTTTGAGCTCGTCATCTGCTGCCTCCTTGGCCCTCCGTCGTTCCAAGGCGGTCCTGATCGAGTGGTCGCGTGATGGTTCGTTGTTGTCATTAGTCTCGTTCAGTGCTAGATTGACCTCAACTCCCTGGAGAGAGTGCGACGGTGTGCCTGATACGACCCACCGACGTTCGATGGACATCTTATCAAGCATAGCCACGGCGTGCGTCTTGTAACTTGAGCCTGCGAAGCCATGGCCTTCATCACAGATTACGCGTAGCCATCGCACTTCGGTCAGTTGTGAGCGGAACTTTTCTGAGCCTTTGAACTGCCTACCCTGGTTGAGGTGATCGTCTCGGTACTCCTGCTCAAATCGAGCTTTCGTGATGAGCACAATGTCGTACTTCATCAACGACTTCCAGGGCGGTATGTCCTTCGTTGTGGAGTCGAGCACAAGGACGTCAAGTGCACCGGGATGAGTGTGTTTCTTGATCTCGTGCTGCCATTGCACAAGCAGATTGGGCGGGACGATAAGCAACGTGGCAAATGACTGGCGCAGCATTCTGAAGTCTTCCCTTTTCTTATTCTTGCGGTCCGGCGTGGTAGGGTGGAAGATGGGTTCAGCATATTCACCATCATACTCGGCCAAGGCCGCCGTGCAGCTGTCGAAATGGTATCCCTCCGTTTCTAGCGCGGCAAAGTGCGACTTCCAGGGAACCCCCGCTTGTTTGATCTTCTTCGCAGCCAATGCGAGTAGGCTTGGTGTCCGCTCGTTATATTCTTCGGGCATGGCACTGATCCTGCCTTCGGGGATGGCAGGATAGTGACCTCTTGTGGCTAGGACCAGTGCGATGCAAATTAATGTCTTGCCGTAGCCCATAGTCTCTGCCAGGATCCCTCCCCGACACTCGCTGTACAGATGTGGGTGACGGAGAAGAACACCTTCATGTACATCGAAGTAGAATTCAGTACCGTTCAGGTCTCGAAACTGGGGCTTGCGTGGATCACGGGACTTGGAAGGGTGCACCTCTTTCTGTAGCATCGCAGCAACCGACCGTTTCTGGTACGGGTATAACTGCGTCTTGAGGCCGATGATGCTGTCCTGGAACACATCGCCCATTGCCTGTTGATCGTGCACACGTGTTCCGGCGTCACCGAGAGTGATCTGTGGCGAAGACAAGGTATTGAAGGTGTAGAAAAGAGACTCTTCCTGCGAGAAATCGGGTTCCTTGTAAGTTTGCATGGGCGAATTCGGGTCGAAGCTGCCATTCCAAGCCTCGACAGACGTGTCAATCAAATCGGCAAGCAACTTCAGCAGCTTCCTAAGGTGCTGTATCGACCCACGGCTGCTTCGATTTACATCTTCTGGCAAGACATGGACTTTCAATGAAGCGTAGGTAGGATCGTCGACATGTGGAAGAAATGTAGTCCTGATCCATCCCCGTGCCTCACCCTTCGTTAATTCTGGGTGAGGATGTATCGGGTTCTTTGGTCCGACCATACGCCAGGCGGCATGTTCACCATGATCTGATTGTCGGACTAGACGAATGGTTCCAAAAGCGAGATAGTCATCCATCGTATCAAGTGAGGGTGTATGCTGCTGCTCCGCGAATGAAGATTCTGAGTCGTTTGAGCGGCCGGGAGAGCGTGGAGTTGCACTTCGCCCGCGAGTCTGAAATGTTTAGTGAAATGTCATAAGGGATACATCTGGTATATACCTCTGGATCTGGCTGCGAGGGATACGGCTTCTGCGAAGCTTCGCCTGAGATCTGACTATGACCGTCAATTGTTCCAGGTCCCAAGAAAAAGTGACGGACATTAAATGGTTGATCATCGCCATCATCGGCACCATGGCCATGAGTTGAAGACCAGTCCGACATCTTCGCAGAGAAGAGAGCTGTTGCGCCTGAGGATTGGTGCTTTTATGTTCGTGCGATGAATGGCTTGCGAGTCCACGGGAGCCTCATTCGCAGAGATTGAGAATTAATATCGTCAGACAGACATACATGGCCGAGATCCGCTGCAAAAGCCGTTGCCACCAATGTCAGACCACGGCTTTTCCTGCAGGCTGAGATGCGGCGCTGCAGCCTGATCGTTCAGGGGCCAAGGCAGAGCAGGACATTCAAACTACATATTCCACCCCTTTGCTTTCTCAATGGAAAGCTCAATGTGCTTCCCATGGCCGTCTGAGCTACGTGTAAGTCGTCGGTTTTATTGAAATAGCCGTAATGATGTCTGTGACCCTTACAGCCCTGGTCGTACACAACGACCGGCTCCGGAACCACTGATCTGTAACGAGAGCGGACCATGCTCAGCTGCTGCCTGCAGTGTCATTCTACAATTGTGGTCATATACGGAGTTATTCAATGCAAAACTAGATGCGCCAGCGAGGATCTATTCCCCTCCTCAAGAGCCCGGAACAGAACAGCCGAAGCCGAACTCCACCTCCGTGCGACAGGAGTGGCTGACAAATCCATCAGTTCTTGAGGCACCCTCGGTTCTCGTCGCCCGTCCGATCGACTTCTATAGGCCCAGAAAGGATTCGAAAGTGTGAGCTATCGGCAATATAAAAGGCCATTCGAGTCCCACTTCCTCGGCGGAGCATTTTGTTACTCATGCGCTTTATACCCACCCGCCACCTCTTCGCCAAAATGACAAACTACAACATCACTATCACGAGCGACATCGTGTGCCCATGGTGCATGATTGGCCATAATCGCCTGTCCCGCGCCATTGCCGAGCATAAAAAGCAGTATCCCGACGACAAGTTTAGTCTGAAATACCTACCATTCTATCTCCAGCCACCACCTCAAATAACAGGAAATGGGCCCCCACCACCACCGTTTCCCGCGCCCTCGAGGCCGAGAAGGGAGATGTACGCCGCGAAATTTGGACCCGAGCGCGCAAAACAGATCGAAGCCATGATGACGCAGACATCCAAGGCCGAGGGGTTGAATTTCAAGTTTGGCGGCATGACGGGCCCGAGTCGGAACGGACATCGGCTTGTATACTGGGCCCAGGGCAAGGGTGGCGAGCACTCGCAGAATGAAGTCATGTTGGGTCTCTGGCGGAGGTATTTCGAGCAGGAGGTCGATATCACCACACTGGAGACGCTCGTCGAGGTCGGACTCGAGGCAAACCTGGGCACCAAGGAGGAGATTACCGAGTACCTGACATCCGGCAAGGATGGAGAATTGATCGATAAAATGGCCGAGGAAGCTCATATGAAAGGGATCAGTGGCGTCCCATTTTACGAGATCAATGATGTTTGGGAGGTCAGTGGAGCGCAGGACCCATCGGCATTCAAAAATCTGTTCGCCAGATGGAAGACTATGGAGGCTAAAGGACAGCTGCCAGCAGGTGCTGGAGCCAGTGCCAACGGAGACTCCTGCTTGTGATGTCTAGAAAGCCAACAGCCGAGAGTGAAGTCACAAAAGGAACAGCACTGACTTGCTGAGATGATAGTGGGAGATCTTCCAGACTTCAAGAGAGTATTCCATATTCTGGCGGACAGGCTCTAAGGAGCCGACCGTCGCAGTTCGCGGGCCCTTTCTAACGGGCCACGGGGTTTTTGTACAGACCCTTGATTATACAGTGTGATGATGCTCGGCACCTTTCAACCTAGTTCTGACTCAATCGCTGCCGCTCACGCAAGAACACACCAACCCAGTGTATTCGAACAGTGTCTAACCGTTCGCTGCAGTACTCGCCCGTTACAACCTCAATTGCCTGGGTGTTATTGTGCTCATCGCTTTGTGCATTCGGTCAAATCAGGGTGACTTCTGACTTGTCCGTTTTCTTCGAGGCCCTTTGTCCTTCTTCATTTCCTCTCGGGCCGCTTCAAGGTGCTGCTCAGCATTACGCTCGACAACTTCTTGATCGATTTTGGCAACATGGTCCTCGGCAGTATTTGCCAGCAAGATCTCCGCTTTGTCGTCCAACTCCTTGTCGGCCTTCACTGTCGATACCTCAGCTTCACTCTCCTGGACATGATTCCTTATCATCTGCTTGACTGCTTCAAGCCGCATTTCCATGCTTTGCGCGTCGTCTCCGGTTGGATCCACCCCGAGATCTTGGGCCTCCATGCTCATCGTAATCCCTTCAATTCGATCTTCGACACGTGCGGACACATCATCCAGTACCCCGATCGGCTCCGCAGGGCCTCCAGTATCCGAGCCACGCTCCTCCGCTGCCAACTGAGCTCGTGTCGCCGGGGTTAAATGCTCATCGAATGTTCTGACACGCCTGTACCTCCCCTCAACGACATCTGGTTTCTCTAATTGCTCCGGCAGACTCAAAGTGTAGGGGCTCCCTCGGTTGAGAGATTCTAGCTTGGGAATTTCATATGACTCTTTTTCTCCGTTGTCGACCCAGTATCTCTGAACATGCTTCTCGAAGCGTTCAGCAGCCTGGCGCAAATCCTGCCACGCGGCCTCTTGTTGTTCGATCATCTTTGTTCTCACGTTCTCGTCGTTCCATGCATCTTCAAAGGTGCCTTCCAGGGAGTAGTGCTTCGGGAGGTTGTATTTCTGCAGCTGCAGTTCGTGCTTGACCCGGTATTTGGGAGATGTCATGACGAGCCATCGGAGCTTCCAGCCTAGCAACCCCAGCTCTTTTATTCGCGCAGGCTTGATGCCTGTGACATATGCATCGATGCCACCGCATTTCTTGATCGTCCTCATGACACGGGCGGTGATGGGCAGCTTCAGCTCTCTTCCCAAGGCTTCACTTCTGACCGTCTCGACTCGCACGTTGGGAAACCAATGCCGTAGTGTCTTGCCTTTATTCCTGCCCTTGGAGATCTTACTCCCGGACTGCACCGTGGCACCCCCGTACAGACCAAAGTTCGCCTCGGGGAAATGCATGTTCTCCCCGTAAGGGTATGGCGGCATCAGGGGATCTGTATGTCGCCATTTGTTCTCAGCCAGAAGAGTATGTTGTCTGTCTTCGAGCTTAAAAGTAAACCGGGGCTTGAAGTACGGATTCGAATGTTTGACCTTGTGCCTGTATGCGAAATACTGGATCGTGCTCGGACTGCGGAGTACCTCTGGGAGCTTCGTGATCTGGGTCGGCGCCGCCATCTCCGAAGCAAGCCCAAGTCCGAGCTGCCTGAAGGCCGGGAGAGGAGGTGAGGGATTGGGAGCAAGGGGAAGCGCACTGTGTGTGCGAGGGCGGTGATTCTGGACAGTGGAAGTGGAAAGCGTGTGTCTCGTTCGATTTGAATTTCCCAAATTTTAGCGCGATTTGGGCCTGCGCTCCAACTGCATTTTCCTAGGAACGCGACAACTACGATTCATTACTACGCCAGTCCTTGACCTCATCTTTCTTCTTGGGCTTCTCCTGTCTTCCTGGAGCAGTATATCTGGACCCCTTAGCCTCTGTGCGACTCGTCCGGCGCCATGGTCAACATTAGCGAAGTCAAGGGCAATGCGCGCGAAAACAGAACCGCGGCACATACTCACATCAAGGGCCTGGGTCTGAGACCAGACGGCACTGCAGAACCGTCGGGCCATGGATTCGTCGGCCAAGCCGCCGCTCGCGAGGCTTGCGGCGTGGTCGTGGACCTGATCAAGGCGAAGAAGATGTCTGGAAGAGCAGTGCTGTTGGCCGGCGGACCTGGTACTGGCAAGACAGCTCTGGCCCTGGCAGTTTCGCAAGAGCTGGGGACGAAAGTACCCTTCTGTCCCATCGTGGGCAGCGAGGTCTACTCCGCAGAAGTCAAGAAAACAGAGGCATTGATGGAGAATTTCAGACGAGCCATCGGTATGCGCATCGCTTTTGGCTGCGTTCGGGTTCATACTAACCTCAACCAGGCTTGCGAGTGCGCGAGACAAAAGAAGTCTACGAGGGCGAAGTGACCGAACTCCTCCCCGAAGAAGCAGAAAATCCGTTGGGTGGCTTCGGCCGCACCATTTCCCACCTGGTCATCACCCTCAAATCCGCGAAAGGCACCAAGAAACTACGCCTAGACCCGAGCATATACGAAGCCATCCAGCGAGAACGAGTTACGGTAGGCGACGTCATCTACATCGAAGCCAACACCGGCGCATGCAAGCGAGTGGGCCGATCAGACGCCTACGCGACCGAGTTCGATCTCGAGGCCGAAGAATATGTGCCCGTCCCCAAGGGCGGAGTCCACAAGAAGAAAGAGGTGGTACAAGACGTGACTCTGCATGACTTGGACATGGCCAACGCGCGACCTCAGGGTGGCCAGGATGTTATGAGCATGATGGGCCAACTGATGAAGCCGAAGAAGACTGAGATCACAGACAAGCTCCGCGCCGAGATCAACAAGGTGGTCAGTCGGTACATCGATCAGGGTGTGGCCGAGTTGGTCCCCGGTGTCCTGTTCATTGACGAGGTACGTAGTAGCGAGCCCTAGGAGAGGAGAGAGATACTGACATGCTATTCAGGTGCACATGCTCGACATCGAATGCTTCACATACCTCAACCGCGCTCTCGAATCTCCGATCGCGCCAATTGTCATTTTGGCCTCGAATCGGGGCAACGCTCTCATTCGCGGTACACAAGACATAACCGGCGCTCACGGGGTCCCTCCCGACTTGCTCGCGCGTCTTCTGATCATCCCCACTCATCCATACAATGCCCAAGAAGTTCAGACCATCATCCGACTACGCTCAAAGACAGAGGGTCTTTCAATATCAGAGCCGGCGCTGGAAAGGGTAGCACGGCACGGCACGAATGTCAGCTTGCGGTATGCTCTGCAGCTGTTAACACCGAGCAGTATCCTAGCAAAAGTCAATGGGCGGCCAGAAATCTCCCCAGACGACGTCGCAGAGTGCGAAGATCTATTCATCGACGCGAGGAGAAGCGCGAAGGTGGTGGGGCAGGCAGGTGGATTGTTTATCAGCTGAGGGAAGACAGGAGATCCAATTGGATGACAATTACGAAGCTCGACCAACACCCATCAGATGCAGTGGTTTGAGGCCAACTAGCTGGCATTCGCCGATTCTACAGTAACACGTGCTATCTGTCTAGCACGATGGCAGCACGCCAGCGGGTTAAAACTGCTCGCTCGCCGGACACAACAACAAGGCTGCCTCCTCCCAACCCCCGACACCGCTCAACGGCCCAAGAGCAGCAGTGGAGGTCAGGCGAAGTGCATAGAGGGCCAAGCGAAGCGTAAAACAGTCATGACCACCTGAGGGGGCAGAGAATTTGATCGTACTTGAGCGGCATCATTTATGCCCCAGACTGCGCATGTTTGTAGGAAGACGAGCAAAAGGAAAAATTTCTTGAGTCCCTAATCAAAGAGCCTGCTTTATTCTCACTCGAGTTCTTCTCGTGAACCTAACTAGTTTAGGCCGGACGTTGGCAACGAAACCACAGGGCACGGCCCCGAGACTGTTCGACCGCGTGAAGGACGTGAGATGACCTATGGAAAGGCTAGTCAGCGACTGAATCATCCGACAAGAGTAGAATCGTATGTTCAACTGGGTTTTCCTAAGTCATCCAAGGAAGTATTGCCGCTCACCGGGACCTGGGCTTAAAGTAGGTTCGCATGCCAGGGCTAGCGTGGAAACTGCGAATATGGAATGGTTTTCATCATAGGAAAGTAGTGCTAGGGAATATTGACGGAAGGGGAGGAGTGAGGACGGACCTTACGCTGGATAGCTGTGCTCGGAAGTGAGGGTCGTGCGAATTCTCATTCACGAGTCAAGATCTGCAAACTCGGTCAGCAGAGAGCTCGCACTCGTATTGTGTTGGAACAGGGAGGCGAGTAACAACATCAGACATGATATACTGGCTAGTAACAGACTGTCCAGCGTTGACAGTCCGAATGTTTCTTCAAGGACGACTCAGGACAGAAAGAAGTATTTGCGGTTTTGTCATCTTCGAGAGGGGATCAGAGTGAGAACTGGAGACCATGCTTACCACGTCTACAATGTGCTGTCAGCACCTTTGTCGAAGATTAGAGAGAAGCATCATCTCACGAAGTCGAAGAGGAAGTGGACGGAGGAAACTTCGAGCTGGTACAGCGTCGTCGCAGGAAAATATATTTTTGAAACAGCAAGCCGCTAGTGCTCGAACTGGAATAGGTTGATTGCTTGGCGGGCCAAGTGGCACTGGGCCGCCAGCGATGCATCGGTGGGTGGCTCTTCCCCCCAGCATCTTCCGTCTGTCTCTCCTGCGCACCTGCAGATCCTGAATCTGCACCTGCGACTTCACCAACTATTCACCTCCGCCTCGCCTTGCTCTCGTCCTTGAGACCGGAGTTGCGATATAGCTTCAACTGGCGCATTTATTCTCCTGTCGCTCTTTTTCGCTTCATCAGCACAGTCTCCTTCGCTCCGGCACGCCGTCCATTAATTCGCGCATCGTTCGCGGCGTGACTCTGGACCAGGATCAGCGGATCACGGGTACCAGCAACAGCCCGATAACACCGCAACCACGCCCGCAGTCAACTCGGATCACTTATTTCACACAGCTCCTCGCTTCTACACTTCCTCCTCCTCTCTCATGATGCCGGATAGAACATGAAACGTCCACGCGCACCGATTCCCACTGTTGCCGTCGGATGAGCTGATTGTCCTCGTCGTCGCGACACTTTGGAGAAAGCCCCGTAAGCGACTCGACCCCGGGGAAACCATCACCCCATACCACATCTCCCCAAAACACCTGCGCGGCATCCCATCGGAAGGCGAGAGAAGACCATTTCGACCATACTCGACCATCAAGTTACTCAAATGTGACATCTCTTTTCCAGTTCCCGACATTACAGCGTCTTTCCGGCGACTAAAGTGGGGCCGAAGGAATCGGAGCCGGGAAGAATAAGAGAAGGACGAGGATAGTAACGGCTATTGTGATTACACTGCGATCTCTTCTGCGCTTCGACACATTCTCTGTCAGCGTTACCGAAGATGATGGCCCAACCCTTTCCCCACCATGCCGGCATCGCTCCTGGTCATCCTGGAATGCCTGCAGCTCATCCCATGGGCATGCAGCATCCTGGCGCCGCTCACATGGGAGGTCAGCCTGGGCCGGGTATGATGCAGGCCATGCATCCAGGAGTGTCTGCGCCTCAGGTCACTCAAGGTCCGATGGTGACCGGTATGCCTCCCGGTGCTGGGACTCCCGCGCCCGGTCCCATGCATAATGGCATGGCCATGGCGCATCTTGGCCCGCAACAAGCCATGTTTCAGCAGAACCATCCGCAGATGAACTATGGTCAGGGCATGATCACGCCACAGCAACAACAATTCATGGCGCGCCAGCGCATGATGCAACAGATGGCCCAAGGGCAAGGGATGCCGATGGGTATGCCCAACGCACAGGGCTTTAATCAGGCACAGTTGCAACAGATGAAGATGGGTATGGGCATGCATCCGCAGATGCCAATGAATCCGAACCACCCCCAAATGCAGAGCCTACAACACCAACACAACCAACAGCAAGCGCTCAGAGCGCAGCAAGCTCAGGCCCACGCGCAACAACACGCGATTCAGATGGCGGCCGCAGCTCAGAATCAGCGCGCGGCTGCGCAGCAAATGCAAATGACACGCTCACAGGAGCAAACCAGTCAACCTCCACAACCACAACCCACACCGGCTCCTCAGACACAGCCTCCTCAGCAACCTCCGCCTACCACACAACCTCAGCAACAACCCGCGCAACCCAAACCACAACCCCCTCAAGTACAACCCGCTCCTAATGCACAGCAAACTCAGCCGGCCAACCCGCCTGTGAAAACGACAGAACCGGAAGAAGAACCCCAGATCAAGCAGCAACCGGATGCTCCTCCTACCATGATGATGTCCGACCTCGGAAAACAAGACGCTTTTGGAGGTCAGTGTATCCTGCGATTGATCATGTATCAGGACCTTCTGGCAAATCCAGAACGACCACATGATCTGGAATATTGGGAACACCTCATCGGTCAATTCTTTTCACCTTTCGGATCATTGAGGCAGCAGTTCTTTAGTAACAGGTCCGGAGGCGATAAATCGTTCCAGCTACAATTCCCCTCGCTGGCGCGGTATTACCACTCGTACTTTGCCGCTGGGGTAAGGCAGATCCTTCTGCAATCTTATGAACACACCCAGACGAAGACGGCGAACGGCGGCGTTCACATCACCAGCAGCAATGCGAGTCTTACGTATGTCTTTGACAACGACCTGCGAGTGACGACGTCCGGGCAGCTCCGCGTTCTGTTCAACGATATGCAAGTGATCGAGCATCTGAACATCAGTTGCTCGGGATGGCAAGAGTACATTCCACGGAATGCGCTCTTGCAGACTTCCTCACCCGAGATGAAGCAGAGTCCCAAAATCACCAACAAGAATGTCAAACGGACGCAAGGCAAGGGTAATGGGCCGATCATGGGCCCAGTGATACCTAGTTCGGGGGTCGGAGAATGGGGTGTACCGCAACACATCTCTCAGTTCTTAGAGGTATGTGGGTTGTGGAATGAGTGAACGACAACTAACCTGTGTGAAGATCGCCGAGGTCATGACGGCCATGGGTCCGCTCATGGAGTACTACCACCAGCATCCAGGCATTTCGCCCAAAGACTCGTTACTCCGCGTCACGCAGGAAAATGCGCAGAATATGGCACAGGCCAACAACGCGCGACTCAATCAAATGGCAAGAGCAGCCAACGGGCAGATTGCGTTTCCCAATCAAATGAACCCCGGCATGAATGGTCCCAACATGATGAACTCGCCGGCGATGGGACATCTGAATGTCCCTCAAGCCCAGGGCTCACCTATGATGGGAGGTCCTGTGCATACGCCCAGTCCCGCACAAAACCCTGGTGTTGGGGGCGTGGCAATGATGCACCAGATGAGCGCTCAAGGGTCGAATCTTAGCGGCAGCCAAGGTCCCAGTACGAATACAAGCCCCAATGTTTCCAACAAGAGGCGCCGTGCTAGTGTTGTCAAGCTCGAAGATGAAAATGCCCAAGGCGAATCGAATGGAGCGAATAAAGTCAAGGCGAGTCCGAAAGTGGGCGGCAAGAGGCAGAAGGGATCCGCATAGGCGGCGGATTCGCCGAAACCAACCAGGAAACGCCGGTTGCTCAAGCCGGCTTCCCTGTGTGAGTGCGCTGATCAGTCCTGCTGCAATCTGCTGACATAGTCGCACAGCAATCACTGCACGTGGACGATGAGACAAGACGCGACGAGGTGCACTCTTTGAGGAACCATCGTCTTCTGTTCAAAGTATACCAATGTCCGGGATGGCCAGATTGGCGATCTATTCGGGCAGAAAGTCAAGCGAGCCGCGAGATTGGGGGATCTGCATCAGACGACAGGTGCACTTGAGGAGCGCGCATGATCTGGCTAGTCCGGTATAGGTCGTCGTTGTTTATGATTTGAAGTTACATATACCCCACTGTGGGAATGACTCTGGGGTTGGGTGTCGGTGTTGGAGTTCACGAACAGGACGACGGGCATCTCTGAACACGCACGGCTCGGATGTCTCGGTCGCTAGACATTTTCCTGCCTAACATCCGCCGTTGTCTGTTGTCCTCGGCTGGCATTTTCGATACGAAGTGCTGCCGATAGAGCACATGGGTGGGTGGACATTTTTCAAGGATTCTGTATCATATGATTTTGTGTCTGGTTTTCTTTTGCGATATTGCGAGCTTCGTCTCTATGGGTTCGGTGGTCATGCAACCTGCAAGGGCCGACCAGAATCCCTCGCCATCTTGGACATACTACGCCCGAAGCGACACGAGCATACGAGCTCAAGAAGTTTGCGCGTCACGGGGCACATGGGAGCAGGAGCACGGCGAAGTCGACTCTTTATGAAAATGGAATTGGTGGCGATGAGGAAAACATTGTTAGGCGCCGGGGAATGGGGTCGTTCATGAGCAGGAGTACGATGCTGCTGCTGCTGCTACTGCTGCTGCACGGGCGTTGGATTGATACCGAGGACAGGAGGTCATGTCGATCGATTCTTGCCGCTGCTTGCTGATAGATCTGGGATTACCCCGAGGGCAATCTAATGTTTTTGGAAAGACCAGCTTCGACATCTTCGACCTTGTGAATATGAGGAGCCGGGGGACTTGCAACACGCGAATTCCTGATGTATCTCGCGGTTCACAATAGAGGGGCCAAAGGACATGACTTCACGGGACGTAAATGGAATGGCCGGTAATCATTCTCGACGTGAAGCAGTAGATGCTATCTTTGGTGTCCCAAAGTTCCCGAAGTCTGCATTAGAAATGCGTGTCCGGCCACTGGGGGGACGGCTCCCACGGTCCAGCAGTGACGAATCGCTAGTGGTAGGGAGTACGCACAAAGATAAATACAGTATGCAAGCAGCACCAACATGGGCGGTACGTAGGGCCTGCAGTATCTCGCTACTCGCATGTACGAGGCTCTGCCGGATGAGGGCAACTCAAAGGGAACCCAAGCCCTGTGCGACGACATCAACGACAATGGCATGCAACGAGCAGGGACGTGTGAACAAGGTACAGTACAGAGGAGCTCAAAGGGGCATTGGGTTGCTCTGTATCCACCTGCACAATTGGTTCCTCGAAGCAAGAGTTGTCTCTTGCATGTTGCAGATACCAGTCTGTCTGGACGTACCCAGTATTTATGCAGCGAGGTACTGTATCCGTGTGTGTAGACTTCGAGAGACAAACGAGGCTCCTCACGCAAATAAGGGAGCGTACAGACAGCTGACAACGACAACGCAGCTGGACAAATATTGAATACGATCCAACTTCGCAGCCCGACGATCTCCCAGAGCAGCTTCATTACTCCTGGACGATGCACCAAAAATCTTCCCTAAGTGGAGGAAAGGGGTAACGAAGAGCGGTCGGAGGGAGCCGCGACAAGCATTATCAGCACGAGAGAGTGGCGTCGCGGCATAGGCTTCGACGTATCATGCATATGATGCATAGATGCAGGACCCCTTCAGACAACTATCTGCTGGTCTTGGAGAACCGTCGACAGTCTGCAATGCCCATCACAGGGCGGCACAAGGCATAAGAACATTCTGTTTTCAAATGCAGTATATCGACCTGTACCGACTTGAATAACGCCCTTACAATCCTCCAGCCGAAGTCCATCCCACGCCACTCGAACTAGTCCGCGCGAGTCCGCCGACGATCTTCCAAGCTCTTAAGGTAAGGATGGTTGCTGTAGAATCGGGTGCCAGACAATCTCGGCCAAGATCCTTAAGGACATGTACATCTTCTTGATATAAACACTTTACGAGGTGTAAATGCCGGTGTGGTCGTGCTAGTATCGATGCATATGCACGTACCCATGCCCATAATGGGTATCCCTGATGGGTCTTCCAGCATGCTACCTCCGCAGCCTGGCGTGACGTCTCCTGAAAGGCAGTGAAGAGATAGTAGTAATGATATGAGAATGAGAACGACCAGACAGCGGCTCAAGAGTCAAATAGAGTTCGGCCAAGCTTTGTCTCGGCAGATTAAGCTTCGATGTCTCAAATTCCAATGAGGAGGAACAAAAGTTCCCGAGACGTCAGTGGACGATCGTTGAGGCTCGAGATCTCTTGTCACTACCACCGATATATATATCCTGCCTGGCGTTGGGAAGACAGATTCAGTCCGTATACCGGTGCTTGAAAGTCCCTAAATCCGACGACAGAATCATCGTGTTTCCGGCCTGTGGGTTTTCCTCTCCTCGCCGCGCCGATAGTCCACTCCGCGAGGTTCGCAAGATCTGCATCCGAACTGAGCGGAGGATAGACTTACAGGTACATTCTCCTCCAAGCCCCCGCTCGGTCCAGTCTATGGGACTGATCTACTGGATTGCTGGTTTCCTTCCTGGTATTAGCCGGTACATCCCGCAAACCTCGACCGCACCCAGCCATGGAAAGACTAGCAGCCATTGCTCGACGGCACCACGAGGCCGATGAAGCCACGACGCCCGAAGAAAACGATCCACAGCCCGGAAAGCGGAGGCCAGTCGAAACCATCATTATCGGCCTCTCCGGCCCGTCGTCCAGTGGCAAGACCACGCTCGCGCGGCTTCTGCGCGAGATTTTCAACCTCGAAACCCCAGCGCTGAGCCTCAGTCTGGCGATCCTGCACCAAGACGACGCGTACAAGACCGACAAGGACGTCCCGACCGTGACTGTTTCTTCGGAACAATTCGGCACCCGCGAACTCCAGGACTGGGATTGCGTCGGCTCGCTCGACCTGCCGCTCTTCGAACACACGCTGAAACACCTCCAGCAGCATGGATCCTTGCCCGCGGACAGTATCTCCAAGGAGGACCAGAACAGCGTGGGGGAAAGCCACGTGTCGGCGCGGGATGTGCAGGAATGGAAGGAGAAGATGAGAGCGTGGTTGGATGATCTCGCGAGGACGAGGACGCATCCCGCACCAGAGAGCTCGAGTGCGTCCGGTGCAGAGGACAAAGGAAAGGGCGGAAGCACCGACGGTAGAGAAATAAGAATCTACATCGTCGATGGCTTCCTGCTGTATCCGCCTCCGCCTCCACCGGCGTCAGGGGCCGGGTCAGCGTCAGAATCAGCATCTGGTACTCCATCCACGACCACGACCACGACCACGGCCACGACCACAGCAACGTCACCGCATTCTCAAGAGCAGCTGAATCATCTATACGCCTTGACTCACAGCGTGATGCATCCCAAACTGTTCATCCCCTCGACGCGCGACCAGACGCTGACCCGCCGGGCCGCCCGATCCGGCTACGTCACGCTGGAAGGCTTCTGGACCGACCCGCCGGGATATGTCGAGGATCTGGTCTGGCCCAACTACCGCCGGTATCACGCGTGGATGTACGAGGGCGGGAATGTCGACGCCGAGATCTTCGACGAGCGGGTGTGCGAGGGAGAGGGTATCAGCGTGTGTCCTGGGGGTGGGCACTGGAGCATGCATCAGGTGCTGGAGTGGGCTGTAGGGCGGGTGAAGGAGGCGGTGGAGGCGAGAGTATAGATAAAAGTATCCCGCGTATAAATAGAGATAGAGATAAATAAATACAGTGGATATAGTGGATACAGCACATGTATAGGCTGGAAGAATACGTATTCTGTGACGGCGACGCAATGTGCGCTGTGGTCGGCCTGGTAGACATGCGCAGGGTGCATCTATATATCCCGAGATCCGGATGAGAGAAGAGACGCTAATCCCAACCTACTATCTTTTCCTTGAATTGAGGACTCAGGTGTGGCTCGACAAGAGATGCATGCTTATCTCGGATGCTGGAAGGACACCCACAACAACACCGATAGCGATGAGGTACACTGGCAGATACAGCCTGTTTTCAGCCAGATTGCCCCTGAACTACCCGCTTGAACCACATTCGACACCGGCCAGCTCCGTACTAAGAACTGTATAGTGGCTGGCGGATGTTGGAGCTGGAAAGACCAATAATATCTCAGTCCAGTAACCTCTCCTTTGCGACCCCCGTAGTACTCGTCTAGATGTTTCCCACCAGTCGACGACGTACCGGAAATGCGTTGCATTCCCCTGATATTACAGGTCTGGTAACCCTATCAGTCCCTCACCTTGACTGTATCCTTGCTCTTTCTATCTTCCTTGTCGACCGGAAATCCCAGTCTGGGCACTTTCTTCTTCTTCCCTCGCTTGTCGCCGTACTGCTCATCAAATTTCTTGATGTCCCTCAAGCTCGACATGTCCTCCGAAATGCTGGCCGAAATTTCCTCCAGAGCCCTGTCAAAGTGGGCCTTTGTCAGAGTCCGTCGTTCGGGGTGTTGATACGGTTCCTGTCCTTCGTGCTTCCTGGCAAGTTCATTCTCCTCGCGCACGGCATTCAGCGCTGCCGCAACGGCAACGTTCTTGAGATCGGAACCAGAATAGAAGGGAGTTTTCTTCGCGAGCTCTTCAAGGTTGACGTCGTCGGCCACAGTCTCGTGGCGCAGGTGGATTTTGAGGATCTCCAATCTGTCAGCCTCTGTCGGCAGGTCCACGAGCAATCGTCGCGGTAGACGACGCAACACTGCGTCGTCGAGATCATGCGGCCGGTTGGTGGCGACCATGATAAAGGCACTTGCCGAATCATTGCTCATGCCGTCCCACTCTTTGAGGAACTGGTTCAGCTGTTCGCGGTGACTGACTCTTGGGCCTTGATTGCTTCGAGCACGAAACATGGCGTCCGCCTCGTCCAGGAATACCACGCAGGGCGACAACTTCCTGGCAAGACTGAACAGTGCTCTGACGTTCTTCTCGCTTTCACCCACGTACATGTCATTCAAGTCTGCGGCGCTGACTTCGAGCATTGTGGCGCCAGACTCTTTTGCAACGGCCTTGGCGGCAAGTGTCTTGCCCGTGCCTGGTGGTCCGTAGAGCAAGAGGCCCGGAATTTTATTGGAAGCCAGAACGCCGTACTTGAAAGCATCTGGTCGGGTCAAGGAGAGCGTGGTCAAGGTCTGGAGAGCGTCGATTGTCTCTACTGGCATGTGGACGTCGTTAAATGTTGTGGTGATGTTCTTGGCCTCGATGATGCCGCTCAGCAAACGCTTCTCGTATTTCGAGGCCGAAGCACGTATTCTGGCGAGTCGATTGTCTCTGGTCATATGCCTTTCTGGAACTTCCTTCCTTGATTCTTTTGACTGCTTCTCTGCCCAGCGTATCTTGGTGTTGTCACTGTGCTTAAGATGCGACGTGGCCGCGCTGATAATGGGGATCGGGGGAGCGTCTGCTGCACTGTTGGTTTCCGTGGGAGCATCGCCAGCGATGTAGCTAGCCAATCGTTGCACATATTGGTACGTCCAGACCTGCGCCTCGAGGCAAGCTCTGTCACTCGGAGTCAAGAGGTGGGAAAAATCGCGTCGCCAGAAGCCGGGTTCGAAGTGGGCAAAGACAGACGGTTTCCAAAATCTCAGCATTTCCCAGAGATGCCTCATGTTGATTGCAGCGATGCGTTGCTTCCTGTCGTGAAGAAGAGCGAGCTTTGAGGTAGTGTTTGGAAGGACGGGCGTGATGATGATATTTTGCGACTTTCGTTCAAGCCACCCAGCCTGGGATTCGTGGATGCGTTCCTTGGTGAATGGCTCTTGGTCATCGCGGGCAGAATCGGTGCCAACGAGCAGGAGACGTTCGCCCTTTGCTCGTCGCTGGGCGAGCTGTTTCTGCATATTCGTGAGAAAAGACCGACCAATGCCAACAGTATCTTGAATAGCCTTGTAATCCCTGATGTGAACAATCACTGCGCCTTGGGGCACTCCGCTCTGTTCCTCAGTCTTCTCGCGCAGCCTTTTCAGGTCAAGCGTCTGCTCGTCACTAGATGCCGGTGACTGTGAGCTTGGTCGATCGGATATGGTCTTCAACATTTTGTAGATGACTCCAGACAGAGCGCCGGCCTCGTCACGAGTTTTCTGAGGGTCCAAGAAGTCGGGCACCATGCGGAACATGCTGCCTTGGCCCTCGGCTCGTGTACTTTCTCCCATATCTGGAAATCGTCCCACTAGGGATTTGATGATATCGCCAGGCCTCGCAGTCAAAATAGACATTCCCATCCGAGGAGAGGTGGGGGGTGACTCCATATCGTCAATCATGTCCTCGAGGTCGTTCTCATCATCATCTTCGTCGAGCTGTTCCTGCTTAACCGACTCTGAAGGGTCGGGGAAGGCAGTCGTCAGAACGTCGTAACTGAGCATACGACCGGCCTTCGCGGTAGACTGGTTCATATGATTTCGGCTAATCAGGTCCGCGATGTCTTGAGCGTCTATCACCATCACATCACAGCCGAGTTTGCGTGCCACGTCTTGTACGACATGGTCGAGAAGCAAGTCTCCGTCCTTGCCTGCATATTGGAGATGAAGGTGATCTCTGTAAGATTCGACACCATTCGGAGTCTGATTCTGTGACATTTGCAACAGGCCTCTGGCCGTTCTCAAGACCTCGTCGTACTGCTCATCGACAACGTAATACCTTGAAGGAGATACGTGGTTTGAGTCGGATCCAGCAGAGGTTGATGTCCCCTCCATTTCTGAAGTTGTCTCTGTCGGTGACCGCGCTCCTTCCACGCCCTGAACTGCGCCAGTACTGCCGTCTTCACCATTGTTACCTGACGGTGACGACCCGCCTGTATCGGGAGAGAAATTCTGCTCCAGAGGTTCGCCAGTAATCAGATCGGCAGCCACAGTGTGGACTTTTGAAGGAGCTCCAGGAAGTATGTCCACTCCCCATAGTGATATATTATTGTCTTTCCACCATTCTGGAGCTTGGAGGTCCGTTTCCGGCTCCCTATTCATGCGACTCCGCAATCTTCTTTTCGCCGGAGAGCCATAGAAATCCCTGGATCGCGCAACGTCGGCAGGCTGGGGGAGCGTGGGAGCCGGGGGTTTATGAGTAAGATGGGATGGTTGGTCCTGGTCGTCGTCTGCATCCTCCTTGACTATGTCCGATCGAGGAGCTTCATGACTCTTTGCGTCGTCGCTAATCCCCCTGCTAGCGAGCGAGCCAACATTTAACGTTCTCGGGGCTGTTCTCGGGCGAGGCGCGGTATGAAATGAGCGGCGGGTGTTTCGAGGTTGGCGTTGGGCGCAGTGACGACAAGTCGCACAGATAATCTGCGAGAACCGTAGTTCCGCTTGCAAAGTCGTTTTCATTCGAGCGAGCGACGGCGGAAGAATACCTCCTGCAAGAAATGAAGACGTGTCGAGTTGGGAAAACAACGAAATTCTGTCAATAACTTCGGCAGCCGGACATAAAGCTTCGCCGTAGCGAAACGGCGCAAATCGCCGCTTGGTCCACCATAATTTTGGAGAACAGTCGTTCGCCTCGGATTCTAAGAATTATCGAAATCTGTCTAGAGACACATTTGTTGCTCGCACAAAACGAGTATGCCGCCGGTTCCGTGCGAGGTCTGCAAGGTCTCGCGAGCAGCGGTCATTCGCCCCAAGAACTCGCAGAAAATCTGCAAGCAATGCTTCATATCGGTCTTCGAAGACGAGATCCACGAAACCATCGTGAGTAATAATTTATTCCGCCGTGGAGAACGAGTCGCCATCGGAGCCTCCGGTGGCAAAGACTCAACGGTCCTGGCTTCAGTATTGAAGACACTGAACGAACGCCACGACTATGGACTAAATCTTGTGCTCTTGTCCATTGACGAGGGTATCAAAGGGTATCGAGACGACAGCCTGGAAACAGTGAAACGAAATGCGGAGCAATACGACATGCCGCTTGAAATCGTGGGCTACGACCAGCTCTATGGTTGGACCATGGATCAAGTCGTGGCGCAGGTAGGCAAGAAGGGAAACTGCACCTACTGTGGCGTCTTTCGCAGACAGGCACTGGATCGAGGGGCTGCAAAGCTGGGCATCAAGCACGTCGTCACGGGCCACAACGCGGACGATGTCGCTGAAACCGTCATGATGAACCTGCTGCGTGGTGACCTGCCGAGGCTCGCCAGAGCGACTTCTATTGTGACCTCGAGTGCGGCTAGCGCGATCAAACGAAGCAAACCCTTGAAGTACGCATACGAGAAGGAGATTGTTTTATATGCGCACCACAAGAAGCTGGACTACTTCAGTACGGAATGCATTTATTCGCCCGAGGCGTTCAGGGGCAGTGCACGAACATTGATCAAAGATCTGGAAAAGATAAGGCCGAGCAGTATCCTGGATATCGTCAGGAGTGGGGAGGATATGGCTGCACTTGTTCCCCCAGAAGTCGCAGGATCCGCATCCTGTGCGGCGGGTGGCGAGACAAATGGGTGTGGAAGTCGCAGCGAGAATGGCGACTCGATGGCTCAGATGGAGCAGACTCTCGTCGCCAATGAGGCCGCCGCTGGACAGGAGACCGAAATCAGACTACCAACTACGAAAGCCAACGGTCAAGTGAGCGCCCACGACAAGAAACAGCGAGGACGGCGAAAGGTGGTCAAACAAGTCATGGGCCAGTGTGAGCGGTGTGGTTACATGTCGAGCCAGAAGATCTGCAAAGCTTGCACACTGCTGGAAGGTCTCAACAAAAGCCGACCCCATACTGCGATAGAGGTGGACGTGGAAGAGGAGGAGGGGAGCACAACTCTGATGAGGCAGGTCGCAGACATTGCCATCGTTGCAGGATGAAGTTCAACTCGTCTTTCTCGGCGTCGCCGTCCGCCGGTCTAGAAGCCCAGTCCCTAGGTGCCACACACGTTCCACGAGCAACAGGGCTATTTGGACCAGAAGGATAATCAGCCTCAGCAGGTAATTCTTCATGGTCAGAGTCGGCCTGTCGCCCCTCAAGACATCCGAGTCTATAAATTCGAATGGCAGCTTCGCCCCGAGATGGTTGGTCGCCACCGACAGGCCACTGCTAAAGCCGTCCTCATGGGATCCATACTTGGTCCACGCTCCACAGTAACTGATGCCTCTGATATTCTGGATTTTGGGCAACAACCGCTGTGATCTGATCGCTGCAGCATTGTGAAGAGGATGAGAATACTCCCAGATGCCCTGTGCTAGCCTTGGATCTGGCATGTTCAACGGATTCAGTGTGACTAGCACTGAGCCAAACTTGCTATCGGGGATGTGTTGCAACAGGTTCATCCAATAAGTCAGGCACACCTTGGAGACGGTCTGGCTCCTCAGCGGCGGAAACGGTGACTCGGTGATGTAATTCCGGGCTGACCAGGCAATTCTCCTCTTTGGCATGAGTGAGATATCGGAATGCAAGACGGCTACAGTCCTGTTGGTGCGGAACCCACTCAGGATCTCAGCCTCTTGTGTACTCGCAATTGGCCGAAGGATCTTCAGCGCTTGGTCGCCATGTGTGGCCAGTATGACGTGGTCAAATACATAGTCTCTCTCATTGGCGGTCAATATGACAGAGCCTCTCTTAGTGGGTGTCAATGCGGTCACGTTGGACTTGAGGTGTACTTGATTGCTGGGAAGGTGCTTCATTACAGCATCGACGTATTGCTTCGAGCCTCCAGGAATAGTCAACCAGTCTGGGCGCGTTGCATTCGTCCTCAACAGATGGTGGTTGTGCAGGAAGCGGACCAAAGTCATCGCTGGGAATTCCGAGGTGCATTTATTGGGACTTGTGCTCCAAAGGGCCGCAGTCATGGGTAAGAGGTAGTTGTCGCGAAACTCTTGAGAATAATGCTCTCGGTCAAGGTACTCGCCAATTGTTTCTTCTGAAGACGGCTTGCTAGATGTCTTGGCCATGCCCCGGGCCTGAACTTGCTCACTTTCTGGTTGGTCTTGCAACAGATCAAGGGCAAACTCATTAAACCGAATGACATCAAATATCAATCGCCACATGCCAGGATTGAAAATGTTTCTCTTTTGTGCGAAGATGGACGATATAGACGTGCCAGACCATTCGAAAGTACCTTGATCCCGAGAGACGGCGAATGTCATCTCCGTTCTCCTGACTGGTATATCAAGTGCCTTGAGAAATCGGATGAAGTTCGGGTAGGTGGCAGTGTTCATGACAGTGAAGCCGGTGTCGACCATGACCTTCTGCCCGTCCAGGGCTTCGTAGGTAACTGTATTAGCGTGTCCGCCCAAGCGCGAGGCGGCCTCGAACATATGGACCTCATGATCAGTGCTGGTCCGCAGAGCCCACAACGCACCGAGACCCGAGCAACCGCTACCCACGATAGCGACACGTTTCCCCATTGCTGCAAATCATCCAGGCCTCTTGTAAACTGCACACCACGGGAGATACCCTGCCGCAGCTTCTCGTCCATCAAAATGCTCGGAATCAGCCTACCTTGGTCTCTTCACCACGCCGCGCAGACCCTCCTTTCGAGCATTATGCAGAGCGCCATGATTAAAATCTCTGCAAGAAAAGAAAGGTGCGTCCGAGCTTCAAGTCTAAAATATGCCGGGTTCAAGTCATGGGGATGAGCTGAGAGTCATGGTTCAGCTGGTCAGGAAGATCATCATCCGCATCAGCCAATCAGGCTGAGTCTCTAGGGCGGCGGCAGCTATATACCCAAAACGGCTCGGCGATCTGCCCGCGGCCTCGCTTTGGTCGTTGTCGACGTCAATCAGCCCTCGTCTGAATGCTTCCCTGTTGCATGAACATCTACACAAGTACTCGTAACATCCAGCAGCGTTACACCAGCCTCCTCGCAACGCAATAGCGATTTGCTCTTTCGCATTGCCATTTCGGGAACACCTTACCAACGAGTCCTCGACTTAACTTCCTCCGTGCAAGCGATCCACGTCTGAAGACAACTAGGCGCCACTGAATCCCATAGACAACTCTCGCGCTTCCCACCAGACGCCGGAGCCATAGTCGCCCACGATGGCGAACCCTCTCGACACCGATGCCGGCTCCGAGTTATTCAGCACCTACGAAGCCGAGCTCAAACTCGTGCAGGCAGATGTGAATCAAAAGCTGGACCAGATCCCCGAACTGGCGGGCGAGGAGAAGAAGGCCGCCATTCGCGGAGCGGAACGGGCCATCGACGAGGCGAAAGAGCTGGTACATACCCTGAGCGATCGGCCCGTAGCAGAGGACAGCAACGCTGACTTTTTGTCTAGCTCGACCAGATGAACCTCGAGAAATCCAACATCCCAACTTCGCAGCGCTCCAAAGTCAACTCCCGCTTCCGCAACCACCAATCCGACATCGACGCCCTCTCACGAAAACTGAAATCGCTGGCCGACAGCGACCGCAAACAACTCTTCGGCGACCGCTACACGGATGACCCGGAATCCGGACCGAGAGATTTGCAGTTAGAACAGCGCCAGCAGCTCCTCTCGGGCACGGAACGGTTGGGACGCAGCTCCGATCGGCTCAGGGAGTCGCAGAGGATAGCGCTCGAGACGGAACAGATCGGCGCGAGCACGCTGGCGGATTTGCACCAGCAGCGGAATGTCATTGAGAACACGCATCGCAATCTGCTGCAGAGCGAGGGTTATGTCGACCGGAGTGTCAAGACTCTGAGGGGAATGGCCAGAAGGTAAGACATGTCCTTAGCCTCTGCATGGGCATACAGTGAACTGACCTGCCATTGATTTTGGCTGTAGAATGGCCACGAACCGAATCATCACCATTGCCATTATCACAGTGCTGGTGCTTCTTATTATCGGCGTTATTTACAGCAAGTTCAGATGAACACGAGAGGGGGGTTATATGTCTCGCGTAGTTGAACGCCAACCACCATGCATTTCGTTGTACATATGAATCAGGAGTCGGGGACGCAGGAAGGATCGGTTATTCCAAGATGATCAAGGGACAATAGGGCCCCTTTGGCAAGAGGGTGTGCTTGCCTCCAAAACTTCAGACTATCAGATGGCTTGCGCCTCGCGCCTGTCTACCATTCGTTGATTTCAACCCCCATACCTTATAAGCCCCAGCCCGATATTCAACAGAAACCCCACAACCACGGCCATCTTGCGCCGTTGGCTCCATATCCCCTCCTCCCTCACCCCCCACATCAGACACCCGACCGGCCAGAAGAACCCCATGGCCGTGCCCCAGATCATATCATCCAGCGCCCCGGCCTGCATGTCGTCGTCGTGAGCGCCCACGCCACCAGCCGCGTTGCCGTCGAGACCGCCCATGCCACCAGAATCGGAGGTCGAATTGTCGAGCCACCGATCCTCCATGTCACGGAGGGTGTTCGGGCTAGGCATCGTGTCGGGGGTGTGCGTGTGCGCTTGGATAGCTAGGAACTGGAGTCGTAGCGACTGCACCTCTGCTGCGCTAAAGCCCGCGTTGAGCAGCCGGTCGAAGCCGCGCGGCGCAGGCGTCGTGGTTGTATGCGACCCTTTCGCTTTGGGTTCACCAGTTCCATTTCCATTTCCATTTCCATACCCATTCCCATCCTCGGTCGTCGCCTGAGCCGCTGCCGACGCCGCTACGGCCGCCTCGTCTGCGAGTTCCTTGGCGGAGAGCACAATGTCGCCTATCGAGCAGTGGATGTAGATTCTAGGCTGGGCCGAGGGGGGGTCCCGTATCGGTTGTTTGCCTTTGCCTTTGCCGTCACCTCCGTCGGCAAGGCCTCCTCTACTAGCAGTTGTCGGCCCGTTGTTTCTCTCATCGTACGGTCCGGGCGTGCTGATCCGACTGGGTGGCCTGGAGACATTTCTTTTCAGCGTCGAGCTCAGGGGCACGTCGTCCACGAGGGCCTTCCCCGCATGGATCAGGCGGATGCGATGCTTTGCGTACTGCTCTGGGATGCGCGATCGGATCAGCTGTTTTAATGTCGCGGTGTTGGCGTTCAGAGAGGCAGGGATGGAGAGGAGCAGGTCGGGCAGCGAGGCCGAGAAGCGGATGGTGAGCTCCAAGTCCGCGTCGTGAACGTGGTTGTAGTCGTGCGGTTCGTCATGTTGCGGGCGCAGAGGCGGTGGTTTTAGGGACATGGAGATGCTACTGACACTTTGGCTGCGAGCATGCTGTTGGGCAGCTGCGGCGACGGTGTCGGCCTAGAAGTGTGTGCCTGTCGAGGGTCGTCGGTTTGCGCCTGTGACTGACCTTGAGATAGTGACACGCTATCACTGCTGTGGACTCTGTACTGATTGTTTGATCGCAGTCGTCGAGTTGGAGATGCGCAGCTGCGAGGCGGGCAGGTGAAGCGAGTGTGAATCTTCACGTCCCACCAAACTGGTTCGTTAACTATGACATATCATCCATTCATTACCTCTCGCCATGCACATCGCACGGAGAGCGCCAGGCCGATAGGTCAATTGCACGGACGGGAGAAGGACACAAGAGCGAGGACAAGTACACGGGTTTGAGCCCTGCTGGATCATCGAGTCCGAATTCTACGCGACAGGAACAGGCCGTGGCAGCTGGGTCTGCTCAGCTTGCAGCTCCCGCTCCTTCAGACGCCTCTTCTCCTCCTCCAGCATCCTTGCCTGCCGTCTCACTCTCTCCGGTACGACCTCTGCTCTCTTTCCTTGGATTTTCCAGCCCCGCAGCTTTTCTCGTCCTCCGATATCTTGGATCGTCTTCAGCTCGACAAGGCTGTATTGGCTCTCGTCCTCCCTGTCAAAGTTGAATGGCTCGACGAGCGAAACCGGCGGGTTTGTGATGATGCGTGGTAAGCGGAGTCCGTTCTTCGAGGCTGAATGCAGCATCAGCGGATGAAGGAGGATCACGTCGCCAACCGACCCGGTCATCTCGTGGAAGGAGGATTCTGCGCAACTCTGCACGAGCGTGTTGTAATATTCCAGGCCGTCTTCGTAGTTCTTGGAACCGCCGCCAATCGGTGTCATGCGTGGGAGCACACCTTCGGGATGCTCGTACAGATACTTCCCTATCTTCTCCACGCCCTCGGAGCATATCCAGGTGCCGCCGCCATTGGGCAGGATATCCGTGAACAGCGGGATAACCAGCAGCCCTTGTTCGGGCGAATCGAGGAAGTGCACAAAGAAGTCTCCATCGACATGCCAACCCGTCAACTCTTTGGGATGCGCCTCCTTCCCAAAGTGCTCTTTGGTGCCCAGGTTGACGATGAAGCTGTCCTTCCATACCTTGGATGGCTCTGTGATTCTGTCTTCTCCTCCGATCAACTCACAGATGGCATCGTAGGCTTTGGGGGCAAAGTCCCTGATCGCGACCTCTTCATGTGACGGCATGTTGGTCCTCTCTGTGGTCCAAGTTTCCGGGTCCTTGGGATCAAACCCGAGCCTCACCCAAACATTCTTCGTCCATTCCTCTGCCACCTCCCGTGTGAAACAGCCCGGGACTCGCAAGTAGCCATGCTTCATGAAGCTTTCGACTTGCTCCGGCGTCAGGTGTTTGAACGTCCTGCCTTCCATGTCGGTTGCCGACAGCTTTGTGTGGAGATTGGTAAAGTTATGATGCAGCAATGCCGAAGTTGTATGTCGTTGTTGACCTGCTACTGTGGGCTGCTATGTAGGATAGAAAGGTTTTTGGTCGGTGCTGACTGTTTGCCTCCTGAGGCTTGATAGTTCGTGAGAGGACTCAATGTCCCGGAACCCATTCAGCCCTGGGAACGTAACGGTTCTCGACTAACCAATGCGGTGCGTCGAGAGCATGAATTTAGCCGGAAGTCAGGACCAAACTCACATGATGCCGGCGGAACCATTTCACCATGCGCTTTCCAAAGCCAAAAGACGCCGCCGGTCGCAGGATCAGAAGTCCGAGCGGACAGCCGGCCGCATCTTCGTCTATGAATCTGTCGCTCCGCACCAGATAATACCCACTGTCCCGTTGTACTCCGTACACAAGTGTGCTGTGGCTCTCTCCACCACGTTGGGGAAGCGCCACCTCAAATTGCGGAGTTCGATCCCCACGTCTCTGAGAGCCGGATCGGCAGTGCTGTGCTGCGTCGATCGTGATTGAACGGTTAGATAATGACATTTCCACTTAGTTGACACTGAGCTTGGAGTCGTGCGCTCTGGGCATTGCGCGAAGAGATGCCAGCACTTGAGGAACGAATTGCAGTTCCTCAACCATGATCAGACTTTTCCAGGCATTATTATGAGCCGAGGCCCAAGAGTTTAGATTCAGATAACGAGCCTTCTCGGCCAACAGTGTGTTTACTATCCGAAGGTGGTCGAGTTTCGTTTGCTGGTGACCAAAGATGTGATTACCGCATGCGGCTAGTGCGTCCCAATTCGGCAATGCCCCTGACCGGCTTCCAGCTTGAGTCTTGACCATTTGCTTGATCTATTGATATATACTGTACGAGGTACATTTGTTTAAAGGGCTAGAGTAATATTATAATCCTTGTGTCTTCTGTACTTCCCGACGAGTACGTGGAAGACACCATGTGATGGTCCCACTTTGGCCAGTATCCCGACGTGCCACCTTAACTTCGCCGGGGCTAGGTCGGCTTACAGGGCAGAGCTTCCCACTCGCCAGCTACGAGACTATTTGCCCATTCATCAGCTGTACGGTACTCGCATGCGGCTCCAAGCGCAAGTAGGTTCTCTCACGTCCTTGAGTCGTCACATCTCCCTCCCTTGGCAAATCCTGCCGAGTTTCCGAAGCTTTGTCTGGCTGCACAGACGAGCGAATAAGAGGACGCCGGTGCCGAGGGACTGTGAGCTTGATGCAGCTTGATCCTGGAGTTGAGTGGACGAGTGGGCCTGGGGTATTAGGCATATCCCCAACCTCCGTGCCTCCTCCCCAGCAAGATCGACACGTTAGACGCCATCTGTTGCGGGACAGGTCATCCTCCTATTAGCCTAAAGCAGGCTGAAATCAGCTATCTCCATTGTTACAGACTTACGCGAGGGATGGTGAGCTCGTGGCAGGTTCCATTCGACACATGGTCGCGACGGCGTCGGCTACGGCTCTGCAGCTCTACGATAGCGCGCATCCTAAGTCTTTCGGCAATGTGATCAACAGCATGGGAGGGAGAACATATATGCGTGGTGAGGATGGAGGAGTTTCCATCGCAGACACTACCGCCAGTCCCTTCTCCTGCTCGAGCGTTTCCACTGAGATCCGGCCGTCAGGACTGATTGACAAGAACCGCCAACAACATGGTCGGTATAGTTGCTGTGCAGCCTGCGCACAAGGTGGAGCGAGAGGTCGCCGTCGCTGAAGCACCCGAGCTGCGACGCGTGATCTGGTACAAAGATCCTGGCTTGAGGAAGCTCTATGGCCTGGCAATTGCGCTCTTCTTCGCTTCGGCGACCACTGGATATGACGGGTGAGAGCGACTTCCCGCGCCTTGTCTGTCTGTCTGCGCGGCTGTACTGATCAAGCCAGGTCGATGTTGAACGGCCTGCAAATCCTGCCTGTCTGGCAAGAGTACTTCAAGCACCCGACGGGGTCTATCCTGGGCCTGTTTGGGTCGATTTACAGCATTGGAAGCTTGGCCGGTCTCCCATTTGCGTGAGTTGGCACCTCCTAGAGACTTAGGGGCCTTTGTTAAACGTGCGCTTCCAGACCCTATCTGTGCGACATCTTCGGTCGACGCATCGCCATAATGGCCGGGTGTATCTTCCTCTTTATCGGCGTCGCCATCCAGAGCGCGTCCCAGAACTTCTCCATGTTCATCGCTGGCCGCTTCTTTGTCGGATTCGGCAACAGCATGGCTTCCAACTCGGCGCCTCTGCTCCTCACCGAGCTATGCCACCCGCAGCACCGTGGCCGAGTGACCACCGTGTACAACCAGCTCTGGGACATCGGCTCCATTGCGGCGACATGGATCACCTTTGGCACCTTCACCATCAAGGACAACTGGTCGTGGCGCATTCCCTCGATCCTGCAGGCCTTCCCCACCTTGATCCTCTTCTGCTTCATCTGGATCATTCCAGAAAGCCCGCGCTGGCTGATCTCCAAAGACCGACACGCCGAAGCCCTGACGACGCTGGCAAAGTATCATTCCAACGGCGATGAGACCGACCTGACCGTCCAGTTCGAGTACCGCGAAATCAGGGAGACACTCCGCCTGGAGTTCGAATCGAAGAAATCCAGCAGCTTTCTGGACTTCCTGCGGACAAAAGGCAACCGATACCGGCTATTGCTCGTCATTGCTCTGGGTCTGTTCTCCCAGTGGAGCGGCAACGTGAGTCGAGCTTGAGCCTGTGACGGAGGCATATCTAACATCATATGTACCAGGGCCTGACCAGCTACTACTTCGCGCTCGTCATGAAGAGCATCGGCGTTACGGACCACAACGAGCAATTCGAGATCAACGGCTCCAAGACCATCGTGTCACTGATCGTCGGCCTGATCGCCGCCGCGGTGGTGGACAAATTCGGCAGACGACCGCTTTTCCTCACCGCGACATTCGGTAAGAGAGTGTGCTTCAATTGCCTGCCTGTCATACTATTTCGACTGACCTCACCTCACCTCTCAGGCATGTTTGTCTCATTCGTCCTCTGGACCGCCTGCTCCGCACTGTACGACCTAGACGGCAACCTGGCAGCCGGCAAGACGGTCATCTTCTTCATCTTCCTGCACGGCGTCTTCTACAACATTGCCTGGTCGGGCCTGCTAGTCGGCTACACCGTGGAAATCATGCCGTATAAGCTCCGCGCAAAGGTGAGAGAGAGAGAGAGAGACAGAAAGACGAGAGCGAGGACTGAGGGACCTGAACAACAGCTGACGATGCTTTACAGGGATTGATGCTCATGAACTTTTTCGTCCAAGCGGCGCTTGTGTTTAATCAGTAAGTGAAGAGTCGAGTCGATTCATAGTGTAACATTCACTCCGATCCACATCATGCTATGCCATATCATATCATGTCGTGTCATGTCGTCTCGTGTCATATCTACAATCTCCCCAGCAAGACAGTCCCAGTGTGAAGACGTTCATGTATACTAACGCCATTCCTACCACCAGATACATCAACCCCATCGGCCTCAGCCACCTGCAGCCGCGCTGGCGATTCTACTCCATTTACTGCGTACGTACAAACATACATACATGCATGCCTCCCTGTCGAGTGTACCTCGCTCGCGCTACCAAGTCACCCCATCCGTGCCTCTCATTCACGCGTTATCTCAAAACTAATTTTCGACAACGTCAACAACAGGGCTGGCTCCTCTTCGAAGTCCTCTTCGTCGTCTTCTTCTTCATCGAGACCCGCGGCGTCACGCTCGAGGAGGTGGCCAAGATCTTCGACGGCGAGGACGCCGAGGTCGCGCACGTGGACATCGACGCCGTGCAGGAGAAGATGCAGCACCACCACGTCGAGGTCACAGAGGTGGAGACCGTCAGTGTGCCGAAGAAGGAGCATCACGACGTTTAGTACGGAGTGCGTTTAGCACCGAGTAACGTTAAGCGTGTTTAGTGCGTTTAGCACGTTTCAGAAGGTCTCGAAGGAGTGCTGTAGATAGTCGTGGTGCTGGCGGTGCTCGTGGTGTTGAAAGGAAGACGCAGTCACACGCAGTCATGTAGCGGTGGCGTCGCGCTGGCGTGTATGTCCTACGGATTACAACCTCCGAAGGCCATTTCATCAGATGAAGCGCTTCATACGCCAAACTAGAAATGGAGACTTTGAATGTGATTCGAGCTCTGGATCGGACCTGGATCTGCAGTTTGCGTGATGTGATGTGATGTTTCACCGCGTCCTTGTAAGCACTGGGCTGGGCTGACACTCTCACTTTCGCTATCTGTGATGCTCGCTATGCCTTGTGCTTTGTGCTTTGTGCCGTGCCATATGCTCTATGCTCTCTGCAATGCATCCTGCCCTGATCATCACGCCAGCTTTCCTAGGATAGCACCCGTCTTCATTTTCTCCCCCTCTTCACCTCTTCCTCCTTACATCTTCCTCTTCTTCGCCGCTGCCTCTGCCTCCGCGGCCGCCACCCGCGCCATACTCCTCGTCACTCTCCTCTTGTCCATCTCCTCCCTCCGCGCCATCGCCCTCGTCGTGACGTTGGGCCCAGTTCGCACCTGCTGACGTCGTCGTCGTCTCCTCGCGACGGGCGCCGGCTGCGTTGCTGCCTCCTGCGTGGCCGGCTGGACGGGCTTACCGTCCGCCGTAGCCGCCGCAACGGGAACAGCAACCGCAGCGGCAGCCGCATCTTGGGGAGCCGACTGTATCGCCGCCACCGCCAGCAGGGCGTCCTCGGCCTGCAACGTCAACACGACCACCTGCTTGGCCAGCTTGGGGGGCCACGCTTGGTCCACGCCGAAGAGGTCGTCCGCCAGTTCGTCCGCCACGGCGGCATTCAGCAACAGAGCCTCGGACCTCGCGATGAAGGTCTCGACCCCGATGCCGTCCGCCGCCGTTGCGACGAGCTGGCCTTCCATCTCGACGTCGTCGCCGTTGACGTGGCGCCCGTCGGCCGTCTTCCACGGGTTGTCGCTCAGACGCGGCACGTGTAGGTTGAAGGCGTGCTCTTCGACAGCCTCGACGTGCAGCACTGCAGCCGCAGTGGCCGGCGCGGGGTTTGTTCGGACGCGTGCGATGCGCCACGGACCCGGCACGCCGGCCGCCTGGCGGAGCAGCTCGTGCCGCGTCTCGAACAGCTGCACGCTGGGAGACGGGGCGTGCTGCCACGGGGCTTTGAGCCGCTGGTCGGCCACCACGGGGAGGTGTTCGTTGTAGAACTTCCACGGGTGGCTCGCGACTTGCGCATCGCCGGGAGGCACGTCGTCTCGGTAGCGGTCCTGCCGTGTCCACTGCAAGTCTGGCAGCTTGTCGGCCTGTTGGCGCGCCTGCTCCGCCCACGTGCGGATGTACTGGTGGAGGTCCACCCATTGGTTGTACGTCCCGGGCGTGATGTCCTCGCGGGCGGCGTATCGTTTGCCGAGTTCGCGGAGCCAGTCCAGAAAATCGAGGCGCATGGCGACGTACTTGGCAGTTTCTGGTTGCTGGTGGCGGGCGACGATGGCGCGGTGGATGATGGCGTACAGGTTGTTGATGTCGTCGAACATCCGGATGACTTGTCGTCTGCGTGGCTCGGGCGGCTTGTCGGCGGCGGTAGTCAGCCCAGCGGCCTGACAAGCAGCGTATTGCTGCTGCGCCTGGTCGTCTTCTCGTTGGATCGAGGCCAGGTCTCTCATTCGCCGTCTGACGGGATTTCCAGAGACCTCGAACAAGCCGTCTGCTGCTCGTCTGGCCAGGCCGAAGTCTCCAAGGAGGAAGTCCGGGAGTTTGCTGTCTGGGTTGGGGAAATGGAGAAATATGTTGCCTTCGTGGACATCTTGGTGGATGACGGGCGGCTCACAGTAACGGTGCACAAAGTCGACGGCCTCCATCAGGTGGTCAATCAGTTGCAAGACCAGAGCTTGCGGTGGTAAAATGCGTTCTCGTTCGAGCACGGCGAAGAATCGGTCCAGCGAGCCTCCGTTGCAGTATTCGAAGATGATGGACGTTGACTTGAAGTCGTTGAAAGCGGCGTGGCCTTTGGGAAGGACATTGAAGTCTTGAGAACGCACAAGGGTGGGGATCTTCGGGAACTCTTCGTACAGCTCAACTTCTGGGCACCGGATTCCATTTCTGTGGCTCGCTTTTGCGGAGGTGGGCTTTGTCTTCTTTCTCACATAGTCCTTGTTGTTGGTGATGGAGCGGACGATCGAGGTGACTCCCTCCATGCCATTGCCCAGCGGCCGACAAAAGAGGTAGCCGTCGCCCTCGGGGAAGAAAATTGCATACTTGTGTGCAGACATTGCAAGGATGGTGTAGATTCAAGCTGAGAGACGGTACGAGTGGTAGAGCAGAACTAGTGTCAACTGATATGCGAGAAAAGGTATCACTGTGCTTGATCTGAAGGAGAAGAGACGAGTATGGAATAACAGAACACTCGACGACGACTGCTCTCTTACCGGAAATCCTTGAAGCGGGTCATCGGTGAGCATTATGGATGCCATCTGAATAGTCCATTGACAGTCGCACACCTCAATGATGAATGAGCTGAACAATAGCATTCAAGCTAAATTTGGGGAGCAGGTCCGGCAGAACAAAGAGATGGAAAAGAGGAACAATAGTGCGCCATTGTTCCTACCTGACGGTCAATGAAGAAATGCTTTTTCGTCGAGAATTGAGAACATCAATCATTCACTTGAACTGTTCGGTGGAACAAATCATCGGGTGGCCATGGCAGACTCTTTACATCGCGGCCGTGAACTGACAGAATCGAGGGAGACAATAGAGACAACCATCTTGCGCCAATATGACCGGCAGAACCTCGATCGCCAGTTGACCGCCATGGCTGTATCGATGCGGCAGGTTGATGGCTTTTGTTGAATTTCATCTGTGTTTCGTCCGAGCAGGTGTAAGAACGTCGCTCAGGCATGGTTCTCATCTGCGACGGTTAGCGCTAAATCAGATTGCATTTGACCATCAAGGCTGGATTTGCGGTCGGGATCCTTATACTCAACAGCCAATTCTGTGCTGTTTAGTCTTGTTCTCATGTAAGGACTGTTTGAGCGCAGTCGAACTTGATTTCGAAGTTGATGTCAGAAGATCCACGAGCAACGCGTCCGCAGTAGCGCGTTGTGGGCTTGCAACGGTGGACCACTCAAATCTTTGCGCATGTAGCTTGGCGGAGTCTCATCACGTGCCCCCGTAACTCTCGAAGATTGCACGTGTGTGGCTCAGACGTGTTAGGGGGTGGTGAACGGTGGGATCGAGCTTGATTGATTGGGCTCATCATCCTCTGTTAGGACTCTACGGAGTACAGCCACCATGGACTCGTCAAGTCGGAATCATTTGCCATTCACTGAATTCATAGTAACGTCAGGAAAACAGTATTGAGATCCTCCGACAAGACTTCTGAGTAAGGTCGTATGTTCAGAAGACCGAAGAGATAAGCTCACCATCCTGGGTACGAAACATGCCCAAGGATATGAGAGGTCATATAAGGAGTACTCTGGAACGCATCAGAACGCACACAGTTCAGGACACTGAAATTGTCGCACCTCCCGGCGCTGAACCCGAAGCTCGTGCTGTGTAGAGGTCCGCAAAGGCAGCGGCCGAGCTTGACTCGTGACACCAGCAACGAAAGAAATCTCGCGCCGTCCTCAGGCAACTGCCCCATGTCGTCGCGACAGGGTCCCTCGACAAGTATACGCTCTCCGCGCCTGTTGAAAAGGTGAAATTTCTGTTTGCCTCCGATCGTTAACACCCGCAAAAGGCGGACTGGACGGGCTGCAATATCTCGCATAGTCAGCTTTGTCTGGTCCGGCGTAGGGTATGGGTTCATGAGGTGTAATAAAGTTCCAGTGTGTCTCTATGGGTGTATCTGAACGCTAATAACGAGTACTTAAGGCACTATATGACATCCCCGACGCCACGCAACTCGGTCCTGGGAATGAATACGATGGTGTGTCCTGGGTTCCTCCTGTAAATTTCGACAAGTTTGTTGCGCATCTGCTCTGCGAGATTGCTAGGGTTGTCCCCACCCGTTAGCCGGCTGGCAGCTGGCAGCTGGCAGCACCGTTCGACTGTTTGTTAGGCTCGGCGGTGGATAGTTGTGGAAAGGGATGCATCAAGTCAAGGCATACCCAAGAAGGAGGATGAGGATGTGGTTGATCTGGAGAAGTGTCAGGGAGAAAAGACGCAAGTGTGTTCCGTTAAGTGATACTGAGCGCTCTTTGCTAGGTATGCTTGCTTCCATTTCCCGAGTGGGACAGCGTGGATCTGTTGCGGTGGATTTGCTAGCTGCAAGCTGAGATGCTCGCTGGCCAGTCGCGTCGATTTGGGAGCCATGTTGTATCCATTCTCTGACCTTCCGCTTTCCTCTTGACCTGTAACAGTCTCTACTGCAAACGTGATGCACTCCGCTGAGCTGATGGGCTGCGATCCCGTTAGTGTCTCAAGTACTGCGCTCAACGCGCAGCCAGTTTTCACCAGGCTTTGACAGAGAGAAGCTGCACCAACAAATCAGCAACAGGTATGTTATGAGATGGGTTACATGAGCCTCGACAGAGAGCTGGGTTAATGACCCTTCATCTGCGGTGAGTGGCCGTCTATAGGAAGGCGCAGACTGCAGCGTAGCTCCTCTGTCAGACTGACAACATGTCTCAGGGGTAGAGGGCAGCCATTGTGGCGTGAAGAGCCACCATGAACGGCCTCGCTGTCTCATGTCTTGCATACGGGAGGCTCAGTTTAAAAAGATGCTGACTGCGCCCACCCAGAGTTCACAGAAAGCCAGAGCAGAACAGGCTGTGGCATTGCAAGATGTGGTCTCAAATGGCAGGTTGCGTTCGACCGAACCATCTCGAAGGAGGCGCTGGAGAAACCGGAACTCGCCTGTCATTGTCCGGTCGATTGCCGATTGCATACGCTGCATCGCCTCCATCGAGGCCGAGACACGCTTTCAACCTCACAGTCGCACGCCTTTGCCTTTACGTATCAACCGCATGCTGGAAGATTTCACCTGTCTGTGCCACGCCTAGACCAGAACGAGAGGGTGACCGCAGCCAAATGCGCCCAGCGCCGGTCAGGAGCCGGTGCAAATCTGGTCCTTCGTATCCGTACCTGTCACGGGTGCCTGGAAGGGAGTATGCTTTGATCATGCGGTGAGGACGTGTCGAACCGACGTTGGGGACGGGGACGGACGCGGATGTGGACATGGCCTGATTATCGAGTGAGTCAGAAGTCAGAAACCACAGCTCAGCTGTGGTGCAGTGGCACGGAGTCGCCGGTCTGAGATGACGCTCGTTCGACGAGTTGCACTGCCGAGAGCCCGAGTAATAAGTGGTCATGGTATCTGATAGGCAACCACTGCTTCTTTCTGGCGCATGAAACGCACTTGGTGAGAGCGCAGACTTTTCTTCTCCCTGCAGCCTAATTTCCCTCACTTTGACTTCTACCACCTCGGAGATTTTGAACCGAAACGATCGACGGCGCATTGAAAAGCCACAAGGATTCCACAGCTCTCCTTTGTTTGCCCGGTACAGGAGCACACTTTGAGTTCAGCGAACGGGGTACACTTCTGGTTGATCCAGGGCAGTCGTCCTCACATCTTTGGCGATTGGCGGCCCACAGCCCGCGAGAAGACAAAGGACAGGGGATAGGGTTTCAGCACAGGTTGCATCAGGACACGGTCTGGAGGCACAACAAGCAGGCTTCTTTCGGGGCTGGAGCTGGAGCTGAAGCTGTAAAAGAACGAGTGGTTTCATCCCTTGTCTATTTGTGGCTGCGTTGATGGTTGGTCGACCTTTGGATGTGAGTGATACGTCCTCCGCATATACTTTGCGACCTTCTTGAGTGCTGGTACCGAAGTCGCCATGGTGGATTTAGAGTCGTGGGAAGACTAAAGCGCTCTGTGCATCCGCCGCCAAAAGGTCGCCAAGGCGCCGTCTTTGCTCCGTCTTCCCAGAAAGCACAGGCGAGAACGAGTCAAAATTTAGACGCTCATGTGGTCGGTGACACGCAGCGGTATCAACACACGGAGCTTGGTGGACACATGCACAGAGCACAGGGTCGAAGCCTGGGGCGCCCGTCCCTACATGCACTACGTGGAACACCGGTGCTCCCGAGCAGATCACATCGCACATACCGCGAATCCAATGGGATCAGTGACAACATCACCAGTGCGTAGAATCAAACTGCACCTGTAGTACAGCTGAAAATCATTACCCAAAAATGCTGCAAAAGCCCCATGTCGGAGGACATTGGTCCACCAAACTCTCTCCTTCTAGCTTCCATGGGATACCGTGCAATCCCCACAAATGTCAGTGGGTAGTGCATCTCCCACGCATGCCTTTTCTTTGTATGCACAAGATTTCCCTGATCATCCGCTTCTACCAAGCCAACGCTTTGCTCGTGTGCGCGTCCTGTCAGATTCTCCGGCTCGGGGCCACAATACGTTCACCATCAAAGGTATTTAAATACGACTTCCTCCCCTGGTTGACATACTCATGGACCCCAGTTGTCCATGCCACCCTCAAAGTACTGGGCCTCCTCTTGCTCCTCGTCAGCGAAGAACACAGGCACATACGATGGCACTTGGTTTCCAATTGGATCAATTGGCGCCATCGCCTGCTGACCGCTGGCGGTTGCTTCGAAGCCTGACGTGGCCGGCGCGTACGTTGTTGGCCAAGAGTACTGCATACGAGCTTGCCACCCTTGTGGCATGCCTGAAGCCGTTTCGGCTAGCGTTGCCGATAGCAACGCGTCCATGGAGGCTTGACATGTAGGAAGCGTAGCGGGAGCTGCCGGCGCATGGGATGTTGCGAACAGTGAATGGGATTGATGCTGATGATGATGCGCCCAGGTCGGCGGCTCCGTTGGTGGCGCCGTCCACTGCTCTGTCGATGGTGCCGTCCATTGTTCTGATGGTTGTGCCATCCACCGCTCCGTGGGATGCCACGTTGGCTGCACCGATTTAAATTCCGTTGGTAACTGCGACTGCCGTTGATGCATCGTCACACGTCCACTGATGTCGGCGCCATGGACGACGGCGGCATCCTGGGGTCGATTTTGGCCGTAGTTGGGATAGCCCAAGTGCTGCGTGCCAACAACGCTGTCAGGCATTGGCCCAGTGTGTGTTGTAGGTTTGGGTGCGGTCCAGTCCATTTTCCCTTTGTTCTGCCGTCGTACTACAGTCTTCTTGAGCTTTATTTTGACCCCGGATTCAGCCAGGTCCTTGGATAATTGGGTTGACGGCGGTATCTGAGGAGCTTTGGGATGGAATGCAACTGCAAGATTGTAAGTCTCTCGCCCGGAATTCATAGACACATGACCCATGCTCACCTGCAAACTGAGGGGACCAGACGTCTTTGATGACGCGTGCGAAATGGCCAATCTCTGGGCTGTTTCCGTGTCAGCAAAAGGAGATCGCAGACAAGTACATCGCACATACTCTATCCGCATATCCAGGAGCGTGAATCTGAACTGGTATGAACCAGCTGCGTCCTCCTCGAACTTCGGGATGATGTCGGTGAAAACGAAGAAACCGCGTTCTGCTCGTCGTCAAAGACCGTCACGGCAGCGAGGGTCGGGGTAATACATACTCTGTGGGTGGTTGGGCAATTTGGCCGCGCTCAGAGACGAGACCAGTGAACCAACACAGGAGGTCAGTATCTGTCTACCGTGGGCGTCGGTTCGGTAGAGCTCTGCCACGAGGGATAGATATGGGCTAAACAGCCAAGACCGGGTCTTGTCATCGTCGTGGACTTGTAGTTCGACGACCGGTGGAGGTTCGATCCAGGCTCCTCTACTGGGCATGGTCTTCTTGGTTTTGCCTATTGTCCGGTCAGCGTCGAATGAGGCAAGGCGACAATCACTGACCGATACGAGGGCGCTGAGCTTGCTGCGCTTGCTTCGCAGGACATTGGACATCAAACACACTAGGTAGCTGTCGTACTGTGAGCACATATGCATCGCTGTTATACAGGTATTTGGTCAGTTTTGCCCCACGCAATGATGGTATAGTCTGCATTTCGGGATGTGGCTTGCTGATAACCGACCTATACTGCGTCGCCCTTGTGTTGACCTGGTGGGTGAGGTAGCGATCAGGCCTGTGTCGGTGTGGTATGGTTGGGGGGCTCATGTGGTTGCCTTTGGCACGATCGGGATCGTGGCTGGCGCTCATGCTGGAGGTAGAGCTGTCGTCAACTCAGACAATCTTTGGGAAGAGTACTGGAGAACCGTCCGCAGCCGTGTTGGTGGGGGAAGTCGCTGCGCTGAAGTGAGCTCGAGGTGAATCGAGCCGGGTAAAGCCAAAGAAATATTGGTCTAGATGAAGACCAAGCCCGAAATCAGAGGTCAAATGGTAAAATGGTAGAGTGCGAACGAGGACCTTGGCCTGATTGTGCGGCCGAGCAATTCTGGTTGAACGATCCTCACTCTGTGCGCAGACCCTATGCCTGGCTCTGACGGGCTTCAGACAATCAGGATGCGCTCCCGAGTCGTGGTGTATCCGACAGACTGGTAACTTTGGCGCGTGAGTCAAAACGCGCGAGGAACACAGCACGATCTTCCCACAAACAAGCTCTTGTCCAGGCATTTGACTCCGAAGCCTCGAGCGCGGGCCTTCCTGTGAAAAGGTCCTCTGATCAAATTGATAACAGTTTGGCGCAGAAATGGGATCGTGGCGATTGCCGGCTAGCTGTATGGAACACGAGCAGCTTGCGATTTCCAGCGTTGCAAATGGGATGCTATGATGGCAAAGTTATATCGTGATATGGTTTTATTGATGTCGCCCGCAGTACATAGAAGTGTCGGTAGATGCGACCAAAAGGCCTGGGCAGACGCTGGGCACCGCCTGCCTGTCGATGTGAGAACCTTTGACTCTGCGCAAGAGCAAGGGCGCATGCGAGTGAATGATGCGCAAATCGTGTGCAGGCGCAATTGCAAGGCGCGTGGTATGGTAGCACATGTGTCGAGATGAGTAGATACCTGGATGTATTCCAGGGGCGCCGGGTCTGTCAAGGCAGGATGGTGACCACTGCCACGGATGCGTCGAGGGCAGTCTAGAGATCCGCGAATCGTCTGTCTATTTACTTGTACAGTCGATCTCGAGGGGGTGATATTGCGCAGAGCGCGTCACAGGGCAGGCAGGGCGAAATAGGACGGTTCTGCCGAGCAATGGGCGCAGCTGTTCCGCAACAATTCCAAGAATTGCCTGAGCGAGCTCGAGGTGAGGCCGTAGGGGCAGGGTTATGCTGAAACAGCGGAGCGGAGAGAACACGAGCTCAGCGTGCTCTCAAGGCGGTGTAAGAACGAATAGGAACAGGCTATGGGGTAGTGTCCTTGACAATGGCGATGGCGGCGATGCTAGAGGGTGCGGTTGCGAAGATATCATGCTGCAAGGTTGAACTTCTCGCATCTGGTGACGTTTGGGATGACTCTAGAGTAGTCGTTGACCATGGCTTCGTGTGCAATACTCATCGAGTCTGGGCAACCCGCACCCCACGAGCTCGTTGTATCGGCATGCACAATGGCCAGGTAGTGCGCAATGTTCGTATTCGCGAGTCTCCGACTGGCCCTTCTGCGTCTCTCCCGTGCAGCCGTGGAAGTACTGGTGGCCGTCGTTGTCACAACAGGGCAATCCGTCGTGAATGTTGATATCTGGACGGCTGCAAGACGCAATGCTGGCACGCAGATGCGCAAGAGAGAATCCTGCAGGAATGTGATCGGGGCGTGCTGCTTGAGGGAGTTTGTTCAGGCCAGGCAACGCTGGTTGAGATGATGCCAGATGAGTTCAGGTGATCGAGAGAACGAGCAGCTGTCATCCGCGATCTTGTGCACCGAGGCTTGATGTTTGACGAGATTCGGTCGTCCCCAGGGAGCAGATATGTGAAGTCAGCAGGGCGAGTCGAAGCAATCCTATCTGTGACCACTGGGAGCCGGACCAGGGAGGATCACGTAGGCAGACTGACTGTACCGGTAAGTGAAGCTAGGTACAGGGCACGACTGAGCATGGACTAGCACCGTCGGCCCCTTGATCTGCAGTCAATCGTCCGCGATCAAAGGGTGAAGGCTGCGAGATCTTGCATGTCTCCCCATGTGCTAGTCGACAGCAACTTCGGGGCTTGAGGCTTGGGGCCCTGGGCCTGCAGGCGGAAAGCAGGATAGCCATGCCAAAAGTCCGTCGGATGCCCATCCGAACGACAGGGGGGATTGACACCAGGCTTGTCGCACGCGGCTGCCCCAAATGGCTCGTTCCTGCTGGCGTGGCAGATCAAAGGAGAAGGTCCCATCACCAACCGGGCCATGATCAGGACCAAAGAGGACTGCTGGGGCGCAGTCCTGCTCGAAATAGGTTAGGGAAGAGTATGGGACTACAGATCGACATGTTGGTTGGACCAGCCATGACATCGACGCCCTGGTCCGCCCTTCCACGTTAACAATCGACAGGATCCGTGAGCGGCAGGCTTCTGTCTCGACACAGTATGCAGACGTCTTGGAATGCCGAAGACCAGACAATGCAGAGCAGTCGACCAATGACAGAGCGCCCACACTCACCCCGTGGGGCTTTGTTCGATGCAGCGCCCTCGCGATCTCGAATGGACGAAGATGCCTGGAAGCTGTCGCCGGCCCCAGTGGCGGTAATGCGGACTTGATCGTGCGGCATGAGTGTGACTGCCCTTTAGCGAGGTGGGTTTGCGTGTTGAACCTGAATGATTGTGCAGGGACATGGTCCAGCTGGCCTGTCCTTCTCAAAAGATCCGAAATCGCGGATGCTGTCGATTATGCCAGCAGATGGACACCTGACTGTCAGCTGGAACGTGGCAACAACGTGGGCGCCACGGGCACAACCCTGACCAGGGGGAGTCGGCGACCCATCAGGTACGAGGCCTGGTTGTCACTGAGAACGAGAATACGGGCGAGATGGATACACCAGGGGCTGACAGTGCCAGGAGGAATTGTCGTTTGTTCCCCTTTCAACTGAGAACGACCTCCCGGAACGATACTGGTGGTCAAGGGTCCTCGGAGGGCCAGGGGCCTTAGTCTCCTGCAAATTGGAGGAATGTGCAGGCCGCTAATTAGACAGCTTCGGGCTTCAACGACGCGATTGGCTTCTGGTAAGGAGTACGAAAAGCCACCTTCGACATCAGTGACAGGTCTGGTTCGGTATCCCACGAGAGATGTTGTCCAACCACAGGATTCACTTACGAACCATATGGTTTCGTGGTTCTTTCTGCGTCCAAGCCGACTTAACCGTGTCAACCGGGGTGGCCACCGCGTGAGGCGGTCTTGCTGCAGACGGGTAAGGCCAGGGGTATCTCTTCGATCAAGTCTTATTCGCTCCACCCTGAGGACGGAGAACTTCGACGTCTGAAGATCGTTCAACAGCGGTTCAAACCCGAAGCATATCGGAAATGCTTTCTTCCCAGCCTAGAGAGCTAATCTTCACCCCTATCAATTGCACACCCAAACCTCCCCACAACTTAGGCCACTCTGGGGGAACACGCTTTGGGCCTCCAGCCTTGCGTCTAAGCCTGACCTCTCCTCATGCCAAGCAATTACGGAAAAGACAGCCTGCCCTGAACAGTGGCTGAGGCCCATGATGGTCCAGACCATGTAGCGTGCAGCCTGACACAGAACGTGTCAAACGGACCGATCCAGACTCGAGGCTGCATGTGCCACACAGTGGAAGGTGCAGACAGACTCACGGGTCGACTGCCTTCGAAGATCGCAGATGCTTCGCAACCTGTTCGATCTATCTACCATCTTGGGTCTGATTCAGGGAAAGGGAGAGCTTTGACATCTGCAAGCCACAGACAGTACCCACTGGCATCTACTGAGAGGCGGATCCACAGTATCGATGTACTACTGTGTAGGTATGGAGCCCTGGGCTCGTCCACATTTTCACCTCGGTATCAACGTGCAGTCTTGGAGCTCTTCAGGTCACAGTGGTGTGCCAGATCGGCTGGTGGGCGAATCGGGTCGCGCCAGGCTCATCATCTGGCAGTGTTAGCGCTGTAACTGTTCTCGCAGCGTTTGTGGGATGGTTGGAGAGTTCCTGCACAGCAGGTCTCAATGTGAGTACTCCGTACAAATCCTTAGTTTGCTTTGGCAGTCGACTTCGTGATGCCCCCTTGGGCGAGAGTCGGATGAACCGACTGCCCGATATGGACGGCTTCGTATCCGAATCCATCATTGAGAAATGATCGTGAACACGAACTCCACGTGGCTGCCAGGGGTGCAACACCGCGCTCGCTCGAGGCGCTCGTTGACAGCTTGGCCATCGAGCTCGAGCGACACAACATCCGATCGATCACCTGCGTGGCGGGCTCGATGCGCAACCAATGCCCCATGGGCATCTGCGTCCACACAGTCGCGACAGTCTAGACTCGCAGTTGGCTCTGCCGACCTGATTGGACGACAGACCTCCTCATCACTTCGGTCAGCCGGGCCCCTGCAAACCCAATTTCCATCTACAATTTTGCGATGTTTGACCTGCAATCCAGGACGGCGCCAAATCCAAGCTTGTCCCACGAAACACCTCGCTTCGGTGCGGGATTGCGTAGGTGGCAGCCACGTTATCGGCTGGAGCTTCAAGTGAGTTCTGCGGAATGTACTGAAAGAATCGACTCGACAGATCGATTACGAGCTTATACGACAAATACGCCGGCAGTGTGTCCGATCGCCTGGCGACATCTGGGACCTCGCAATCGAAAACCATGCCTCACCCCTTCGAATTGCACACCGTATCAGGAAGCCGTAGCATGTACAGATTCGCATAGAGCGAATCACTGGTCTACCTCTAACCACCTTGAGCCTCTGCGCTGCATTCATCATCATACATATCGCCAGGGGGGAGATGGCGAGCGATCTGAAGAGCGATCCGGTTTAGCCACACGTCTTCCGAAGTTCTTGGTGGCCAAATGTCCGCGCTGGGACGAGACACTTCGCACCCGCATGGCATGTAGGGATACTCGTGCATTGCTTGGTCCTAGTTGTCGTGATCACCACCACTGCCATGCGGGTTCTCTCACCATCATATTCGTGGGAAACCATCTTGGTAGCCGCGACTTTGAGTCTCGGCCGATTTCTTCGGCTCAATCATGGGACAACTTGGGCGTACCGTCGAATCAGATTCTGCTAGCCATCTAATGTGTTGTCCACGTCGTGTTTGTAGCAGCTTAGCTTCTGTATACTTCAATCACGGTTTCCGCATACCCCTGTCTGCCACTTCCGTTGGTCGCTTGGCCGGCTCCAAGCCCTCACTTCTTGCCTCTGCAGGCGCTAAAAAGCTTCCGAGGACTAAGTAAGCAGCAGAGAAAAGTATGAACAGAATGCGACTTGACTGATCCACTGAATAGTCCAGAAAAGCTGGATATTCGTGGCCAGGAATGACTTGTACCCATGCAGGATTGCTCTCGGAGGGGGCGTCCACCGCATCAGAGTATGAGATGCTTTAGTGCAAGACTCAAGCCATAAACTGACACGGCTCAGTGCCTACAGTACGAACTCGACGAGTAGATCGAATGAACGCGGAATTAGATTACTCCGAGCCCCTAATGCCAAGCATTATCTGAAGCCGAGGTTGTCCCGGAATGTCTGAATAATTCGGTGGAGCACATTCCTGTCCGGCGGATCAAAGCAACCACAGATCTCGCGCGGACATCGACAGCTACGTACCGTGTATTGTGTAGGACTAAGCACAAGCCACTCACCCGGTGATCTAGAAAGGATGAAGACGCTGTGGTCCAGCTATGGACGCAACCGGCCTATTCTCGCCCTCTTCGCCGCCTTTGTAGTTTGGAAATCTTTGCTCGCTCTGATCGTTCTGACTGCCCCTGGTGTCGGATACGATACGTCGACGAGTCTCCTGTCCTCTCGCACCGGTGGCGACAATGTCGTGTTCAGCGAGCCAGAACCCATGCCTAGCTCCTGGTTCAAGTTTATACGCTGGGATGCCATATACTACACGCACATGTCTGAACAGGGACATGTCTTCGAGCAGGAGTGGGCGTTTGGAATTGGCTTGTCAACAGGAATATCTTGGATCGCAAGGTGTATGGTCGCCCCAACAGACAGCCTGTTTTTCTGCTGACGCCGTCTCAGTCCTTTCTGCGCTCGGTGTGAGCGTTAGACTATCGTCAACACTCGCTGGCGTTGCGTTGTCTCACACATCTCATTGGCTATCTGTGATTCAGCTTTGGGTTTTGACCAAGGCCATTGCCGAAGAAATGCAATGTCCAGACTACTATAACCTACCTCTCAACGCTGCGGCACTGCACATCATCTCTCCAGCAGGGGTCTTTCTCTCGGCGCCATATTCGGAAAGCCCCTTCTCATTCCTGTCCATGTCTAGCTTTCTCAGCTTTGTTTATGCACTTCAGCGGTTCAAGAACAATCAAAACGTTGCGGGATCCACGAGTATGGTCCTGGCTGGTCTCAGATCATGTGTCGCTACTATGCTTCGAAGCAATGGGGTCTTGGCTGGGATACCATTTCTCTTCGAAGCGATAACTACAGCACTGAGCATCCTGTCACAGGGTCTTTCAACTGTGCGGATTACTCGAATTGCGTCCCTCATCGCTGGTGGACTCTTGGTGGGCATTGGAATGGCATACCCGCAGTTCTTGGCTTATAAGGAGTACTGCTATGGCCGGAGCCCTGATGACAGGAGACCTTGGTGCAACCTGACCCTCCCCTCAATCTTCACTTGGGTCCAGTCTCATTACTGGTACGTACACCCAAACCTACCTTATGGCCATGCTAACAAAACACCATAGGAACGTAGGCCCATTTCGCTACTGGACAGTGTCAAACCTCCCGTTGTTTCTTCTGGCCGGCCCTTCCATTTGGCTCTTGACATACTCGGCGATCGATGCTCTACGACGCCCATCAAGTCTGGTGCCAGGATTGTCTCCAGCCTCAGCCGGATCTATCTCATCTAACCAAAAACGAATCATAATGAGTCTTGCGCTACCACAACTTGTGCTGGCAATCCTCGCACTGACGAGTTATCATGTACAGATCATCACCAGGCTGTCCTCTGGGTATCCTCTCTGGTACATCTGGCTGGCGTCCAAGCTGACGGACGAGCCGAGGACGGCTTCGCTGGCTGTCCGGTGGATGGTGCTTTATGCCTTGATCCAAGCCGGGCTCTACGCGTGCTTTCTCCCTCCAGCTTGAAAGTAAATTGCTTTCGGAAGGGTTGGGATGGGTTGGGTATCATTATCGATCCAACATACACACCCATCATCCCCTCTTCCACCAACTTCAAATCGACTTGGATAACCTTCATGTTGACCTTGGCAGTCGGTACGAACCCGGCACAAGGAGGCTTATCTCCGTCTTTCCGGTTTCAACCAGCTCGAATGGAAATTGCCATGTCTGCCTCAGTCGGCCTGAGCATACAGTCAGGCAAATGGGCCATCCAAGACCTTGGCTCAAGTTGACGGGCACGATCGCCCCTTCCACATCGTGGTCAGACTGAATGGCCGTCCTGTCGTCGTTGTTGTAGCCATTGCGCGTTCTGCTCGGAGCTCAAGCAGGAGCCGATGGTAATTGAAAGAGGAGGTGATACCCGAACCAAAAGATAGTAGATACCCGCCGCACTGTTCCTTGAACTACCGGAAGTCCAGCTATGCATCAAGGTGAGGGTGACGTTGGCCAGCCCAGAAACAGAGTAGTGCCTTCTACGATCCCAGCCGGTGTATTTAATCATGGTGAGAGAAGTCACTGTTCTGTCGTCTGGGTTCCGGTGAGACAAGACACGTGCGTGCCGACGTGTGGCAGCCACAAGGTGCGCCACAAGTTCTTTGTGTGGCTGTCATTACAAAACAGAGGCGCCACGTTTTGATCTCGAGTGACTCAATGCAAAGTTCGACGAGAATCCGTTTTGCAATTCTAAACCTCTCACGTTGTACACTCCAACTTCAATCCTCGCAAGGAAATAGCTTGGCTTGAGAGTGCAAGCTTGCACCTGCAGACACCAGAACCGGGTTGCTCTCGTTTCACACGACTAGTTCTTGAATCTCCTCTGAAACCTGTTTGTTCGCCACAGGCCGAGCACAATCGGTGTGGTAACGGTGATGGCACCCGCAAAGAGGAAATGTGGCGTACTTGGAGCCACGGGTCCGTGGCATCTACTAGCCTCCACCTTCCTTTGGTTGAACTGACAGTGTTGCCAGGTTCTGTGGGCCAGAGGTTCATTCTCCTTCTGGCCGATCATCCTATGCTCCATCTACAGGCTGTTGGAGCCTCGTCAAGATCGGCAGGAAAAGCTTACAGTGATGCTGTCAGATGGAAGCAAGCAAGGCCAATGTCTCCAGACCTCGCGGGTCTCGTGGTTAGGGAGTGTAAAGCCGAGAACTTCCAGGATTGTGAGCTAGTCTTCTCAGGTTTAGACAGCGATGTAGCGGGAGACGTCGGTACGGGACACACTTATGTCTACAGACTCTGCCATTCCAGCTCGACGCTGACTTTTTCTCAGAAATGGAGTTCTTGAAGGCCGAGATCGCCGTGTTCTCGAATGCAAAGAACTACAGACGACATGAAAAGGTGCCGCTGGTGGTGCCTACCGTCAACCTATCACATCTGAGATTAATCCCACACCAACAGCAGCACTTTGGTCTCAAGAAAGGTTTCCTCGTGTGCAATTCGAACTGTGCTGTCATCGGGATCGTTATTCCATTTGCAGCCCTTCAGGCCAAATTTGGACCCGTCGAAGACGTCGAAGTGTTTACAGAACAAGCCGTATCTGGTGCGGGCTATCCAGGTGTCGCCAGTATGGACATCATGGATAACGTCATTCCATATATCGCTGGAGAAGAAGACAAGCTTGAGACCGAAGCCCAAAAGATCCTCGGCTCGATCAACTCGGAAGCCACAGCATTCGAGGAGCAGTCAGGCCTGACCGTGGGGGCTACATGCACCAGAGTCGGCGTCACTGATGGTCACATGGCATTCGTCTCGTTGAGATTCAAGCAGAGACCTCCACCAAGTGCGGAGCAAGTCAAGGCAGCTATGAGAGAATACGTGGCAGAGGCACAGAAGCTAGGGTGTCCATCAGCACCTGAGAAGGCTATCGTGGTCTTCGACGAGCCAGACCGACCGCAGCCGCGACTCGACCGAGACATCTCTGGGGGATATGCTGTCAGTGTTGGCAGGGTCCGTGAAGCTGCGAAGGGGTCCCATTTCGATATCAGATTCGCAGCCCTCAGCCACAACACGGTTATTGGTGCAGCAGGATCGTCCATCCTGAACGCAGAGGCTGCCATTATCCAGGGTTTGCTGTGATCTGCGGCAATCCTGGTCCTTGCATAGTTCTTTACTATTCAAATTGTGGTAGACGAGAGGCTGAGGAAATGGTCGACCAAGTTACTGCCTCAAACCAATTAGTCGTAGGACAGTCGAATCGCAAACGAGATCTCTCAAGTTCCTGAAGCCTAAGTTGGATTTGAATGAAAAGCGTCGAGGGCGAAATTTCAAATGACGCACTGACCTGGTGAAATCGGCATGGGAAAATCTTGGCAATTTTAGCCGCTTAGGGACTAGCCCACTTTTGCAAATCGAAACTGCGACCGCGAAATCAATTGTCTCCGAAGGTCTGTCTTGCGATCGTTCACTTCTTCCACCACCTCCACCAATTTCAGATCAAAATGGGTCGCGGTCCGAAGAAACATCAGAAGCGTCTCAGTGCGCCTTCGCACTGGCTTTTGGACAAGCTCTCGGGCGCCTATGCCCCGAAGGCGTCCCCTGGCCCTCACGTTCGTCGTCCTCAATATTGCGCACAGGTTGCAACGGCTAACAGCAAGTGCACAGAAAAGCCGAGACTGCCTCCCTCTGATCGTTTTCCTTCGAAACCGCCTCAAGTACTCCCTGAACAACCGCGAGACGAGAGCTATCTTGATGCAGCGTCTCATCAAGGTCGATGGCAAGGTCCGCACTGATATCACCTATCCTGCTGGCTACATGGATGTCATCTCGATTGAGAAGACCGGAGAGCACTTCCGCCTGGTCTACGACACCAAGGGCCGCTTTGCCATTCACCGTATCGAACAAGCTGAGGCTGAATACAAACTCGGCAAGGTCAAAAGAGTGCAACTCGGCAGAGGAGGAATCCCATACTTGGTTACGCATGATGCTCGCACGTAAGTCGCATCTATCAGCCGTTGGACCAAGCTGTGGTCGGAAAGAGAAGAACAAAATGCTGACATGGACTAATAGGATCCGATACCCCGACCCGGCCATTAAGGTGAACGACACCGTCAAGCTCGACCTTGCTACTGGAAAGATTACCGATTTCATCCGCTTTGACACTGGTGTAATTGCCATGGTCACTGGTGGTCGCAACATGGGCCGTGTTGGTGTTATCACTCACCGAGAGCGACACGACGGTGGTTTCAACATTGTTCACATCAAGGATGCCATCGACAACTCATTCGCTACTCGAGAGAACAACGTCTTCATCATTGGCAAGGAGAAGCCATGGATCAGTCTGCCCAAGGGCAAGGGTGTTAAGGTACTTTTTCCCCATCATCCCATGATGATGCTTTTCTAACAGGTAAATCTAGTTGTCTATTGCCGAAGAGAGAGACCGCCGTCGCGCCGTTCAGCTGGCCAAGGGTGGTGCTTAGATTATCGCGTTGTCTTAAGCATACGGGTCCTGTATGCCTATTGAGAACCAATACCAGGCAGAAATACTGCTGTGCCATACCCACGTCCTTGATGGACTCGAAGCGCTGCAGATCCAGACGCATGGCACACTGGAAAATGTCACTTCGGCGTTCCACCGACTAGTGATCAACCCAGCAGGTGTGAGCTGAGAGTCAAGACCCGCTGAAGAAGAACGAGCCAGTATGGCTACGTTGAGAATCGAAAGACACTTTCACACACTAAGACTTTTGACACAAAACCTTTCCTATTTCGCTTTCACATCTACTTGCTCTTCTTACTGGCATCTGTACCCGCGCCCAGCTTGCCGAACAATCCGGCCACGGTCAACAATCTATTGATATGCAAGAAGACACTGACACCAACGTTTGAAGCTGTCATCTGATTCCATTGATTGAGATCCCAGAAGACTTTGTCACCTAACGCCCCGTAGACAGAGTATATATGACCTAGATCTGCCAACGCCACCGCAATCAGATATCTCCTTGTAATTTCCGGGTGTCTAGTGAAGCAGCAGATGACTGCCATGGCTGCCAGGAGCAGGAAGACGTTGCCCAGCTGCAAGGTCAACGAGAGGGACTGGGGCGTAAAAACATGATTCGAGAGCAGGCCTGGAGGAGCTTGGTCGGCGTAGTATTGTTGTGGATCGGAGAGGGTGATGAAATAGGCCCAGACTCTGCTCATCAGTCAGTGTGCGACGTCAGCATCTTCATGGATGTACTGGATCATACAGCGCGGCAGGCTCGAGGACGCCAAAGAGAATTAAAGGCCATGTGGGGAGCGCTGAGATTGCCATCGTGTTGCGCAGGCGATATGCTGCTTGTTCACAAGTAGGAGGAGAAAATACTTCTGCAACCAAGGAACGAGAAGAAAATCAGCAGATCTATCTGTCCCCGCAGTGTCCTGGCGCCATGGGTGGCAGCACCAGGATGCATTTCAGGCCGATCACTTCCAAGCCTACATTTGGTCTAGGGTACGACCGTTGTCAGCATTTGGCATGCGGGGGAGCACCTAGGGGTGACAGAATTACCCGGCCACCTTCACCAGGAAAGTCAGCCGGCTTACTAACAAATTCCCCTCTCGCCGATAGATATTACTGCTTCATTAATGTTTCTTAATAGTAATTTATAGTAACTACGCTGAATTACTCTACTTCTCTTTACTAGTGTAGTCGCTAAAGCCTAAGCTATATATATAGTAGAATTATTGAAAACAGATGTTAATGTGTATAGTGCATTAGGGATAAACCTCAAAACACACCCAAAATCGGGTTGGGTGGCCGGGTAATTCTGTCACCCCTAGGTGGGGAGAGAAGGGCCGCTTAAACTTCGGTGGAAATGGGCGGCCTGAGCCTCCATCAGGCGCCTCTTTGTTTGTTTACGGTGTGCATGGCAACCATTAGCCGTCCAATCAGCATCAACGACATTTACACCTCTTCACTAAGTCACACCTTGACCTTTTTGATCCAGCAGATATCGCGCGACCACACATTAACGACAGCAAGGGTAGACACTACAGCCATATACAGCAGCAATGGCCGGCGCTGTCGCTACCGACAACGACCTCATTAACTTCGACATAATAGAATCGCATAAAGAAAACATCCAGTCCTTACCCGGCGGCCGGTCCGCGAAACAGCTGGCCTCGGTCCTCTCACCACTACCGTCAGGCAGATCAACGGGCGCAGACGCAGCACCCACATTGGAAGAGACAAAGATGCTCAACGATGCGATTCGACAAGAATACGAAATTGAACTGCAATCGATAGCAGACTCGGACGATCCGCTGGACATCTACGACCGCTATGTCAGATGGACGCTGAACTCTTATCCTTCCGCCCAAGCAACACCCCAATCACAACTCTTACCACTGCTCGAGCGCGCCACAAAAGCATTCCTTACATCCTCGCATTACAAGAACGACCCCCGTTATCTGAAGTTGTGGCTACACTATATCCGGCTCTTCTCAGATACGCCTCGGGAGACGTTTGCGTTCCTCGCGCGACATGGCATAGGCGAAGGGCTGGGTCTATTCTACGAGGAGTTTGCAGCCTGGTTGGAAGGCGTAGGGAGGTGGATGCAAGCAGACGAAGTGTACAAGCTAGGCATTGAGCGCGAAGCCAGACCGACGGAAAGACTGGTGCGCAAATACAATCACTTCCAGCAGCGGTTTGATGCAAGGACACGCAACGACAACGAGCCCAGTTCTCCAGCATTGCCCACTGTTCGACCGGCCCTGGCTGCCAAGATTGATCCCTTTGCCTCTGCTCATGCAAGTGAAGATCCACAAGCGGCTCAGCAAAGACGCGGTGCCCCCGGAGGCACTGCAGCACCCTCGCGTTCAGGCAAGCCAAAAATGGCCATCTTCTCAGATGCAACAGATGTTCAGCAACCTCCTCCGACTGCCAGCGGTGCCAAAGGATGGGATAGCATTGGATCTGTCAAGGAGCGCAAGAAGGAGAACACCATCGAAGCTCGACCGTGGGCAGGGGAGAAGCTGAAGGTCGGCGGCAAGGTGGGGACCGTACCAAAAATGGAGGTGTTCAAGGATCCGGTATGATTGATCTTTCTGTGTGCCTAGACTCAGACAATCCTATTTCCCAATCCCAATTTCCTTGCCCTTCTGCTTCGTATCTATCGTATCCGTTTGACTAGAAAGCGACTGACCTGTTCCCTTGTAGGCATCCGCAGTGCCAGCTGAACAGTTCAAGCAATCGTCGTCCAGGCTAGAAATGAAGCACGCCAGCCTGGTGGTCAATCCACGAACCGGCCGAGCAGAACGAGTATTTGTGAACTTGGAAGCTGTCTACCCGCCTGATAGTAACATTGAGTTCAGCTTTGAAGAACTTCGAGCTATGTCACGAGGCTGGGCACTGAAAGCTCGGAGGCCACAGAGAGAGTTGTCTCCTCTGAACCCAGCAACTGGCAACCCAACCGCAAAATCCAGATCAAAAGTCACAAAGTCCCAGGAGCCAGCAGACATTGAGAATCTCACCCACTCGTTTCAACACAAGGCTGATCTGAACAAGCAGCCAGACTCGAGCTTCAGCGTTTGTGATGTGTCCACACAGTCAATGGTCGGTATGCCCGAGGCTGATTCCCGAGAATCTTCACAGCTGTTGAAGAAGGAGAGAAGACTCAAGGTCCGAGAGGTCAAGCAGGAAACTCAGACTGTCAAGACTCGATTGGATTCACCTTCTGGCCGGAAGCTGAAGAGAAAGCACAATCCATCGGCGGAACCAACAATGACCTTCCACTCCAAGGCTGCCACGAATGAGATCTATGACATGTTCAATCAGCCCCTACGTAAACCAACCGTAGCCAGAGACGATACTCAGAGCGGTGAGGACACTGAATTCGCCGACGACGATGGGTATAGCACCGCGGGCGAGAGTACAGGAACTGGGCGGGTCTCCGCGCCCGGCAGTGAATTCGGTGACGATACCTTGGCTTCCATCCGCAGAGGACACCCACAGAGTCAAAGCCAATCTGAGAGTGTCTCTTCTTGGTCCGAATTCTCTGTCAGCAAGGACATGCCGCGTCTTGCTGCCAGCGCCAAGGACAAAGCCTCTTCAGCCCGAACTGTGAGGAGACACAAACAAGAAGATCCATCTGACGAGATGTCGGAAAACGTCGACTCGTCCAGCCAGAATCCCACTCAGACTTCTGGGCTGGGAAGTGGTTTTGACACCCAAGCGATTGCTGCAATTGCCGGTGGTGATTTCGACGAGTTGGACACTAAGGCCATTGCCATGATGGCTGGCGATGTCGATGCCGATGTCGATGTCGCTGTCGCGGGCGTTGACGGTGAGGAAGCCAGTGCAGCTGTCGATGAGGATGTTAACGAGCAAGGCGTGACTCCAGACACCAACGAGGGCGCGGTCAAAACAGGACCACAGTGTGACGCCTCAGCCCGCAACGATGAGGCTCTAGTGACCCCGATCGACAGCGACTTTCCTGAGCAGGTCGAAATCCAGCACAAGCCTTGCTTCATCCCGCTGCCACCTATTGACTACGAGCCGACGCCTGCCCGACCATACCGTGACCCTGAGTTGGTGGCTCAGAACAAGCTGCCTTTCATGACACCTATTGCAGAACGCACCGAGTCCTCACTTGCCCCTTCCACCGTCTTCAGCGCTCCAGGATACTTCGATGCGAAGACGCCCAGCAGATCCAAGTATGACAGTCCGTCAAAGCTGGGAGTCGCAGATCTCCTCTTGAGCAGCCCACAGCAACAGGCATCGACCCCTACATCGGCATCTCCAGCGAAGAGAAAGCACAGTGAAGTTGGCACAACTGAGGACGAAGTGATCAGTTCTTCACCACACAAGAAACCCGTCAGCAAGTGTACTGAGCTGGAAGCCCCCTCTGCACTGTCGAAGGTTGACACAGACGCCGTTTTCAAGACTCCTGCTCCATTGTCGAAGACCCAAGCAACGACCCGATCACCACTCACCAATATCCGCAAAGGTCCCATCATACCAGACTTACAATGCAATCCATGTGTTGATGCCGTCCGCCAACAGATCTTGACGGCGGTCTATCCCCCGTTGTCAACTCAGAAGGGATTCTACGATCATTCCACAACCACGTCCGGTCGCTACGCAACTCTCAAGTCCTTTGCCGAAAAGCAAATGAAGGCGAAAGTGAAGGCCAGCCCACGAAAGAGTCAGAGCGAGAAGACACTTACCAAAGCTGTACCACCCGTCCTCAAGTTCGACGGCGCCACTCGAATCTACGCGGTCAAGCGAGAACTGGGAGAAGGGGCCTTTGCACCGGTGTATCTGGTGGATAGCTTCAATCCTGACGAAAGTCACGAGTCGGATGAGAATGATAAAGAAAACAAGAGCCCACCAACCTTTGACGGCATTGCTTCAGCCCGCGAAACCCTCGTAGCTGTGAAGACCGAATGTCCTCCTGGCACGCTCGTCTGGGAGTTCCATATCCTGCGCACAGTCAAGCAGCGTCTTGGATCTGCAGCTCGCACCATGCAGTCGATCGTCCGTGCTCATGAATGCCATCTCTACCGCGACGAAGCATTCATCGTTCTCCAATACAGTCCTCAAGGGACGTTACTCGACCTCATCAATGCTGCCCGCATCGACAATGCCAAAGCCGGAAAGCCAGCGGAGGGCGTCGATGAGGTTGTTGCCATGTGGCTCGCCGTTGAGCTTCTTCGGGTTCTTGAGGATCTCCATCGCGTTGGAATTCTTCATGGCGACCTGAAGGGCGACAATTGCCTGGTTCGATTCGACACCTCCGCCGACCTCACCGCTCCATACTGCCCCGAAGGCAATCACGGCTGGAACAGTAGAGGCATCAAATTGATTGATTTTGGACGAGGCATCGACACGCGCATGTTCAAGCCCAATGCACAATTCATCGCTGACTGGGATTCGTGCCCTCAGGACTGCGCTGAGATTCGCGAGTGTCGTCCCTGGAAATGGCAGATCGACTACCACGGCGTCGCGGGCATCATGCATTCGCTACTCTTTGGCAAGTACATCGACACTGTTCCCGTGCCTGGCAGCTCACTGGGCCCTGGGCAGAAGAAGGTGTGGAAGCTCAAAGAGAATTTCAAGCGCTACTGGGAGAAAGATGTCTGGGGAGACGTGTTCGCAACCCTCCTGAATCCCGGCTGTGTGGCTGACGGAGAGGAGATGCCGATTCAGAAGAATCTCCGGCGTGTGAGGGCGAGGATGGAAAAGTGGCTTGTTGAGGAAGGCGAGAGGGGCGGCCGCGACCTGAGAGGAAGCCTGAGAAAGATGGAGCGCTTGGTGTGCAAATGAATGACCCGGTCGGTCAGATTGTCATTCTTTCGACATGGCCGTCAGCATTGGATCAACGCACAGGAGAGGTGACAGTGCCGTTGGATGGCATGATTGGTGGTCTTTTTCTTTTCATCTTACAGCATCGTGCGGTTGGACATAACGACGAGCAAGCATGGTGTTGCGGCGTTGCGGCATCGTCATCATCAACTGGCGAATCCTCAGTCGATGTGGCTAGGTTATCTCTCGAGAGACATGAGTTTCGACAGGCAGAGACAAAGAGCAGCATCATGCTACGGTACTTCAGACTTGGATCAGGCATTCACTCTCCATTCTCCATTCTCCATTCTCCCTTCTCCATTCTCCCTTCTCCATTTTGAATTGTCGCTCACAATGCGGGGAGACTGCCGACTTCGGCTGCCCCCAAAACTTACAAGGCACTAAGTACAGAACCTCGTACAGTACCGGCAGCGAGTCGTGTGTGCAACAATTAAATTACTAAATCGCAATTGACATCACCGCATGCCCAGCGCCGAAGTCCTTGACGCTCATATCGTCGGTACCGCAAGTAACTTAAGTCAGCCTACTTTCATACCGAGCATGTCGAGTCCTCGATAAGGACGATCGGTTCATCCTCCGTCTCTCCCCCGTCGTTGATAGCGAGTCCGGTCTCTCTCCGTGCGGGAACATCGTCTGCGAAAAGTGGCAAGCAAGCAGCGTAGCGCACCACAGCACAGCACAGCACAGCACAGCACAGCACAACATGCAGTGCCAACAGTGCTGACATCGGTGTGAGTGACCGACCAACCGATTATCAACTGACCAGCCATATCGTCTACGCTGTCACTCTCGGCCCAGCACAGATCCTTGCCTTCTTCCCTCCTGCCTTCCCTCGGAATATCAGTCCGCAGCGCAACGCAGCGCGAGCAACAGGCGCAATATCATAGCCATTTCCTGTTCCTCCTCTAGACCGAGAATTTAAGAAATCCCCGTCGCTCGCCCGATCGATCGACAGCCCACAAGCAGTCGAGCCAACATTCCGATATACTCTACATCTCAAGATAATTGTCCAAGTCTTTTGTCTGCTGTCTGCAAATCTCACAAACCTCACACCTGGAAAGGTGATCGCACAACATGGGAGACGCGGGGCCTCCGTCGCCGGACCCGATCTTGCAGCAGGAAAGCGCTGTGCAAGTCGGAGGGGTGGGCGCGGATGAAGCGGCACCCTTGAGGGAGGTGAAGGTGTTGGTGACTGGGTTCGGGGTAGGTTCTTCATATTTTCCCTTTGTCATTCTCTTGAATTGCCATTCTGCTGGCGGCCTGGGTTTGCATGGTTTCAGAGATCGTGGTGCGATCAGCGAGCCGACTCGGCATCTTAAGAGGCGAGAGGCGGTATGAAGGACGGGGAGTGGGAAGGTGAACGAGTATGCGGAAACTGGGTCCACAGCACAGAACTGCAAGGCGCCTCGTTCTGCTGTACCACACGCAGGCGCATACACAGTACACACTTCCGCACATAATCGCATTTGGCGTTGGGAATCTGCAGCATACAGCATGGCTTGCTACAGCCTACGTCCTTGGCCGGCTCCGCAGTCTTGTCCTCCAGAATGGACGGATGGAAGACATTTTTCTTCATTCTACGCATCTCAGAGTCCAAAGGCGAAACCATGCTAACCACCATCCATTGCGCAGCCCTTCAAATCTTTCCTGATAAACCCGTCATGGCTGATCGCCTCGGCCCTCCCGGACGAGCTCTACCCTTCGCCTTCGTCGTCCACGGCCGCAAAATCCCCAGACTACAAAATCACACTGATAGTCCACCCATCTGCCGTCCGCGTCTCGTACTCGACGGTCTCCACGACGGTGCCGGCGCTGCTCTCCTCCCTGGACCCGGACTTCGTACTACACATCGGCATGGCCGGCGGGCGGGACTGCTACAGTCTAGAAACCCGCGCGCACCGAGACAACTACCGGATCAAAGACGTGGATGACGCGGACGGGCTGACGTGCGGCGAGCAGCGCTGGCGGAGGGAGAACGTCCCCGAGGTGCTGTACGTGGGGTGGGAGGAAGGCGACGTGTTGAGACGGTGGGAAGAGGGCGTGAAGAAGGGCTTGGCCGAACGGGGGTTCTTGGGCAAGGCCGAGATGGAGAGGGAGAGGGAAAGGGCAAAGGCGCCGACTAACCAGCAATCCCAGAACGGTCGCTTACCTGAACCTCCTTCTGTCTCTGCTTCTGCTTCTACTTCTGTATTCGGACTGCCGCCACGGGCCCACCACGCCTACGGGCCGGTCAATCTCATGTGGGGCACGAGTAATGTCCCCGCGAGCGCGACCAAGGCGGACGAACACAGACGGAAAGCGGTGGTCAAGCTGTCGGCCGACGCGGGCCGGTTTCTGTGCGAGTACGCCCTGTTTGAGAGCCTGAGTCGGAGGTGGCTGGACGCGAGGAGGGTGGAGGAAGATGAGACCAGAGATCCTGCTGTTGTTGCGGCGGCGGCGACGGCAGCAGCAGCAGCATCGTCATCAGCAGCAGCGTCGTCATCGGCATCCGCTTCCGCTTCCCCATCTTCTCCTGCCTCTTCTGCGCGACGAGAGCTCGCGCGAGAACGGCTGGGCAAAGTCGCGTTCCTGCATGTGCCGGGCTGGACGGGCGTCGAGGACATCAACCGCGGGGTCATGGTCGCGGAGGAAGCCATCCGCGCCCTTGTGGGGAGTTGGGAGGGGGGATATAGAAGGAATGGCAGGGTCGCTCAGGCCAAGGCCTACACGCAGCAGCATTCGGAGGAGAAGGGCCGGGTTGCCGCGAACTGGAAGGCTTGACGGGCGTGGACGAGGCCGAAATGTGGCAGGTCATGAAACGAGATGACTTGTTTTTCGATTGTGCTCTTTTCTTTTGCGGCCATGGGTGGGAATTATAGAGAGACGAAGCAGCTTCGGGTTATTATGGAGGTGATGTGATGGGACGGGATGTCACGAAGACTGGCATTTCAGAGCCTCTTGAACGACAGGTGGTACATAGACGAGCATAGCACGCTCCATTACGATTGCCAGCTGTTGCGACAGTCCGTGCCTCATTTTGACTGTTGTCTAGTTTGGGCCGTGTCCTGTCCTATCCTGTAGGACATCGAGCCCGAGCCCGGACGGACGGACGGTACGCGTAGTTTCCCGTGTATGGCGTGTCCGGAAATAGTATCCCATGCTCGAGTGCGGTAACCCCGGATCGCAGTCAGCTACGAGCTCAAGCTGAGACGGCCCACGGTTGGCTGGACTTCAGCAAGCACTGCTCCGTATCCGTACTTCGGATGCATACCGTGTAGACGGGAGTTCATCAAAACATTGCACTGTACATACTCGCAGTCAGCGAGGTGCCGACGCGTGGACGCACGTAAGTATTAGACTTTAGCTTCCTGTACCCCGTACTTCGGCTGTCGCAACGTCAAGCAAGGATGGATTCTCGTACTCGGACCCGTACCGAAGTGGGCGCTTGGAAAGCATGGCCCGTATCCTGCCAAAACTGCCAAACCATGAGCCAAGCAGAGTTGCGGACGTCGTGGATACAGCTGGATATGGTGAAGGCCGTGAGTCCAGTGCTGAACTGCTTGTGTGACCACGAAATCCGTTCATCCATCCGTCCACCCATCCATCTCAGCGCGTTTCCTGTTCTTCCTTGATGTACGTACTGACCAGGGATATGGCATGTTTTGACAGCTGCAGGTAGGGAGTGGTTCGATCGGGATTGATGACGGGAGGCAAGGGCAATGAGACATCTCAAACAAGGTTACTGTGCCGCTCTGTTATGAGGGTGAGAATGGTGTGAGTTCTTTGTCGCGACTGAACCCGAGGGAATAGACTCCACTATGCATTACTTGTACCTGTTTGCTCGAACGACGTGTTTGTTGCTCGTCGAAGAGTGCGTCGTGCGATGGCGGGACAGGGACAAGGTTTCGGGTGCTTCAAACATCGAAGTGTCGAATCGAATTGTTTTTCACGCTTCAATTGCGTCTTCTCCAAGAAAACTGACATGCCGAGCAGCTTGAAGGCCACCGGGATGCCCGATTAACTTTGCTGTCAAGATGGCGCTGTTTGTTGAACGAAGGTGAAAGATCCTTGTCATCAGCGGCTTCCGGTCCGTCAAAACGGAAGAAGCGTGGAGCTCGCCATTGAAGGTGGCGTCAGAGGTCTTTTAACGCCGCTGATTGGTCGCTATCGAGCCACTCAGGCGTCGTTGGCGCTCTGGCGTGTGTTTTTCGCGTCCGGTGAAACCTGGAGCTTGACGCGTCAATAATGGGGCTCCCAGCCGAGCACACGACCACAGCATGTAGTACCCGGCGTCTTCGACATTGAGGACCGAACAATCGGGGCAAGGGCTGTTACCAGACCGGCTATCTACTGAGCAGAGCGCGGAGGAAGTCAAAGGAGCTGGGCCAGCTGGACGGGCTGTCCATGTGGTCTCCTGACACTGGCAGACGGCCAGCATAAGAGCAACGCGCGAGTCTGTGCTCTGCATCACAGCGGTCGCTGCTGTGCGTCGGGCAGCTACAAGTTCACCGTAGGCATAGACGGACAAAGTGAAGCGGGCACTCACGAGCACAGCATGGAGCGGTAGACGATGGGTTAGTGGTGGTGGGTTGAGGACAAGCGCAGGCTTCGTGGATCGCTCCCTGCAGTAGCAGGAGGAAAGGAGCCGTCGCCGGGCGATTCATGTCGACATCTGATATCCACTTCGATGCAGCGTGCATGTAAGACAAACACTATCAAAGGCAGTCAGTCGACGTCTTCGAATGGTTCGGGCTCCCTGGTGAAAGCATCGTCGATTGTCGATTGTCGATTGCTTCCGGGCCTGCAGAACACAGCTGCAAGCTCGCTGAACACTGACGCAGGCGATGATGAACTTCCGAGGCCATCCATCCATCATATGTAAACCGCATTGCTGAAGAATTTCCCCTCACTTTCACTTCACTTCCACTTCACTTTCGGCTTCCTTGCTTCTGAGATTATTTCTTCTCTTCTTGTTTCGGCACTCACTTCTCCCGGCCGTTGGGAACCTCCTTGTTACTTCACACGACTTATCACACCTTCGAAGGCGGTGGGTGCCCTGCGATAGGCGCGCCACCCGGCCGGCGGTTCAAACGGGCACGAGCCCCCGTCCTTGGTGCCCCGTGACTCTCCACAGCGCTGGGACTTGGCCCAGGAGCCTGTGAGACCCTGAACCAGACAGCTGCACACCAACAGGGCCAGTCCCTCCTCCTCGCCCTCTTTACATCCACCTTTTTCCACCTCCAGTCTGTCCGCTTCCAACATTCCAATCCTCACTCCGAAACACTCACAATCCTCATCACGTCAACAACTTTGTAAACAAATCTTTGCCCAAGTGACCACATTTTCAACTGCCTCGCTACACTTGCTACCACTTCTCCCACGATCGTCGCCGTGGCCTTCTTCACATCTGCACCCTAGACTGACTACCCTGGTTCCTCCAATTTCTCCCAATTTTCCCAGCCACCGTCATTTTCTCAACTGCACTCGGCCTGGCTCGATCTTCCACCTGCGATCTGACGGCGTCGACAACCTGCGCGTCCAACACGTCTCTGCCGTCGCATTCAACCACGATTGAACCGAGTCGCGCACGCTCATCCTCCGATTCACGACAGACCGCTTCTCGTTTGCCAGCGCGACCAGCCAACAACAACGGCCGCGGCGGCTTCTCGGTCAACCGCAAGACAACCATGATCGCATAGCCGCATAGCCGCTTCCTGCACGCGTTCCGACGGCATGCTCCCGTAAACGCTCGGTATACCCAGAAGCCTGCAGAGATCGGGTCTGCGCGTTTGCTGTTCGTCCGCGTCGCTATCTTAGAACCACAATATACGAGTCGCACAACGCGTCGAGCGCGATGGCCGACCGAGAACTCTCCCCTACAATTCTAGCCTCATCGGCGCAACGCAAATCACAGATGTCGATAACGCTTCCTCGAAACTTCGCGCCCCTAGGACTCACCGCCGGCGACGACCCGAAGACTCCAGACCAGACTTTCGCAGAATTGAAGCTTCCTCCTCCACCGCACCACTCGACCTGTCGGTTGCGCCGGTCTCGCTTTGGAATGGACAACTTCCAATCGCGCAACAACGCGCTCCCTGCAACGCTGTTTGCTTCAGACATCCCATTCCCGTCGAGCTCGCCAAAAGACAACGATGTGGTGGACGCGGACATGGTTTTACCTTCCATTGAATTCCACCATCATCTGACCAGACCGTCATATACGCACCGCACGACAGATCCTACCCCCAGGGACAGACTCAGGCTCTCCGCTTTGGGAGACGCTCAATTGCCGCGTACACCGATCGCCCAAACCAAGGTAATTCCCACCGAGTATAAAAATGGTGCATGGGAAATGCGTCGGTCGGCGTCGGAATCCTCGTTTTCATCGTCCGATGATACATTCACCACTCGACCAACATCTTTTGATGGCAGTGCAACAAGCCCTGAAATCGAATGCGTCGACCCGTTTTCTCCGACCAAGGTCAATATCATTCCTGATACACCATCCAGGAAGAACAAAAAGCTGAGAATCAACACCTTCACGTCCAAAGCCAACGTCCAATGGAGTATTGAAATGGACAACCACTTGTTCAATATCTACCAGATGTACCTGGCCGACCCGACTGTCACTCCGTTCAAAACAGTCCCCGGCAGTATTCCCCCCACCGGCGTTTGCCATCGTGTTGCCCGAAGAGCCAAGGAAACGTGGTCGAAGGCGTCAAGGGTGTCTAAACCACTCATTCAGCGGTACAAGATGCGAAACATCATTGAGACCAGGAGCAATCTTAGAGACAGAACACCTGAGCCAAATGACTTCCTGCGAACGGACAATGATGCAAGGGGTTCTTGGCCGTCTGAATCAGCGACAAGAAAACGCCTGAAACAGCTCTGCAAGGAGAAATTCACCATCACGGCTCATTACCAGCGACTGCGTGAATCCAGAAGCCCGTCGCCCTTCCATGAGCAATTTCCCCGTCGACCACCGTCACGGCTTGCTCGGTCAGTTTCTGCCCAGGATGCAGCATCCACGACATATGCCACACGGGAACTGGGCATCTCTCTCGTCGCCAGCGGTGCAACTGCACCTCTAGCACAGCTAGTGACGGGCGACTCCCCTCCAAGTCAGCCGATGTCGGACGATTGGTTCAATACCCCAGTCAACAGCTCCTCTGGCCGCATGTCCATATTGACAAGTCCGGCCCTGGGGATCAATCCGGAGCCCGACAAATTGCAAGTCGCGAGCAACATCCCACGTCTAGCTTCACCTTTCAACTACAGCACCTGGAGTGGATCGAGTAACTCGAATAGCCATCACCGTCGTCATATCAGCCACAACCATTTTGAGACTGTTCATGCGACAGGGACCAGGTTGCTGTCGCCATTCAAGCTCGAACCGGAATTATCTCTGAACGTGAACAAGCGACGGGCCCAACACAATCTCGAAGATGAACTTAGCCCAAGCGGGAGCAACATTGAAAAGTTGAATGCGGAACTCAACAACCTCCCTACGCCTACGACATTCGTACCCGAGCCTCAGATCCGACCGGAGCTGGTATTCACCGGTGCCGGTGATCTGAATCAACGAAGAATCCGTGTCCGCAACAGGGGTGCGACAATGGGAGCTATGAACAATCGAGAGCACGTCGAACGTCTCTTCACTCCACCGATCACTCAGGCTCCAGATGGCGACGGCATTCCGCCCGTGCCGCCACTGCCTACCTCGTTGACTGCGTTGGCAAACTCCAATCTGCAAGGTAGACCTGCTGGTCTGGCGCCACCGGAGCCCGACCCGGCTCAGAAGCGTCTCGGCAGTCCATTTGAACTGGATCCCAACAAGCGGAGTTATCGAGCCAAAAACCCTCGCCATGTGCCAAGTCTGAGCGATCCTTTCATCAGCACGAGCGCGTTTGCAACGATGCCCAGTCATGGTCACGGCGCCATGAGCATTGGGGAGCGACTAGCGGGATTCAGTACCTTTCACCCCACTCACTTTCCGCGCCCGATTCCTGAGTATCGACCGAAGGATGATCCTTTCACCTGATGCACAAGGGCGGCCAGTGAGGGGTTCTCAATGGTGATGGATGGTACAAGGTGGAGGAGCACGGTTTTGCGTTCGTGGTTTATCTACTGGTTTGAACTATTCGCGATGGCGCTGGCAGGACAGGTTCTATGTGAATGATTGATTTCGAAAACATGACTAGGCCGCACCACAGAAGATCAACAGGCTTGATGACCGACGTGTTTGAACATACAGATGGGGCCTCCCAGCATGACGAATGGTGGCAATACTCGGTGAAGGGGGGGAGGCGCTGCACTAACGTGGTTTCTATCAATGTATTCTACCATTGCACAAATTGAGTCCCTTGGCTGGAGGATTGCCTCGCCCCATGCAGACGGCCGGCGAGTCGTCCTGGGGAGATTTGGAAATGTGCTTCGGCATCACGAGATGATGAATTTTGACCTATGAGCAGAAGACAGCAGACAGAACCAGTGCCGTGTGTCCTTGATGCCAATCCTTCAAGCTTGCCCTAATGCCAGGTTGTACGTTGCCTTGTGGAGCTGATGGCAGAAATACAGGTTGTTTTGCGCTGTCGCAAGGCGTTAGTGACTGGCAGCCCTACGTCACTCGCCTGGCGACACCCCGAGCTGAGGTTGGCAAGACTGTCCGGAGTATAGGTACGTATACAGAAGTGCTCGACGACGAGGGGGACGGGACCCGCTGCTCCACAGCTGCCCGCAGCATTCTGAGTACCGAGTAGGGAGTAGCACAGTGTGCTGCTGTAGCTGCCCACACGAACACTACTGGTTTAGGCTAGTTACGCCCTGCGATGGGCCCTGGTTAACCGGATCACTGGCTCGTACCAAGTCGCAAAGTCACCGTACTGGGTACAATAGATATGTCAGCCGTCTCTCGTGCTGATGCAGTATCACGCCGCCCTGTCTCGACCTCCCTAGCAGCCACCCTTCTCCGTAGGGAGGCTGGCATCGCCCGGTGAGCTGCCCCTTCAGGGACAGTGCCCCGCCGACGCTTGCCGTGCTGTGCAGGAAGCAAGATTCCCTAGCTGCATGACGGTCGCCACGATGACTAAGTTCTTTGATCATCGTCAGCCATTGGTGGGTGGGGGCGACGAGGAGGAGGCATTTGGCCGTCACTAACACTGACCGTACAATACCACGCAGTGGGACCGGCCACAGCCTGGCGAGACGACGAGGGCCGATACTTCTCCCAAGACTACATGAGGAGACCCCGGGGACCTCAATGGGACGCACTTTGCTGCCGCCATCGCGGGTATGGCGACCTCCAAGCCCGTGCTGTTCATGGACGCGAAGACTCCTGTCAACTTCCGAGGCAAACGACAACGGCAGGAAGTGCGCGCTCTAGCCTTGCGTGCAGCCTCCTTCTCCCGACCGAACAGGAAGAAGAAGAACCCCAAGGGCCGTGAGGATTCAGCATCCTCATCACGCCGGCAGCGGTGTCCGTTGCAAGGGACGCTGCCCACAGTATGTGAAGCTGAACAAAAATCCAGTCTGTGGCAGGGACCTTTCTAACACACATTGCGCAGGACGCGACCCAGCCGTCAGATCAGAGAGTTCGACACTGCTGCTTCTGTGGCCGACCTCTGGAACCAAGTCCGAAGGACCTCTGCCTCGTGTCTGGCAACGTCCAGCCCGCCGCGCCATGGCATCAGATATGTAGAGGACATTCTCCTGCAGACGCCTCGACGTCTGTTGTAGCACGTCTTCATATACGCGGACCTCGGCCGGACACAGCGTGCGACCCCTTCGACTCCACGCCCCTTGCAATCACAGCCGACGATCACGACGTCTTGAACTATATCAAATCATTCACCTTTGCTGTCAACTGGCCTGACGAGCTCGAAGCTTGTCGTGAAGGTCACAGCCTGTACAATGCTCATCTATTGATGTACAGGAGGTACTTCACCCACCCAGCCCCCATGAGCGGACTCCTCTCGTACGCCTACAATCTTATGGCCCTTGCACAGCCGGAGAGGGCAGCATACCATCGACAGATATCCATGAAGTACTCGCTGCAGTGCTTCAAGTTCCTGCGAGACTTGATCGACACGTTGGACAACTCAGATGAGCAGCTGATGGTCATCGTGCAGACGATCTTCCCCCTCGCGATCGCTGAATACTCGGAGTCCATCCGGATGGGCGGTGACCGGAGCCTACAGCATCGAGGTGCGCTGCTGCGTCTGATTCAGCTCTTGGGCGGCCCGCAACGACTCCCCTTGGTGTACAGGGAACTCTTTGTGAACTTCTTTGCCAAATCCGCCATCGTGAGAGACACAGCCACCGAGATCGATCCCGCAGCATGGGATCCCGGTCCATGGCAAGGGCAGCTCAGCGATACTGTCCCTTCTCTGTCATCTGAACTGAGTCCGCCCAGCAAGCCCATGGCCGACACTTCTGATAGCCTGTCGGAGATCCTGGCGGGTCTGCGCGAACTGGCGGCCGTCGCGAATATAAAACGGCGCGGCAGGTGGTCAGATGACGATCACTTGAGCCCTGTCTTCCGTTGGACCTATCTGCGCAGCATGGCCTTGAAGATGCGGCTGTGGAACTTCCTCCACCCACCCGGATGGCGATCATTATCAGACTCTTTGGGCTCAGACACCAAACCCCACCACCAAATCTTCCACTATCAATCCGTTGAGGACTATACACGGGTATCACGGGAGTTCTGTCTGTGTCTTGCAGCACAACTGTTCATCTACCTCAGTCTGGAGACCTGCCCCGTCAGGCATCCAACGTACTCTGCGCCCACTCAATATGCAGACATGCTGGAACGGAGCGAGATCCTCGACACGCTGCTTTTTGGGTACGCCGAAGGATGCGGGACGATCAGATCTCTGGGGGTATGCGGCCTGGATGCCACAACCATGGGAGAGGAACAAGGGCAAGCCCAAGCACGGGATCTTTTGTGGATCGTGGCAATTGGGGCGTGTTTCGAAGAGGACGCGTCTAGACAAATGCCTCACAATCTGATTCCCGGGTTGGCCCCGACGGCCAAGGCAGCTGGTTTTTGGGATGAGAAAGAATGGAAGGTTCCCCTGTGTGTGGACGACGGAGATGACAGTGGCAGCGGCAGCACACATCAAACGGCACGGTGGTGCTTCTCTCTGCATTTTGGAGGACTGGCCAGACGGCTTGGGTATCTACAGTTCACTCATGTCAAGGAGCTGTTCTCCCGGAGTTACGTCTACGATGAAATGATCATGGAGGAGACCTTGAACAGATTGTTCGCTGTCGGTCTGTCTACTTGAGATGGGATGATTGCGGAGGGATTCTCGATCCCGCTGGCGAGGCAGTGCTTTGGTGTTTGCGATATTTATTGGTGTTATGTGCCTGTCCACCACCACCTCATACAGCTCGGTGAGGTAGACTAGAATGTGAGCATGGAAAATGCTGCCTGCTGTCGTGTGCTACAAGATGCGAGGAGACAGATCTACCAAGGGAGATTGCTTGTGACTTGCGACTGTTGCACTGGGGTTTTGTAGATGCATCTGAGAAGAATCATGCTCACCCCGAGGCGGCCATGTACTTGAAGCTGGTCATACTCAATGAGTTCATGCCTCCATGAAGCCGTAGAAGGCACTCTCGCCTGCTACTGCAAGGTCATCGAATCTTCCGTCCACGTCACCCACCACGAGAGATCAAAGTCTGACAATGCAGTGCACCCTCTACGCTGCGACTCCCACCAGGTTGTCGACTACACACGACCCATAAGTCATGGCTTCCCGGCGAGAATAGCTCAGTCCACCGCGGCCTCGCATTCAGCCTGTACCGACCCCGTGGCAACTGCCGAGAAGATCCTCAAAGTTCCCATCATCCTCCCTGGCAGAGCAAGCCGGTAAATGAATGACCCTGACTTCGAGCACGGCTATTTTCTCACGCTGCACCACCGCCAACCCACATTGGTGAGCGTGGGTTGCGGCCCTGATTTGATCTCAGCACTGGATTCCGCCGTCGATACAAAGCCAATAGTCTCAATCGGTTCCGCGAGCAAGATGCTCAGACACCCTGGCATGAGCATGGCGTTACGCATCTTACAAGGCCTGACGGATACAAGGCAGCTCATACCTACCTAGGTACAGTCGTAGGATGAGCAGCGCTGTTCATCTACCACCGACTCGCCGAGGATGAGGCCGTCACAGCCGAACAGCCCATGCATTTGTCGGCCCTATCCACAACAGCATAAAAAGCATAACAGTACATAGGACGACCGTCATCCCCACAAGCGGGTCTATGGGCTGTCGGCTATCTGCACTCTGCTGACACCCTCTCCACCCCGTTAAGCCCGGTCAGTCGATGACTGTAACTACTGTACGCCCGAGCCATGCTGACTTCCGCCATCGAAACGTCCTCAGACTTGGCTCTGTCGGTGTCGCCGCTTTCGGCTATCGACATCGGACCACCTCATTTCGTCCCAACGAGAGAATCGACCGCTATTATTGACTAATACATCGACTTTGAGCCTTTCCTGTGAGCACGAGACGCAAGTCGCACTACCCCAGTAGACTTCCTCTCCTTGGGGCCGATCCACGCCAGCGCCCGTACCTCCAGGTTGAAACCAGGTCCTCAATGGGAGCTCAAGGTTGTAACGAGGTCTTGGCTTCCAAGTTGTGCCATCCTCGAAGGACGAAATGGAAAAATGCCTATCCACCGACATCACTCTGCTCATCTCGTTCTGCGGAGTCCCCATGATGACTTGCTTACCTCCGGCTCAGGGAGTGACCGGTGGCTCTTCAAGCTTTGAAAGACTGTCCCACAGATCTCCGTGGCGTACGATGCCTCTCCAAGGGGAGGACACGACACCGAATACACTGTCCGTGGTCCAGTCCCTTCCCGTCGTCTATACTCGGAATTGCCAGCCGCCCAGTTTTGCGAAGTTGGAATAGTCGTCTGTTTTTGCCTGACCGATTGCGCGATACATATTCCCTGTCTTCGGGACCTTGTCTCTTGTTGTCCTTGTGGAAGCCTTCCATGCAGATCTCTTCGCCTTCTCGCGCCAAATTCACGTCCAGGACGACCGGGGTTAGAGTCGAATGCTGATCTCCCTTGCTTTCAGCTGGATCAAAGCAAGTGACTTTGGGATATAATAAAGTGGTATGGCAAAGCTGAGTGCGGACATGGAAGAGCTACTCGCAGACTCAAGGAAGATATAAGTACACCCTCCTGTTTGTCCGCCACCTCACTTGCCTCAACGCCTACAAGTGATTGTCTCGCCGAACAAGTCCCTCCAGCATGACGGGGTCTGATTGCGAACTCAGTCATGTCACGCCGTGTGAGTGGGCGGTATCTCGGTGGAGATGGCGCAGGACAGCCATGTCTGAAAGGGACCGAGATCGTTGAGCAGGACTTTGCACGCGCCAAACGACCATTCCCATGCTTGGAAGTAGCATCCCCGGTTTCTCGAGGCGACTCGTGTTCGCGAGATTTAGCACAACAATACCCGGACAGGTACAGTATTCTCTGAGCTCCTCAATGCGCTAGAGGCTATGCTACCCCAGACGATCAGCTGGCTGGAGGCACTAAAAGTAACAGTTCACCCATCGAAGATCTGATTCTTCGATCACAGCTCATGGAGGGACTCTGTCTGCCTGCCTACATACATTCCTGATATTCGATCAGGAGGAACCACGCATGTCGTCTACCTTGTGTTTGAGGCAGGCGTTGCAAGATTCCAGTCTAACACACTTGGTCTGCAGCAAATCAGCCAGACAGCCAGACAGCCAGACAGCCAGACAGCCAGACATCTAGGCCACCCTTAGGGACGACTCAGCCAAAGGTAACTTCATCAAGCAGCATCAGACATGCCAAACCTTTAGCGCAGGAACACCACGCTTGATATACACCGCATCGACGGCCTAGTGGCAATGTTTCCTCTCAAAGACGAGCAATGATCTAATCGATTGAATAAAATGTGACGATATGCGGCATTCAGGTTCCCGCCGTCGCTCGGATGCTCTACCACCAACGCGCCAGCAGCACCGTCAGCCAGACCGTAAGCCACCACTCCATCTACCCATCAGAAAACACAACACCTTCATTCCCGTTCTGCTCTCCCGGTTGCCCTCCCGGTCTGCAACAAACGTCGTAGCGACACACGGAGTGAGTCTCCAATAAGTGCTGCGCCAGAATCACCGTGTACTTACCTGCTTACATTTGTACCTCCATCGCTCGCACGCGAAACCCCATTCTCCCTCCCCTCGTCAGCACCGATCCAAATCCCCACGCCCTCTATCCCTCCCGTGGGACAAAACTCGTCGTTCGCAACAGCGACCCAGGCTTCCACTCTGACTTGGACTGGAACTGGGACTGGGACTGTCTCCGGGACTAAGCCTAGAACTCCCTGGTCACACGATGCAGAGACCTGTACGTCCTCGTCGCGCGACCCATAGACCTGTCCCCGCTCTTCTCGCCCGGTAGAAGCCTCAACATCAACCTCACCCTTAGCATCAACCTCAAGCTCCTCCCCTCGCAAGACCGAGGACTCAACCTCAACCTCAACCTCCACGACCTCCCCTCGCAAGACCGAGAACTCAATCTCAGCCCTACCCACGACGCGAACCGTGTGCTCGGCGTCCCCAGGGAAGGTAACGCAAGTTTGTGATGCGCATCTCTCGACCTCACCCCCCGAACGCAGACAAGTCCAGCCATAGATGCCCGTGAGGAAGGGTTGTCTCACGAGGGCGCCCCGCCCAGGGGACACGCAGACGGGGAATTTCCGCGGCGCGGTCTTTAGGCCTGTGTAGTTGAGGTGGAATGCCACGTGGGCGTTTGGCGCACTGGGACAGGGGGCGGTAGGACAGGGGGCGGTGGGAGCGGGGACTGAGATACTTGGTGAGATTGTAGGTCTGGTAGTAGTCATGCCAGAGGTGAGGGTGGAGGAGGAGGATAAGATGGCGGCGGGTGTTTTGGTGAACTGTTCGAGAGTGGGGGCGGCAGCGCGGGTTATGGCGTGAGAGGGCGGAAAAAAGTGGAAGATGAGATGATTGAGAAGTCGTCGTCCGTGTCGGTTTCGGTGTTGATGTTGTCGGTATGTGCGTAGGTGAGGGTGTAGGCTAGGGTGATGGTGATGGCGAGGGTGAGAGTGAGGGTGACGGAGAGTCTGGAAGATGAGATGATTGAGGAGTTGTCGTCGGTTTCGGTTTCGGTGCTGGTGTTGGTGTTGGTGTCGGAGTGTGCGTGGGTGAAAGTGTAGGCCTGGGTGAAGGTGTAGGCTTGGTCGAGGGTGAGGGGAGGTTATGTGTGTATGTGTATGTGTATGTGTATGTATATGTGCATGTGTACGCGTAGATATCTTGTCCATAGTTACAGTATGTTGTCGACTCTGCGACCGTGCTCTATCCTTGTAGAGTCTCCCAAATCGTGCTCTATATCAATAGATAGATAACATACAACAACCAGCGAGATAGACCATTGAGTTATTTACTATATATAGTTGGTTAGGACCATCTCTGAGCGATTCCCCAGAGGAAAAAGGCAAGACGGTAGCCGCGATTTTATATCACTGCAAGTCCCCGTTCGCATAGAGGTCGAATAGCAGCCACGCGAGCCCATCGGGCGACGGCCGTTTTGCAAGCTCGAGTGTAACGTCCATGGGGGGGATTCAATCTTTGAGTCATTCATCCGCGGGATACATTGACTAGTCGAATCACTCATTCACTCACTCACTCACTCGCTCACTCGTTAGTCGGGATGTAAATACGTTACGGAGTACACCGGTAGTGACTTGGCGAGCAAACAATTAACACTCCAAACAAGTGTGTGTGTCACGAACTATGCGTCCTTCGTTTGGACACCCCAGTCAGTAAGAGGTCAATGATCCGCATCCTGCAGCTTAGCAACCTCGATACAGTTGTGACGGCCACATCTCTGATAGGCAGGTGAGGCTGATATCAGGACGACGGAGAAAGAGACCCAGGCAGGTCGAATTACCACAGCTGGGACGCGGAAACTGACAGGATGGATCACGATGAGCAAAAGAAGGATCACGACGCACACAGAATCTCATCATGAACGAGCTGACAGCCTATACCTGAGATATGTACGGCTTGAGCTCACTGTTGATGACCCTCGCTCTGTCGACCACCCTCACCCACAGTCAACCACCCTCGCTCACAAATCGGACATTCCAGACCTTCCTGACCGGGCCGCCCGAACGAGCTCAAGCAAGCTATTCGCAGCCTCGCCCTTGACAACACTACTGGTGAGAGCACGTGGCCGGAGCTTGTTCCCCTGAATCATCTCGTTCTCACCGGCGTCGCGTTCAAGATCGCAAATTACAGAGCTGGATGAATGTTCGGGCGTTCTCGGTTCCGCCAATCGCGGTGACTCTTCAGCAGCCTCTCGCGGATAGTCGTCTACAGGACGAAGAGGCGGACTACTGGGAAGCTCCTCCCGTTCGGTCTCCGTACCTTTGCTTTCGGCGAGGGTGCTATCTTCATCATTCCACCTGGCAGAGAACGCGGTGGGTGCGATTTTCGGTATGGGCAATGTCGAAAGAGCGCGCACAGCGGGTCTAGGACCCGACGTCGCTCGGGCGCGCGCCAGAGCAACTCGAGACTCGGGAGATATGGCGGTGGTTTCACTGCAGTCTGGTCGTACGGTCGACGAGGACCGTGGGGACGACGACATCGCGGGTAAGCTGGGCGAGGAAGATCGAGCGTTTGGCACCTGCAGTCGTGCAAGCGGAGTTGTGATCTGGTTGGTTTGTATCTTGTAGAAGGCGAGCTGTAATCGCGTGCGCAGGGCCTCTGCTCTCTGGGGTCATGTTAGTACATAGTGGCCGCCATTCGAGCACGACTTGTCTACCTCGAGCATCATCTCTTTCCTCGCATCCTCCTTGGCAGCGGCGACCTGGACAGACACGTCCAGCTCCTCAATCATTTGCATGTTGTCGTCCTCTTGGGAGGAGCGGTTGTTGTCAAAGTCGATCAAGCTTGACATGCTGAGGCTGACCTGAGATGCTTCTTTAACCAGGTTTGGACGCAGAGGCGGCACGAGCTGGGACGTGTTTTGCGTCAAGCTGACGGCGTGCTAGATGCATGGTCAACAATCATTCTCGGGCCTGAGTGACAGACCTACCATGGTGTCCAATGTCTGTTGACTGGGCTCTTCGTGTATGTGAAACTCGGCCTCGACCTGGGATGGTTCTTCGTGCGAGTCACTGAAGGAGGCGAAGGATGTGTTCAGAGTCGATTTGCTCCAAGTCATCGATGGCTGCGCACTGTGCTCGATCTCAGACAGCGCATCGCTCTGCATCTCCGTGACCTGCGACAGAGTGTGCACACTGATTGCTTCCTGCGAGTCGGCCTGTGCAGATTCATATACCTCTTGCAGTTTGCGTTTCTGACCGGCTCGAGGACTAGTGAGAGGCGACCTGGCTGGGGAATCCCTTCGCGAAACAGGGTCGGCAGCCTGTAGCCCTCGACACGACGGCTTTGAGAGTTGTTGTAGAGGCGCGTTGGGGTCTTTTGGCCCGAGGACGCGTCTGGTGGGGGAGGCCGCGGTGGTCATGTCGGACGAGACAGGATCCGAGCTATAAGCAAAGGAGATTTCAGAGATTGATTATGGCGATAGGAGACACCAGAGCACAAAGCAACAGACAGAATACCAGTTGTGGTGGTCGCGTTGAAAGTAACGAGGCACGCAATAACATGGAATGAAATGCAGGTGCAAAGGCCCGAAGATCAACCAAGCGTCAATCTTCGGGCTCAGACCTTCGGGCCATGCCACGCTTGGAGCGCGCCCAATTGGCCGCGTTGGTTTTAACGTTGGGGCCCTGCAGGTTTTAGCAAATCGCGTTAAGTGGAGCTGATCCGGGGAAGCTCTCAGCTCGCCTACGAGGCTCGCCGAGGGTGCGTACTGGGTGCAGTGAGCTTCATGCCGAGATCAGCAATAGTCGGGCAAATTGCGTATTCATTGACGCGAGAGCTGTTCAGGATGGTAGCATTAACTAAGCAATGTTATATGATATCGCAGGACCCCCACAGCAAGATGCGCGGTCATGAGTGACTGCTCTTGTCCAGCACCCCTGAGACACGCAGCCTCGCCAGTGAGCCCATTGCTTCAAGCACTGCGACCTGCCTGTCCACGACAATATTGCTGAGATTTCAGCATCAATCACCTCGTTAGTTACCGGCAGTACCCGTCCACAAGCGCACTGGCGGCTGATTAACACGACTTAACCGTACTTGAAATACCCATGCCTAGACTTGAGACAGTGGATTGTGCGCCCGGATGTTGGGTAAGGATCAATTGCCAAGTAGTCGCGAGGGTAGTCTGCGGATGCAGCTTGGTCCCGCCATGAAGCATGAGATCGGACGAAAGCTTTAGTGGTGATAGCGTACTGACCCATGAAGAGTGCAGAGTAGATGGCTGTAAGCAGGAGAGCAGTATGTCTTTCTGGAGCCATGCGTGTTTGCTCTGAAAGTTGATGTGCGGATTGCTACACCAGGTATTCCTTCCATTCGTCACCCGCAAAATCGATGCCCTCATCCTGCATATGGCGACCCAATTCTCCGTTCAATTACAGGAAATCCTCCTATTTGTCCGCGCAGTCTTGTCGGTTTTCTGGAATGAACCAGTTTTGGCTCATCTATGCGTGCGGAAGGGCGCCTTCAGCAAGCTCGTCATATCTCCCACCGTGCTGTAGGAAGATGTATGCTTGCATGAGGCCGTGTAAGGAGGACTCCATATGCCATCTGTATCGTAGTGCAAGGGAACGGGGAATTGCTCCGAGGTACAAGCACCCAGGACAATGATGTCTTCTGCCCATTCATCCTCTCCTGAGTTCAGGACGCTTTGTCGAGCATGGTCAACAGCGCACTGGGAGATTTCTGCCCAAATCACCGATGATTAAACACTCACTGCGCTTGCCTCCATCAGTGTTCATAACTCGATGGACTCATGACAATCGACAAGAGAGGATGAATGGGCGATAGCACTTTGCCCCTCGAAAGACTCCCAGCTGGAATCTGTGCTGGCTCTCGCACTCTGATTCATCTACATGGCGGACAACCAGTGATGAATACGACAAGGGCATGATCATGAACAAGCCCGTTCCAATTGCTAGGGTGTTATCTCCGGGACCGGTCGCGCGCCATTGGCTCTGCTGCTCTGGCGAACGGGACAAAAATGATTTGCCGCTCTTTGCGAAAATGAGACGGAGCGAGGGTCACAGGGATGATGGCATTGCTTCCCTATTGGAATCGAGCATTCATTCAGCGGTCAGAGACACTAATAGCCATTGTGCCATCAGCCCATGCAAGCTACCTCTCATGCGCTTTTGTGATCCTGGAACCTGTCCGGTGGAAACTGCCTCACACAGTACAGATCTTGATACTCCCAGCGCCCTCAGTCGACGCAACTAAAATGTCTCTGGCTCCTCGGCACCGTTCGCTTCCAGATCCGGAATCTCAAATCCCTCCTCTGTGCTATAGAGGATGGTCTGGATGTTCTTGATCAACCCGTTCTCATCTTTTTCGAGGGAAGGATCTTGTTCGCAAGCGGTTTGGAGTAGCAGCTCGATGTCTCTCAATTTGCTAAAGTAGAAGTCTCTCTCCTTCTCCAAACCGCTGATTGCCTCCTTGAGTTGATCGTTTTCAATCTTCAATGCGGCGGACCCGACAGTGGCGGTCCCTGAGGCTCGTGGCGCTGGTCGGTTGACGGGTGTGGTCCCTGTCCTCCGTGTTGTACTCGACCCTGTGCTGGCTCTCGGTGCTGCAGCGGGCGTGGCTGCAGGTGCGCCGGCGGCCTTGCGTCGTGCCACAGCATCGTATTCGTGACCAGGAAAGTATTGGTCCCAGTATCTTTTTGACCACTGAAGGAATTCGAGGTTATCTTGCATTTTGCACTTCACAAGAGACTCGACGGGGACGGTTCGATCGATGCCATGCTTGGTGAAACAATCTTTCAGGCGACCGTCAGTCGGGGTTCGATTCGAGGGTAACGCGCCCCGTTTCGAGGAGGAACATACTTTGTAGTATCTTGAAGTTCTGTATGTAGGCATATTCCGTATTCACATTGAACTTGACTCGGGCCATTGGAACATCAACTATCATGTGATTAGCGCGCACTCATGTACACCGCCGGTGACGTACGGAAGATGGAGTCGAATAACTGGCAGAGAGCGGCGCTATCGACAAGCGGTCAGTGTCATGAAGTCCAATGTTGGAGTATGCCATACCCTGTCCCACATTGCTCTACCTTGGTGATGTTGAGTTGTAGTAGGCCATTTAGCCAGGCGAGGAGTTCTTGCCTGCAAGTCAATTAGCGATGCGCATTGAGAGGCGGGTTTGGCAAGAAGATGGCCGACCTTGACTCGCCCATCGTTGTGCGCAGGCTAACTACTGTAGAGAAGGACAACAGCACAGTAATATCAAAGGCGAAAGGTAGCTGATCAAGCCAAGACAGAGATTTTGTGTCAGGATAACAGAATGCGGGTTTTGTTGCGGCGGCGGTTGCTGCGCAGGGAGGACGAGGACGCCGTGTTGACCTGCAACCGCCAACGCGGTCCCTGAATTTTGGGGATCGAGGGCGAGAGGGGCATCGCCTGGCGCTAATTTGCTACGGGGAAGTGCAGGATCCCTGGCGTCCCCACTGCCTGTAAACAGAGCGTCACGTGAAAATCAAGGCTGAGGCACATGTCAAAACACCTCCAAACCGCTTTTCGTTGCCATTGTTATTACATTGAAAATGTCGTTGCATCTACCTCCCTTCAACCGGCCAGATTCAACCATCATTTACTTCGTCGCTTCGCTCGCATCACTCGCAGGTTTGGCTTTGCCCTCATCGTCTCCCTTCTTCACCGATCCTCCTGCTTCGGCTTCGGCTGGAGACTTATTGGCTTGCTCGTCCGGGACTCCCTTCGTTTGCGGGTTTTGGCCTTCTACATCTGGATGTGGTGGCGCGACATCTGATGGGTTGATCTCATTGCCTTGCTCATCCACCAGTTTTGTCCGCGTCTCGTACTTGGTCTGAAATGACGCTTTGCCCTCTGCCAAAAGCGCCTGGACTTGCGCCTCATCTAGCAGATTCCCATCCTGATCGCGATATTCGACCTTTTCCTCTTGCGCTATCACTCTCCCTTCGCCGATCTGCTGAGAAATTGCGGCTCCAAGCGTATCTTTTCGCTCAGAGTCGATTTGAGCCGACGGCACTGTGGGTGTTGCGTCTCCAAACGGTGGAGGAAGTGGTGTTGAATACTTGGCATACTATCATGTGTTAGCGTAGACCATTCTCGTCAACACAACCACTTACATCAGTATGGAAGGTGTTGCAGTCGAAATCCCAGGTATCAAACAACTTGACAGCTCTGCACTGTTCTTGTGTCCACGGATTGCCGTAAATCAGAGGAGCGTACAAAGTGAAAACACCAATGGCGAACGCTACAAACGCGACTGCGACGCCCCAGGCAAACTCAGGTCGTTTCTTCAGTCCGAGAAGAGAGATGCGATTGAAGACAAAGTCGAAGATCTGGCACATGGCCATGATGGCAAAGTAGAGGGCCGGAAAATAGTGGTGTAGGAACAACTGTCTTGCCATCAGGTAGAAGGGGAAGTAGTGGAATGCCCATCCCAGAACGGTCTGGCCGACTTCGTAGTCGAACCGCTTGAAGTTGACGTTGGAATAGTCGTTGCAACTGCGTTGCCAGCGGAGGATGGAGATTCCTTTGAAGACCACGTAGGTCAAGATGGCCAAAGTCGATGGCCACCAGATGGCCGGGTTGCCCAGCAAATAGACTTGGCGATGGTGTTTGCCCCAGAAATTGATGCCACGTTTGAGAATGGGCCACGAACCTGGACGAGAGTCCCAAGCGTGTGACTCGACCAAGCCCGCGTTGGTCCTCCACATGACCTTCTGTAGTTCCCAGAACTTGCCGAGGAAGCCGGGGTTTCTGTAGTTGACCTTCTCGGCCGTTTCATTCAGCATTGGGTGATGGTTCTGCTCGATATACCACACGCTGTTGGGAAGAGTGCCGCCCTTGGCGCAGGTAACCTCCTGCTGCTCGAAGCCCCAGTCCGGCAGTTTGACCTTGTGCGAGAAAAGCACACAGCCAGTCATGACGTGCACAAGCTTGAACTTGGACTGGATCGTTCTCAGTCTCTTCTTCGCCTCATCGCCATCGGACATAGACTTGACAATCTCGACGCGAAATAGATCGTTGGCATCGCCTTCAAATCCTTCATAGCCGTAAGCTGTAACTTCCTGTTGCCACTCGGCCTCGGTTACGGGAGGTCGGACATCATGAGAATGGACTCGACGATGGGTCATGAGGTGATACAGCCTGATAACGTCGCCGTCCTTGATGGGCTCGGTCAAGTTGCCCCATGCCTGGGGACCGGTAACGGTGACATTGTCTGGAGTGACAGGTTGAGTCTGATTCTCAAGAAGGAAGATGTTGTTCTCGTCCTTGTGAGGGTACAGGGTGACTTGCTGTTGTTTGCTGCCTGCAGGGTACATGTGCGGGTGAGAGTGGAGATAGCCACCTTGAGTATTGTGGTGTCGCAACGTTACCTCGCTCCCAAAGAGGATGTCCGCGGGAGTGTCCGCCATGCCCTTGTTGTTCAATGTTGCCTGGAATTCGGAAGACATGAACCCATCTCCATCACCAGGGTTGACCAGGCAGAGAAAGTGGATGCCGAACATGCCGACGTAGAATGCCACCGGGATGACGATGAGACAGAAAACCCGCGCAAAAAAGTGCTTAGCCCACCTTCTGGGAGTTACGTTGACACTGTCTCCGAGCAAGACCCAGAGCTGAAGAAGGGTCAAGCTGCCGACCCAGGCAATGGTGAACAGACCAACCCACTTGACGCTGACAGTTGCACCCAGGCCGAGACCGGTAGCCGCAAGCCAGAACCACCAACTAGCATCGAAGGCGCGTTCGGGACCCAGCTCATTCTGATTTGAGAAACATGTCCATGCCAGAGCGGTGAAAGCGGTGCAGATGACCAAGGGCGAATCGAGAAGAATCAAGCGGGATTGTGTAACCAAGCCATTTTCAAAGATCAAGAGTGCGGCACCCAAGCAAGCCGTAACTGTCCTGCACCCGTATGCTTTTAACGTCAGAAACATGGTAGGAATGGTAAGGACGCCGAGAATCGCAGGTAGCAGGCGCATTGACACGTATGGCACCTTGGGCTCGAGGTAGTCCTTTCCGATGTCCTTGAAGTCGAAGTCACCATTGAAGCCGGCCAGCCAGCCAGCAAGAGTGATGAGGAGCTTGGCAAGAGGAGGGTGGACGTCCATGAAGAATTTGCCCTTGATGTATTTTGTCGCAAAGCCACCAAAGCTACGGATCTGTCAGTGAAATGTTTCCCAGCTGCGCAACCACCAGGACTTACTGGACCTCGTCAAAGACGACACTGGTAGGCTGGTAGATCCTGAACAAGCGGACCACAGCAGCGAGCAGGGTCAGCAGCGCCATAACCTGGTAGTCGCTCATGGGTAACAAGAACACATCGTTGTCTGTGACACCCTCTGATGCATAGCTCTTCTTCTTGCCAGGCTGAGTCCGAACAACATCACTGCCGGTCTGACTCGGTGTTGATGCAGGGACAGCTTTGTGAGAGGCCGCATTCTTCCGCGTAGTTGTCGCCGCCATCGTGGGCAGACACGCGAGTCCCGATCTCAGTAGAAATGGATGGTGTAGTAAGGTGGTGGGAGAAGGCTGAACGGGGTGAGGAGGTCAAAGGCCTTTTTCGGCCCCTTCGTGTTAGGATGCTAGGGGGAAAGTCAGGATGAAAAGAAAGACAAGAAGAGAAATCTTGGTCAAAAGACCATGGCTAGAAAGAAGAAGACAGCACGAAGGAATAACACCCAAGGGGGCTCCAAAGTGAAGACTGGAAGTCCAGGTACTCAGGAGAAAGTGCACAATTGACAACTGTTCGTTATTGTCTGTCTCCGCACTGAAATGCAGCCAGCCCTGTGCTGCACGATGCTGCACATGCGCGTCGTATGATGCTAAGTTTAGGCGTCCCTAAGGTCCCTAAGCGTAGGGTGGCCTGCTCTCCCACACCAGTGACACTCCCCCTTTCAAAGCCGACTTGATCTCCACACGCTCAAGACTCCAGCCACAGGCGGCACTAGCCACATTTACAGATTTCCATCCAAGGTTCGCATTTTGCGCAACTTCCATGTCAACCTGCTCCAGCTTCAAAGTCCACGCACTTCACCTTTCAACAGCGGTCGCGGCGCATCCATGGTATCGAAGCCCTGCAGGATCCCAGTTTGATGACACAGAATCCAGCAAAGAAGTGAGGGGCAACCGTAGCAATTCTGCCCACCACTGGGCTGGTTCGGACAGCCATGGCCGCCAACGGGGTACCCGACCTCCCAGAGAGTGTCTCCAAGCCCCCAGAGGGCGTGGTCCTACCGCCTAAAGACATCCGCGCAATCATAGAGAAGACTGCAGGCTACGTCGCCCGCAATGGATCCGTCTTCGAAGACCGCATCCGCGATAAAGAGCAGTCGAATCCGAAGTTCTCGTTCCTGTCGCCTCAGGACGCCTATGCGCCGTTCTACCAGTGGCGATTGTCGGAGGTCAAATCAGGACGTGGCACCGCTGTTTCTGCTGGGAGGACAGGCGACGCGACGCCTGTGCCCGAGAAGCCCAAGGGCCCAGAGCCGCCGCCAGAATTTCAATTCAGTGCGCGCATGCCGAACATCAGTGCCCTGGACCTCGAAGTCGTCAAGCTGACGGCACTACACGTCGCGCGCAAGGGCAAGAGCTGGATGACGGCACTATCGCAACGAGAAGCACGAAATTTCCAATTCGACTTCCTCCGGCCCCAACACTCCCTCTACAACTTCTTCCAACGCCTTGTCGACCAGTACACCATCCTCCTTCAGACCGGTCTCGAGGGCCAAAAAGCCGAGCAAGCACGTATCCAAGTCCTTCAAGCAAACCTCCAAGATCGCTTCCGGGTGCTAGCCTCCGCGAAGAAACGCTCCGAATACATTAGATGGCAAGAAACCCAAAAACAAAAGAAAGAAGAAGCAGAAGAGGCCGAGCGGATAGCATACGCTCAGATCGACTGGCACGATTTTGTCGTGGTGGAAACAGTCCTGTTCACCGAGGCAGACGAACAGGCCGATCTGCCGCCTCCGACGACGTTAAACGACCTACAAAGCGCCAGTCTCGAGCAAAAAGCGATGATGAGTCTGGCCCGGCCGGACATGCGCATCGAAGAAGCCATGCCCACAGACGACATGAACGGGTACGCGTACAACGATCCCTACGCGACCTATCCGCAGAACAACGGCTATGCCCCTGCCCCGGAGGCAGCACAGGCATACCCAGCGTACTCACCCTCTCCCTTCCCACCTCAACCGTCACCAGCCCCAGCACCCGTTCCCGTACAAGCTTATTCGCCCGCGCCTCCCGCAGCCGTTCCCTCACCACAGCCACCTGCCACCGCGTCTCCAGCTCCTCAACTACCGGGGCAACCCCCGATGCGCATCAAACAGGACTACATCCCGCGTGCCCAGGCCCGAGCAGCACAATCCCGCGTCGCCACGGCCCTGTGTCCCAACTGCGGCCAACAGATCCCGGTCGCAGAACTCGACTCGCATCTTCGCATTGAATTGTTGGATCCCCGCTGGAAAGAACAGCAGTCCAAGGCAGCCGCGAGGTTCAGCACGACGAATCTGGGAGGCACAGATGTGGCTGCTAACCTCAAGAGGTTGAGAGCGCGAACGGATGGGGTAGTGAACGATCCCGTGGCAGAGGCAGCCGCTCGTGTGCTGGGTGAGCAGGAAGAGGAAGAGAGGAGGAAGAGGTTGAAGCTGGACAGTCAACCTGCAGCGGCACAGTACTCTGGTCTTGGTGTTGCAGGCCACCCGGTGGCTCAGCAGGGCCAAAAACCGGACGTGCAAGAACAGATACGCCAAATTCACAACAAGTACAAGTCATGAGACGAAAAGCTTGGACTGAAGGAGGTACGGTGCTCAATCGTGAACATGGAGCAGCCTTAAAGAGTTTGCTAAAGCTTCGTGCTTGAAGCCATTCAATAAAATGTATTATCGTATCCACATACTTTGTACGATGTGGAAGATGAGCCCATCTCATCACGGGAATAACCACTAACCGACTCTTAGAGTTATTCCTTCATACAGATGTTCCGTGATTACATATTGTTCCCATGCGCCTTGCAAAACCCGCACTGCTCGAGCACTGTTTGAGGGCTTTCAAGCTAGCGGAGTCCAGCTCTGCTCGTTGTGCATCAATACAACGATAACAATCATGAAGAAACTTGCTTGAACACGAAAGCAGTAGAACGGATGGGGTATCCGATAGTTTACACACTTAACATAGAGAACAATGTGGAAGCCTTCCAGAAGCCGTAGACGGCTTGGGGAACAGGCAGCACATCCAGCAAATCAAACATGTCGCCTTCGAGATCAAGTCGGAACGGTGGTCCTATCATGGACTGTGTTACCATTCGCAGCCGGTCCTAGAGTGGTGTTTGTGGCTCCAGAACCCAGTCGAGCGGGTTGATACGTGCCGGATCGCTCCTCCTTCGACTGCCGTGAGGCGACAGGGGAGATCGAGCGGTCAGGAATCACGGCTGTTGGGCTGACAACGGGCCGGGTGAGGTCCTCTTCAGGGCGGTACGCAGAAGCTTCGAGATCGTCGAAGTCCTGACCTGGGTTTGCAGTCTGGTATTCGCAGCTCTTGATGAACCAAAAGAAGCCGGCGGCGAGAATAGCTCCAAGCAGCGGTCCAACCCAGTAGATCCAGTGTTCACTTGGGAAGCGGCGGTTAGCCACGCAAGGACCGAAGCTTCGAGCTGGATTCAGTGATCCACCGGTGTAGTAGACGCCTGCGTCATGTCAGGAGTGTCCTCTGTCATTTGTGAAGATCTGCCTACCGCCTAGCTCAGCGATGAAGAGAGACAAGCCGATACCGACAGGAGCGAGATATGTCCCTTTGTGTTTCTCGGCCTGCGGAAAGTTGTCAGCGATCAATCACCCCAGGTTATGAGGCCACTCACGGCAAGCATAATGATGGTGAAGACAAGTTGAGCGGTGAGGAACTACAGCGGCGTTAGCAGGCTCTTCCGGCTCTCCCTCCTTTCAGGCGTACCATTTCAATGAAGAGACCCTGCGCCTTGCTTGTTCCCCCGCTAAGAGACGTCGTGACGGCAAGAGGCCCAGGAAACAGTGCCTTGACCAACCCCGCCGATGCCATAGCGCCAAGCATTTGTGCGATGAAGACAAGCCCACCACGAAGGAATGGGACGGCGCCGATCAGACACAGACCAAGAGTCACCTGGCAGATTATCAGTCCACGTCAACTCTTCCTCTGGTTTGCGTCACGTACAGCTGGGTTGAACAGTCCTCCTGAGATTCTGAAGAAGATCCATGCATTGACGGCGAGAGAGAAACCGAAGCAGAGGCTGATGTAGAGGAGTTGGATGGGGTTCGGGCCCTGCGGCAGATCCGTACTCTGCGAGCCACTTGTGGTTTGAGGAGTGTTGGCGACTTGAGTCCCGGCAAAGGCGAAGAAGCTGAATGACTGTCAGTCTTGACTCACAAGCGGTTTGGAGGTGAGGCTCACAGGAAAAGAAAGGTGCCGACAAATTCGCCGGCCATGGCAATGAAATGATTTCGAGGCTTGTTGGGGATTCTCATGAAGAATGAGGATGTCTTCGGGCCTTGCATTTTCTCGTCTGCACCAGCAGGTGTTGCTCCGGTCCTTGGTCCTCTGTGTCGACCAAAGACGCCTGGCATAAAGCCAGACTTGGGATTGATATTGTCCATTGCCACGGTTCGTTCCTGCCTCTTGAGTCACGCGCACCTGCTGGCCACGACCGGTAGGAGGAAGGTGCGACCACACTGGGCGGGAAAGAGTCGCTCACACACGAGGCTGCCTTCGCTCCCGTATCACTGCTATAACCAATGGATGCGGGAAGACTCGGTCACTGAACGGCTTCGGGACAATTCAAGGGCGACAATGAAGCCCAGTGCAAGCGGTCTAGGAGATCAAGGACGACGCAAAGACACATTCAGCTCCGAGATGGAACAGATAAGGGCCATTATGATCGACACGGCATCAAAAAGGTCATGGTGGCGCACCACCAGCGGCACACGAAGCAGCAGGTCATCAATGGAGCAAACTCTCGATCCCAGGTAAAGATTTGTGGAGGTTTGATAGTGGCTCTTGGAAAACCGATGTGGTGCATCGTCATATCTTAGGCGAATGGTCAAGGGATGAACCTAGACGAGCATCGACTGCTGAGATGGAGAATCGGCGTAGGCATTTTGCATGACGAAAGAGGCACCCTTGTACGGAGTCGATTGGGCATGGCGCCCTCCAGCCCAGCCTTAGCCGCAGACCAGTGGAAGCCAATGGCTCTATGGGGTGAGCCTAAGCTTGAAGAGGAGGCAAATGGGGGCGACTAACGCCCGAGCCAAGTGATCCCGAGTGTTTAGCGATCAAAAAGTTCTGCTATGGCACTTGACGTGGGCTGGCGGCACGGGCTGGAGGAATGGGCTGGAAGACATCGGGCACAGGACGTTGTTTCTCGGGCTTCACTCGTGCACGCTTCAGTTAACTCGTATCAACGTACCCTGGGCCACCACAGGCATACACGGTGCTGGGTCGTGCATGATTGAGCGTGTCATACGAGGCAGCCGACGGGTCAAAATGTCATCACTGCTCAAAGTCCACACGCGAGCATTTGCTGTACGACGCGCAATCTTTGATTGCCAAAAGTCTTGAAGTCAATAGTAGCACTGAGTCACCGCTTGGAGCCCCCCAACATGATTAAGGTTTCAGACGGCAGCACGCACGAGTTGATGATTGTATACAGGAATAGTGGACACCCGATGTCCTCGTTGTCTACTGGGCAGGTGCTCACGGGATCCATTTATCGCTCTCTTCGGTTACGGAGTCCTGGGTATCTTGTACAGACTAATCATGTGACTCGTACTTGGCTCGTCGGGCGCTGAAGTTGGGCGACATCACGTGATGACTTTCGTCCTTGTCCCGCATCTGATCTCCGAGTATGTCGATCCAGACCAGGCTGCATTGACAGTTGCCAACTTCAACTCGGAGAACCATCCTTCCTAAAGTCTTTGCCATACTGCTTCTATCCACCTTCGCTGAGAGCCTCTTATCAACGGCGTGCTGTCCTCCTGCGCAACGTCGAGGGCGTGTCAATGCATGGAGTCTTGTTCCGTGTCTCCTGACCTCCCGTGGCAATAGCCTCCTCCTATACACCTTACAACCATGCGTCCATTTCGATTCCTACTGTTACTCATATTCTTCGTTGCTCTCCCCATTGCACTGACCTGCTGGTCATTTCTCGCGGCCGGCGACGAGAGCCCGGCAGACTCATTCAATGCCGGCTACAACACCAGACCCAGTCGCTTGAGGGCGCTTTTCTCATTCTCAACCCCGTCCTCCTTGTTCCCACCCTCGGCTGTCATTAGCCTCACCAACGACAACTCGACCTTCTTCTTGGCACGGCCTGCTGCCTTTGGACCAAGCCTGCCATCGAGGGGGCTGAGCGGACAACTATGGGTAGGAAAGGGTTTTGGAGACGATGCTTTATTGAAGGAGGAGAACCTCCATGTAGCAGGATGGGAACTTGGTTGCTCAGACGTTCCAGGTTGGGCTGAAGAAAGGGCGCAGAGCATCAAACACGTCACGGCTCTCGAACATGATGAGAGAAAAACAAAATTACGCCGGAGTCTGGACAATGTTGGGACGGAACACGACAGCGCCGCAATGGATGGGTCCTTTATCGAAGACGATGGCACTGACGACTATCTACACCATCCACTCCCCGATTCGAACCCCGCACCCTCTGGTCAACCTGGCGAGCCTGCAAAAGCCGAGTCGGACAAGAACAAGACGCCCACTCATGCCGATATTGAGTCCTTACAAGAAAGCGCTGCTATCGCAGGAAAGATCGTTATGCTCAGTCGGGGCGGTTGCGGTTTCCTGGAAAAGGTCAAGTGGGCTCAGCGTCGTGGAGGCATCGCCCTGATCGTTGGAGACAACGAAAAGGGTGCGCAGTTGACGATCATGTATGCCAAGGGCGATACTTCCAATGTCACGATACCGGCACTCTTCACGTCATACACATCTGCCCATCTGCTGTCTTCGCTTGTCCCAGCCGAAGAGAAGGACGACGAAGAAACGAACACCCCGAGCTCGGGGAAAACTTCAAACCAGAACCAGGACGCAAACAAGCCTGTTTTTACATCTACGAAGCCCGCGAGCGAGCGAGCGACCACCGTACCAGGGGACAAGGATGACGCAGACAACAGCTGGGTAGGTAATGTATTGTCCGCCATGGGCCTGAACGACAATTCTCCGTTTTCACAACACGAGGACAGTCGCCGACCCCCCAGCAGTGGGAATGTAGAATGGGTGCTAGTCGAAGACTGGAAGGAAGAAGCGCGCCCAGACCCTTTGGAGGAGGCAAATACGCTCCCTATTCTTCCCACGTCGTCTGCACCGGCGCCCAGGCCTAAAACCACGAGTGCAAAACGGCCGGGCGAAGATGACTTCGTCATCGGTGTCCAAGATTGGCGAGACGCTGATCTCGTTGCGCCGAAGCCTGCAACTACCTCATCGAGTAATGCGGGAAAGGCAGGAAAGGATATTGTCCATGATTCTCTCAGCTTGGTGAAGACGTCAAGCAGTCCAGAAGCCACTCTCAAGGGCGGCAGCATCACTCCTGGAAGTGGAGAGTATGACCACGAGAAATCTGAACCTCCGAACCGCTTCAACCGTGGCAAAGCTCCTTCAAACCAAAGATATGGCCATGACACCGACCGTCAAAGTAGGGAGAGGGCCTCGTGGCTCGATGTCTTCCGGTCTGGCGACTCTCCAAGGGCGTCGAATGGAGGTTCTTTAGCAGAGCAAAGCAGTCACGGAGAAAAGGTTCAAAGCGCCAAATCAGCATCACCGGAAGATGACAACGAGCGCGCCGGCTTGTGGGTAACCCTCACCCCTACCAGCGTCTCGACCAGCCCATTCTTCGACACTCTGCTCGTCCTGGTCGTCAGTCCCCTGATGACTTTGACGGTTGTGTACGCACTGCTACTCCTCCGCTCGCGTATCCGACGAAGAAGATGGCGTGCACCGAAGTCCGTGGTCGACCGACTACCAGTCCGGACGTACCATACCATGACCACAGCCTCGACAACATCGGCACAAGCATCTCCAGAACATGCATCACCCACCTCTCCACTCCTTATTTCCACAAGTCAAAACGTCTCTCAGCGCCCTCGGCCACGCTCGCAGACCACTGCAGGCAGTTTCGCGGGTGGAACCAGCGCCGAAAGTCAGTTTTTGCAGTCCCGAAGCCCCCAGAACGAGAAGTTGACCACCTCCCCGAAACCTGCAAAACGGAAACGCTACACGGGCCGGCAGGTTGAATGCGTCGTTTGCCTCGAGGAGTACGTCGATGGCGAAAGCCAAGTCATGTCCCTCCCCTGCGGACATGAATTCCACGCCGAATGCATCACGCCGTGGTTGGTGACTAGGCGGCGGACTTGTCCAATCTGTAAGGGCGACGTAGTACGGAGCATGGCCCGCCAGCGGGCGCCACATGTCGCCGAGGGTGACGACTCGGAGGATAGCGGCGCGGAAAACGGCGTGCGCCTCGACGAGAGTACGAGCGATGATGTCCAGAACCGCGTCGCCCAGACAATCAACGAGGAGCCAAGTGCCGCCATACCCATCCCCACCGTCGGTCGAGAAGACGAGGACATCGAGCGCGGCCAGGACCCGGATGTTCCCCTGTTGGGAGGCGAGGGGTCCATGGAATCCTCCAGCACCATCACAACCACAACGGCGACTCCCAGAGGCGGCCTGACGCGACCACGGCACGGGCGAGACGGCGAAGGACAGTCCACGTGGAGGAATATTGTCAGCGGGAGCGTCAATCGCTTGAGTGGCGATACGCTGTGGAGGCAGACGCCCGTCGATCGGAATCGATGAGACGACCGGTGTGGTCGAGCCCGTGCGGCAGACGTCGTCATCGTTTTGATATACCCTCTTTTTTTTTGTCACATTAGCCTGGATGGACGGGGTGGGTTGAGTTTGGTAAAACGCCGCCTAGAGCGAACCACTACAGCTGCAATGGATTCTTGGATGCATTGTTGCATTGTTGCATAATTGTAGTTTTCCCATTTCTCGCATGGGATGAATTGTTCCTCGGATGTGTTGTTGCTGCACTGTGCTACGTTATCACCTCCTACTCTTTCCTCCCGTGGCTGCGTGACGTGTGCCACACCCATCTACAGGAGTTCCGATCGTTAAATTCGACAACGCTGGTAAGGACTATGGTGATTTCGGTGTCGTTTCTAGACCCAGGCACGACCAAATACTGGACAGATAATCGTTGCTCTTCATTGGGTATATCGAAGGTGAATAATATACAACACGTGGTGTAACATGGCAAGTCAGAAACTACATATCCGCTCGGTAAACATCGCGATGCGTCAGCTCATCTTCAAACCCCCCGCCCCGGTTCTGTTATGTCTCGCCGAAATAGATGCTGGTCGTACTACTACAGATGCATGACGAGAAGAGCAAAGTGTGCTGAACAAAGTATCTTGAAAAGTATACTGAGCGGCACGGCGCCCACCTTGGTGTAGGTAATTCACCGCACTTTGGGGAACGGCGTCCAATGTCCCGTCATGCTCGTCTTCTTTCTCAACTCGGACTGTGACTCCCGCTTCTGGACGTTCGGTGGTGCGGGCTCGGGAACACCCGTGGGATGTTCCTCGTCGACAAGGTAATGCCGAGTCTCTACGGCTAGAGCGCTCATGTCTGGTTTGTATGGTTGCATATTGGCCGGCATAACCCAGCCCTCTGGCGGCGGGATCTCGACCTTTTCGCCTGTTTGTCCGTCGACAATGAAGTGTCGGGCAGGCAGGATCTCGACGGCTTTGATGGGCTGCGTGTAGGTGTAGTAGTGATGGACGTGGATCTCTCTGGTGATTTCTTCTTGCACGATCTCGGTCTTGTTGTTCTTGATCACTTCGTGCGTTACTGCTGGCTTCACGACCTCCTCCACGTAGGTGTGTTCGGTTTTGCCTGGTCTGAAGCCGGCAGGGAGTAGCACGTGTTCATTCTTCAGCGCACTGGCGCCGGGCGACTGCACCGGTGCCGTGGCTCCTGCGCTTGGAAAGTCCGAGGTCGGGATGTAGTAGCGGGGGTTCAGGGGAGAGGGATCGTTGGGTGCTAGTGGTTGGTGTCGAGGTGTTCGAGGAGGGTTGGTGGGACTCTGAATGCTACCTGCCGATGATGAGCGTTCGCTGTCAGAGTCTAGTTTGGTGTTGCTCTCCGTTAGAGAAGGTTTGGGTCTTATAGAAAGCAGTCCGTGAGTAGGCGGTGCTGGCTTTAGCTCTGCAGGAGGTTCTTTGGTTGGTCTCGGTTGGTCTGTCGTGCTGGCAACAGGCTTCCTTCGTAACGACGAGCGCCGCTCAGGAATTGTCTGAGGTAGGTGAGGTAATGCAGAGGTGTTTTGCTGGTTGGAAGGCGATCCTTGCGAATCAGCGACAGCTTGGGACATCGCAAGAGTCGTGGCAGTATTCTTCATAGCAGGTTGCGAAGAACGTTTCCGCAGACGACTTCTAGACCGGGACCGGGGGACGGGATGGGCAGACTCATGATTGACGGTGGGAGCCGCTGTAGCAGGGCGCTGAACGGGATCTTCCAGCCATTGGTGTGGCGGAGAGTTGTCGCTATGACTGAGGTGTCGGTTTCGGCTGCGTCTTCGACTTCGACTTCGACTGTGACTTCTCTGTTGCTCGGTCTGCATGACGTAGGGAGCAGGAAAGCACTTCCAATTGGCATGGCCCGTGTCTGAGAAACGATGAGTGGGCGTCACGGCAGTGGCCATGACAGCTGCACGAAGCTTCTAGCAAAGAAAAGTGGTGCCCCTCCACAAACTTCTGGTGTGGTGTTGACCTACTGGGTACCGAGCAGAGATACATGAGGCAGATCGAAAGGGCAGATCCCCAGCAGCAGAGACACGGGACACACAACCGACGACACCCCTTCCACGCTACCCACCTCCTCTGACCTCCTGTCTGATATCTGCGTCGCGCAAGAAGGGCTCTCTCTCGGCTCTCCATGGCTAGGCTGAATTGCTCGAAGCGATCCCCCTCGTTTGCACGCACGGATCCAAACTTAAATCATGGTCAACGACGACCTTACCCAACGCGGGCGAGAAAGAAAGACATGGCTCAGGGATACCCATGGAGCCGAAGCTGAAGTCAAGAACAAGAACCCTGGCGAACCCACCATTGCCACGGCCACGCGTGAGGATTGGACCATGATCGACGAAAACTGGGCAGGTGGCTTGATCAGGAAGAGCAGGCGGATGCTCAGCATGGGCGAGCACGGGACGTGGCTTTCACTAACTAGGGGAATGGCCTAGGGCACGTTCTAGCTGCCAGAGCGTGGTGCGCATGGGCGTGGATGGGAAAGTGGCGGGTCTCCGGGGGCCGTGTAGGGATTGGCCCGGGTTTAACTAACGCAAGCCACGCACTGAACTGATGAGGTCAACGCCAACGGCTGCCAGGGAGAACTCCAGGGAATGCCCGAGAGGCTTGAACGGCTGTCCGCCTGTGGCTTGAACCCCAACGTCAGCACCGTGGTCTGTTTTGACTTCAATCATCATCACTCGCCACAATCCGGATTCGACTACGAGATGGACCATCCTCCCCATTGCGGTTGGGCGTATCATGACGCACCCGGTGCACCCTGCGCACCCTGCGCACCCCTGTGTGCGAGTAAGATCGAGTGTGGCTTGTGCCCTCTGCACGCACGGGATGCACGACGGCCTTGGAAAATGCAACACGACTCTATGGTGCCATCCCATGACGGCACGGTCAACGGTTGAGAAAGACACCGTTGAACTCCGTGGCAGCGATGGAAACGGCCCACGTAACTTTCAGCGGCGGTGAGTGTTCCTTAGGCTCCCTCGGAGATCGCTCTACGGCGTCCACAGAACGAAAATCTGAGATCTGAATCCAAAAATGCAAAGCTTGTTCGGTGACGATCTGACACCTCTTTGGGTATATGCAGGACATTTTCGGCGAATTCTAGCTAACGCATCTGATCGACAGATGAAAGGAGACGCTGATAGCCGAGATCAGTCCCAATCACGTCGATTCCCTTTGTCGACACTTCCCTAAGTTCGATCTCTTGCGGGTCACTGACCTCACAACGAGGGGCCCGGTCCAAGCTTAGCTTTGCTCAATATGATATCACAACCTTGCGAGATGGGGCAAAGTATGGTAACGTCTCATATGGTCCTCCGGTGTATAAATGGTCGCTAGGTACCTCGAATTTCTCTTTCGGAGGTAGATCACATCAATTACACTTTCACCTCTTTGTCAACATCAGAAACGACCACATACATTCACAATGGAAGCAGCAAGAGCCGCCGTGCAGAAACTTACCGGCAATCGGGGCCACCATACCTCAGTCGAAGAGACTGTTGTCCCTGCCGTCACACATGAAGCCGTCAAGCCTCACCGCCACGAGGAAGTCACCCAGGCAGTCGACCGTGAAGTGCATCAACACCACTATCATACCACAGTGCAACCTCTTACCCACCAAGAGCGGCTCCCAGAGAAGCACACTCATAATATCCTCCCGGCTGAACATCGCGAGTTTCACCATGACGACGAATCGGCAACCAAGGAAAGGCTCGCTGCTGAGATGGCCAATTTCAAGAGCCACTCCACAACCCACGAGACCGTCCACACCCAAGCTGCAGCACCCACCGTGACTGGCGAGCACGTTCACCACCATGTCCACGAGACCGTCGTCCCGGTTGTCCACAAGGAAACCATCCAGCCTGAAGTTGTCCACACCACCATCCCTGTCCACGAGTAAGTCTGTCCGCTTTAAATGAATTTCCCGGTGTTGACTTTCTGCAGGACACATCACGCTGCTGCTCAGCATCACGGACTGTCTGCCCTGCCCATGAAGACGCTTGACGAATTCAAGGCGGCAGGTGGTGCCTTGGTTGGTGGTCACCACTCAAGCCATGAGGAGTATGAGGGTGCACCTCGTCCCTATAATGACAAGCTTGCCACGACCTTCGACAAACTTGAAGAAAAGTTCCACAGTGGTCATCACTCCACCGGCACCACAACCGGCACCACTGGTCTCGGCGATCACAACAAAGCCCATCGTCCTACCGACTCCGGTGTTGGAGGTGTCGGCAACGATCTTACATCAGGAGGCATTGGCAGGGATCATCATCACCACGAGAACGGCAGCAGCGTTGGCGACAAGCACCTTGGGGCCAGAGGTGCTGGCCCTATGGGCACCACCGAAGGAGCAAAGCCTAGCCTGGCTGATCGGATGAATCCTCGTGTCGATGCGGATGGCGATGGAAAACGCGGCTTCATGGACTAGGGTGAATATTCTATGAGAGCGCGGAGTTGATGATTTTAATGAAATTTCTTTCCGTCGTCGTCGGCCCCTTGGAAAAGTACTCCAAAAGTCCGACATGGATATACAGACTCCAGCAATGAGAAATGTTATATACCTGACGAAGAACTATAATGTCAATTTTGTAACAATCTCTTGAAATGTAGATTTGGTCGCTGCCACGCTTCCTGCACTTCTACAAAATTATCTGCCACCACCTCGTCTCGCACTGCTTCTTCTCGCATTACGCCGCGGACGACTGCAGCTTACAAATTCCGTGCCGGGACGAAGTCCTCAAACGCGCAGAGGAGCCTGAACAGCTCAATCAGAGAGCGCGTTCTCAATGCGGGGTGGAAGCTTTTCTTCACATCCGCGCTCCTCGCCGAGGAACAACAGCGTGCTCCATCACCTGGACATCGCCTCGGATGCCAGGCCGTCGTAGCCAGAGAACGATCGGGCAACGATCTGTCATCATGCAGAAGCTTGATCACCTAATAAACAGGCTTGAAAGGTCAGTTCGTTTCCGTGGACGTGGGGATTGAAAAACGTCTCCATGCACGTTTTGCGAGAGCAAATGAGTTTCGTCTCTCACGTTCGTCGCATCCAATAATTATACCTGACCTGCGCGATCCCAAGCACCAAGCTATATAAGAGTCTTGAAGCTTCAGCGATTTTCCTGAATCCAGCTTTGAGACTCACATTGCGTGAAGCTGTATCGCAGGTTCCTTGACTACATTACTTCATTCTTAGCTCTCCTGACGACCGGCTCATCAACAGCTTACCACCATGTCTGGTGAGATTATCCTGTACGATCTTCCCTCGAAGCAGGGATTCGCTTGGAGTCTGAACCCTTGGAAGAGTAAGTCATTGTGGTGTCGGGGTTGGTGTCGATGATGTCTTACTTTTCGCTAACGTCTGCGTCGAGCTCGGCTCACGTTGAACATCAAGGGTGTGCCATACAAGACCGTGTGGGTGGAATATCCCGATTTGAAGCCGACATTCCAGAAGCTGTAAGTGTGCACGTGAACACTGCTGGTAAAGCACAGATGCATCGCCATCCAAGCAGTCAGTCAGTCAGTCGGTCTGTACAGATGTCAAGGCAGATCACTTTACTCGCATCCTTTCGACCCTTTCACCCTTTAGTTGTCGGGATCAGCACGGCGCACTCCATACTGCGTGTCTCAATGATGGTCGCGAGATTCATATCATCTTCATCAATCACATACCTACACACCCACTCACTTACTCATTCACGCACAGGGGACTTCCGCCCAACGACTCCGGCCCCTACGAATATACTTCCCCAACGGTCCGCCTTCCCAATGGCGACCACGTGATGGACTCGCGCAAGATCGTCGAGCGCCTCGAGGCCCTCTACCCGACCCCGTCACTGCATCTGGACTCACCGTACCAGGGGCGCATCGAGCACTTCCTGCCCAAACTCGTCGGGACGGTCCGGCCGATCTTCATGCCCTTGGTGCCCGTCACGTTTCTGAATCCGCCGTCCAAGGCCTATTTCGAGCAGGACCGCGAAAAGGCCGTGGGCATGCCGCTGCAGGAGTACCACGCCAAGAACGCGGAGCAGGCGTACCGCGACGTGGAACCGCTGTGGAAGGAACTGGCGGGTTGGTATGCCGAGAATGACGGCGGCGTGTGGCTTTCCGGCGGCGAGATCATTTACGCCGACGTCATGGTGTTGGGGTTGTTGAGGATGCTCGACAGGCTTGGTGTCGCCGACAGGCTCTGGGCGCTTGAGGGTGGAGAGGTCTTGAAGAAGGTCTATGACGCGGCTGCGAAGTGGTTCGAGAGGGATACTTATTGAGGTTGCTACTGCACCATGGGCTGGACTTGAGAGGTACAGTGGGGCGAGAGGACGAATTGAGAGCGAGGACGAGGGCGAGGAGTTACGCAAGAAGGAGAACGAAATCTCTATGCCCATAGCGTTTTGTAGAGATTACTGATCTGGCCGGCGCACGCGAGTCAACCTTTCCAACAGCAGGGGATATTGCTATTGATGATTGTAAATCAAGAAATGCACACCGCATGGCACCGTGGCTTTTCAGCCGCGCGAGAGCAACCATGTCGTCTAAACAGAACAGGGCAACAACTCTTTCGGGCTGCCGTCATGTGTACAGTAATTGTGTATCTCGGGCTGCGCGTCCATACCACGTCGTACAGATTTTGTGGTTGTAAAGCTGAAAAAGTCAAGATGTAGAGCACACATCGGGCCATTCCATGGCCTGTGGCCGAAATCATGGACGGTTGTGATGCTAAACGCCGTGGATCTCGATACTGAAGTACTCAAATGGTAGGCGAAGAAGATGGAGGTGCGGTCGCATCGTCCGCGTCGGGCTTTTCGAGGTTTAGGCAATCCACCATACATAAGGCTGGGCGCGAGGCGAGGCGAGGCAGGGAAGGACAGGGGTAACGGGGGCCATTTGGTCTTCCTAGAAGAGGGTACCTTCCATTTCTGGATGGTGTCGATGCGTACAGCTACTTGGACGGGTGGACTGTCTTGCTCGTTGGCATTTCGGGACCAGCAGTCGCTGTTAAGCGGCGATAGGAAATATGACGTGAAAGGCAAGCCTTGCTTGTACGAGTTACTCGAATGACCTTAGTCTACTCGACGAGGTACTATGCTGTGCTGTGCTGTGCTATGCTATGCTATCCTGTGCTGTATTGTGTGCGTGTAACCACGGGTCGTATGCAAGGCATCCCAATGTATGTGCAGGTGCAGGTGCAGGTGCATGAGTGATGGTCACAACAAGGAAGAACATGCAAGTGTACTAGATGCTGCGGTTTACGGCCTCTCATGGCGCTGGTCATGTTCAAGGGTTTGATATGACCTATCCTGTAGTTGCGACGGCTTGTCTGATGAGCCGCAGATTCACACGGGTAGGCATTGGCACTGTCTATTATCGAATCTGGACTGTGCATTTCTAATCATCTTCGCGTCAGGCTATCGCCTAGAATAGTTGTTGCCTTGTTTGGCTCATCCCTCCTTCTGCCCTAGAACCGGCCCAGCTAGCTGTATCACCACCTTTCCGAAGTTCTTCTGCTGCCACTGGTACTCAAACGCATCGAGAGCATTGTCCAGACTGAAGATCTTCTCATCTACAACCGGGTGGATGTTGTTGGCGTCAATGGCACGGTTCATGGCCACCAGCTGGGCCTTGGAGCCGATCAAGATGCCGCGAATGATGCAGCCGGCGCCCAGGGCTTCGAGCGTGCTGGGTTCCTTCTCCTGGCCCACACCGCCGAGAAAGCCAATGACGGAGATAACACCTCCAAGTTTGATCGCTGGAAAAGAAGGCACGGTCAGCATAGCAAACAAAATGGCGTGACAGGCCAGGGGACGTACCTTTGAGAGACTGTGCCATCGTACCGGGCCCACCGACTTCGATGATATGATCGACGCCAGCTTTGCCGGGAGAAAGCCTCTTCGCTGTCTCCCCCCAGTTCGGGTCCGTTTTGTAGTTGATGACAATATCTGCGCCGAGTTTCTCCAGTCGCTTCGCTTTGTCGTCCGATGAAGTCGTGGCGATGACAGTCGCGCCGGCGGCCTTAGCGAACTGAATGGCCGAAAGCGAGACGCCGCCCGTGCCTTGTGTGAGGACAACATCCCCGGGCTGGACGGCTTTCGATTGCAAACCAAAGAGAGCGTTCCACGACGTGAGAGGTGCGCAGGTGAGCGTCCCTGCCTCCGTGGGAGACAGGTTTGAGGGCGCTCGAGCGAGACCCCATGCTGGAAAGACGGCGTATTGGCGCAGAGTCCCAGGCGCGCCTCCACCCAAGGCACTGTCAAACATGTCGGGTGTCGGCTCGCCGTGCTGGTGCTTTTGCGTGAACTGTGTGACGACTTTGTCGCCCACTTCGAATTGACTCACCTTGGAGCCGACGGCCAGGATGCGGCCCGCGCCATCTGAGCATGCGACAGTGGGTAGATTAAGCGGCAGAGGATATAGGCCCTAGAGACCGTCAATGGGACCAGGGCTTGACCATCGTTGGGAGATTGTATACTTTACCTTTGGAATCACCAGGTCCCTGTAGTTAAGGGAGACGGCTTGGATCTGAACAAGACAGTCATTCTCGCCAAGTTCAGGGACAGGATAGTCCTTGACAAATTTCAAGTTCTCCCAGCCTGGCTTGTCGCCGCTGCTGCGCTCCACGATCCAGGCAGGTGTAGTCTTTGGTAGGGACATGTTTGCTCTTATGCCTGTCACTGGTCGGATTGCCGGAGAGGAGGACGATGATCTTCAGATGTCACGCTCAGAATGAAGACTGAAAAGCTGAACTGGAAGTCTAACAAGCGTGAGATGAGAGAGAAAAGAGACGGAAGTTATGCCGATTTTCAAGCTCACGGATGAAGTCACAACGCATTTATATAGAATTCTAGTATGCTCCACCTGCGTTAGACGAGGCCACTGGTCGAATCTGGTGTCCTTTAACTCCGATGGATGATACAGTGCCTGTGTCAAGGCGTTCTGGTGACTAGGAACCGCGAGCAATATCTTCTGCCGCCATACAAGGTCGCCTTGGTGCCTCGATTGGTAATTCGAGCTTCAATCTGCCGACTTCGAATGCAAAGGTAATGTTGACGTTTTCTGACTGACGCAACATAACTGGGTCCCGTTTTAAGGCCCGCTTAATCAGGACGGCTGAAGAATACCCGGTAGATTCAGTTGATAGACTGTCCCCGCATGATATGCTTGGCCACCTTCGTCCGGGCCTCCTAAGTCTTGCCCCAGTACCGGCTAGATTGCGACAAAGGATCGTGAAGGGTACATTCATGACCCGTTGCTGAATAATGCAATGGACAACAGCCAGGAAGAGCTAATTCATGTGGACGAGCGGGTACTCGGATACAGAACATGCACAATTCGGCGTCGAGGAAGTTGAGTTTGTTGGTGGGGCTGCCAACTCGTGTTTCCCAGCTAGCCACGTGACCAATTGTAGGGTCGACCATTACAGCCGAAGCGTGCTTTCTCTGCTACGGCGGGCCTTTGATAGCGCAGTGGCAGCACACAATGCACGAAAATCTTGGCGGGCTTGGCGGCAGCAGAAGAATTGTGGATTGGCACCTTCTCGTCGACATCGCTAAGGCACTTTCTACTGACAACCTTCAATCCTCGAGACAGCCTTTGATTGCGGAGACCACGTCAAGCTCTCGTCGCAATCATGTCTCAGCCAGCTCTCAACAAGATCGCCCACAACAGCCCCTCGAGGCAACACCCTTCTGAGCTGGAAACCAGCATCGCAACCGCCCTCTATGAACTCGAGACCAACATCCCTGAACTCAAGGTTGCCTTGAGACCGCTCCAGTTCGTCTCTGCACGCGAGGTATGACAAATTGATACTCGACCATCGTAAAATCTATGCGTGGCAGTCCAAGATTGAGAACTAACACTTATTGATTCTCCATAGCTCGAAGTCGGCCACGGCAAGCGCGCTATTGTCATCTTCGTCCCCGTGCCCCTCCTCGCCGGTTTCCACAAGGTCCAGCAGCGCCTGACCCGCGAACTCGAGAAGAAGTTCTCCGACCGTCACGTCCTGATCCTGGCCATGCGCCGCATCCTGCCCCGCCCAAAGCGGTCCAACCGCTCCCGCACCAGCCAGACCCAGAAGCGTCCCCGTTCTCGAACTCTGACTGCCGTACACGATGCTATCCTCGCTGATGTGGTCTACCCGGTCGAGATTGTGGGCAAGAGATTGAGGACCAAGGAGGATGGCAGCAAGGTGTTGAAGGTCGTGTTGGATGAGAAGGAGCGCGGTGGCGTTGATTACAGACTCGACACTTACTCTGAGGTCTACCGGAAATTGACCGGACGGGTTTGTGGCTTCGAGTTTCCCTTGAGCAGCGCTTCGGATTACTAGGGATGAGATGACTAGGGGTGGAGAGCGCCAAGCAGACATGGTACCACGGCGAAGGGAAAGCACAATCGGCCTGGGCGACGGCTGTCGTTGTTCTCGATGACTATGCATGTACTCGCATCGTATGGAATGGATGGGGGCAGGTGTGGCCACATAGGCATGGTTGCCGGCTCGAAGACAAATGACATACCAATCAATCGAGGGTCAAGTCAGCATCAAACGTCTCGAGTGAGTGAAATTAGCCAATGCATAGAAGACAAAAGACGGGTCAAACTGCCCGCGATTCCATTTTGTTGATTTCTGTACAGGAGATGTTACATCCCAAAGTCTCCTCCTCCAAGTACGTCCTTCATGTTGATGCTCCCACTCCCTCGCTCCAGAGGTTGTGGCTGGTTCTTGCTAGTCTTCCAGCCGATCATGTAGATGACCCTGAAAGTCGCCGGGATCCTGTCCTTTTCGTCCTCTTTGCAATGCAACTCCCTGTAGATGGCTTCATTGGCCAACAGAACGTCCCTCTGAATTGGCCCGCCCATGGACTTGAGAATGGCATTTCCTTCTCCCATGGCTTGAATATCCGTCATCAGAGTAAAAGTGTCAGGGTATTCCACAACGATGTCGTCCACATCCACGGTCAAGAGACTGAACCCTGCTCGCCCAAGGAGATTGCCGATATCCCGCACATCGGCCAATGGTGATATATGCGGGGATACGCCACCCCGGCGCTCCAGGTCAGCCAACTGTAAGGATGAACGCAGTTCGTAGAGTGTATCCCCTCCGAACATGGCCGCGAGAAAGGGAGCATCAGGCTTCAGGATGTTGTTCACGCTCGCCAGAGCCGAGGGGAGATCATTGACCCAGTGGAGAGACAACGAAGATATAACAGCGTCAAATGTGTTCGCCTCGTAGGGTAATGTCTCGAGGGATGGTAGAACCTCCCGAGTGATTGGAACC